TCCTAAAAAGAATTAATATTAGTTTCTTAACCTTTAAACATTCTAAATCTATTATTTAATTATTCAGTAAATTAAAATATTTTTTTTAAACAGTTCTTCCTGATCATTAACTGAATTGAAACATTTATAGATGTTAAGTTTTTAATTTTTTTAAAACTTTTTTATTTTCGTATCTATATTTGCGAGAAACGATAAGAAAACGATCTCAGTATAAAAAAGACAGAAAATAAAAATTTTATATTATAATAATGAGAGCAGAGAGTTTATTTCTTACACTAAAATTATGTAAAAAATAAATATTGAAAAAATTTTAATTAAAGCTAAATAATATAATAAAATAATTATAATTTTTTTATAGACTTCGCTACTACAAAAATTTTAGATTGTGATAAAGAAAAAAGTATATATTTAAAAATCAGTTATTAAAAAAAAATTTAATTAAGAAAATGTGTTGTTATAATGTATGAAGTCTAGATCAAAATATTTAACATAAATAAATAAATTCGTAAACAACAAATCACACACGTTAATACTGTCCTCTGCCAGCGCAGAGGCAGCCGGGTACGCGATAATTGCAGTACAGGAACTAGTGACCCGAACCGACAGACACGCAACCTACTGCAAGTCGAGCTTACCTTTTATCCCAGTCCATCTGACAAACTGACACGCGCGGGTATACTTCCTCATCAAGAAGACGCTGCCAAAACACTCGTGGGAGGTAAAACATATATCCCCACACATAGTGACGATAACCGTGATAACCAGCGACAAGAACAAAATCACTGTCACAAACGTATACAACCCTCCCATCTTAGCAGCGAGATGGGACCCCGACAGCCCCCCTGCTGTATCTACCGGAAATACTCCGGCGACCAACCGCCTACGTCCTAGTAGGCGACATGAACCTCTACCACCCACCCCATGTGGTTACTACCAAACGAAACCAAAGTTAGCAAGATGGTAGAAGTCCTAATAGAGATGACTGCAGAGGCGGGATTCACCCTCATAACACCCCCTAGCACAACTACCTAGAGAAGATACCCTAATAGTCCACACAGGTCGGCCCTAGACCTGGCATTTGTTTCGGAAGAGCTCGAACAAATGGTAACAAAGTGTGGAATTGAGGAAGGCCTACACCATGGCTCGGATCACTACCCGGCCAGCACAGAACTACATATACAAGCGCCTCCTTGGGTCTTTTCCCTCCCTCCCTCTAGGGGCCGGGCGTGCCTCTGGTTTGAAGGCCGTAGCCCTTTTTCTGAATATAGTTATTGTCTTCTCCGTATGATCAATTGCGTAAAGAATAGACCTATTAACGATAGCTATATTAATTCTTTCTTTCTTTTATCAGTATTTGAGGCAATCTTTTATTTCTGTCTTATAGTTTTTCTATAGTTTGCGTATCTTGCCTTTGCCTTATCATTTTTTGTATAGTACGTTTCAGTATCGTATTTTCTAGCTATACAGTATCTATATTATTGAACAATTTTATATATTCTTTCAATGTACCTGTATCAGTAGCAATTAAAGTACTCTATAATTATACAAATTAAATTAAAGAATTTGACTGTTTTAATCGTATTATTTATTATTGGTTTTTTTAATTATTAGGAATTTAGTTCCTTCCAGTATATTTAAATCTAAAATAAAAACGTTATAGATTTTTTTTAGACTTAGAACATATTTTTTTAAGCAAATTTTATAAAAGTTTTAATATTTTCAATTTATTTATTTATATTAAAGATTTTACTCTAGACTCTGTACATTATAACAGTACAATTTTTCAGTTAAAAAATAATATTTTTTCTGATAAAAGATTTTTAAAGATATACCTTTTTCTTTATTATAATCTAAAATTTTGATAGTAGAGGAGTCCGTAAAAATGTTATAATTATTTTATTATATTATTTAGCTTTAATAATATTCTTTAAATATATATTTTTTAAAATTTACTATTTATTTTTTAAATAATTTTAGTATAAGTAAACCCTCTGCTCTCATTATTATAATATAAAATTTTTATTTTCTTTCTTTTTTTTACTAGGATAATTTTCTTGCTATTTCTCGCAAATACAGACATGAGAATAAAAAAGTTTTTAAAAAAATTAAAAACTTGACATTTATAAATTTTTCAATTCAGTTAATGATCAGGACGAACTATAAAAAAATATATTTTTAATTTACTAAATAACTGACTAATATCAATTCTTTTCAAAATCTTAATAATATTTTTTGAATTTACGTTATTAGATATTGTAATAAGTGTTTAAAAGTTTTATTAAAATTTACTGTATTTCTATACCTTTCTCGGGCGTTAAGACTATGACAGCACTTCAGAAACCTTTAAAAATTAGAAAGATTGATAAGTTAGTAATTCTCTTTAGTTTGAGCTAGTTTTCTTTGGGCCTAGGCGTGTAGCAGGGCCTCTGGCAAAACCGGCGACGTTTTTTTGTCGGGGTCCCTATATAGTACGTTGACTGAATGACCTGTTGGTCATTCATTGAGCCTTTTTGGTATGTAGTGCAGTGGTAAAAGTCAACGGACCGGTTCCTTATATTTTTTTAATTTATTTAAATAATTATTCTTAATCATTTACTATTTAAGGTTTTTTATATTAAAGTACTTAAAAGTTTTCATATAATTTTATTAAAGCGCTTAACTAGAGGTAGATAATATTAAATTTATTTAATAGCAGGATTAATTAATATTAATCTATAATATTATTAATACCACTTAAGAACGGCTTACTATATCAATCAACAAATTAGTTAATATATTAAATATTTTTAGCCGCAATTTAGTATATTTTTAGGGAAATTAACAGGATAGAAAGTAACGTTATTTATAAATAGAAAAAAAATTTCATCTTTGGGATTAAATGGGGTTTCCAGCTATAAGGGTCAATTTAAAAGAAATAGATGTTTGTACGCAAGTCTTTAGTTGTAAGGCACTAACCTCAAGAAACGTAGGTATTGTCAACCCCTAGGATCCGTCTAAGCTGCGCTAAGCCTGCTACCGTAGATAAGTTCAAGCACTGGTGATCAACAGGTTGATCCTGAGTCCTGGGTGGGTGATACTTAACCTGAGAGCCCGTAGCTCTACCAACTGGAACTAGTGTAAAGTGTCTCGGTGATCCTTACTAAGGATCCTGAATGCAGCAAAGATAGAAGTAAGGCCAGGTTAGTACGTATACCTTCCTGTAATAGTGATAGGCGAATCTAATAGCAGTAACAAGTTACTATCAAAGATGTAGTTGTTATTGAACACAAAGAACTAAACAAAAACTATCTAACAAGTGGGTGAATGAGCGTCCTTATATAGTCCTCCTAGAGTATACCATCCTGTATACCTTATAGGTCTGCGGTATACCATTTGGTCTACAACATACCCGATAGTATATCGTATACCATATGGTGCCGGCATACCATATTACGTGATCCATGTTTTCTCCGTAGCGTCATCAGCCTCGGGCCGCTGTTGTCCTATCGTTTCTGCCTCGCGGCTCTTAGTGTTGCAAGGGTCCGTAACAGGTATGTATTGACGAAGAATAAGCTGCACTTCATGCAGCTTGTTCTGAGGGAAGCTCCTAATTACGCGTACTATCTGTGGTCACGTCACAGGTGTCACGTGACGCAAGATACCGGAATCCCTGACATTAGTAATATATATGTAGCTTTTAAAATTATATAAAGACGTATTAGAATTACTGCGGGCCACTTATTTGGAAAAAAAAAATTAAATATTGCTTTATATAATGAGGCAAGCGATAAAAAAAAGAAAACCAAAAAGATTAAATATTGTTCTATACAGTGAGGCAAGCGATAGAGAGGAAGGAGATGAAAGAGGTTAAATATCGCTCTGCGCAGCGAGGCGAGCGGTAGAGAGGAAGGAGGTGAAAGAGGTTCACTGTGTAACGGCTGACTCCTTACGTCACCTGGATGTTTGCCTTGTTTGCTTCGTTTGTTGTGTTTGTTGTGTTTCCTGCGTTTGTCTTCTCCGCGGGGTTGAGATTCACGTCGCCTGGCTCCTTTCCTTTCTTCTTCCCTCTTCATGTTTTGTTATTCTCGTTGTCAGATACCTAGGTTAGATTAGATGAATATGACGATCCTAGATTGAGCCCATCACACAGTGGCTCGGGCGAGCTTGGGGAGGTCCAACGAGGCCCAGTTGCGCCGTGGGCATTCGGGTGTAAGGCACTGACCTCAAGAAATGTAGGTATGCATTGACGAAGAATAAGCTGCATCAGAATAGCAACATCGATAAAGTCCGTGGCTGCGGCCACTAGCCAGAGAGTGTATCAGCCCATGACAATTCCTGCCTACTAGAAAGTTCTCTAAACTAAACTAGGCAGGCGGTCAGTCTTGACGGAGCTCAGGAGGTGATAACCTTGATCCCCTTTATAATATATTAAAATTTTCACAAAATCTAAAAACTAAAAATATAGTTACGGTACGGTGGCTTGTCACTTATTGTACGTATGTACAGTACATAGGTCAGTATAATCTGGTGACTGGGCAATACCATGTAAATTTTGTATCTACCTCGGCCAAGAGCAGCTACTTACACGGGTTCTCAACTGCAACAACAACTCAGTCATACCTGGATTTTTTGATACATATCTTTACCGTCCACTAATATTTTTTTTTATGATTTCATCTACCAGTTTGATATAATTACAGTAAGCTTGCCTTTACGTTTATCACATCTCAATTGGGCAATACAAAAAGCCCCTCTGGGTAGTAAGGAGAACGCGAAGGACAAGTACCTACTACTGGACATGCTTGCTACGGTACCTAGTACTTATCATAGCAACGTGGCCTTTTTCAACACCAACCACCCTATAATAATAACCTTTCATTAAACCATTGACTTTCCCTACTGTCTCTACAACTGAGGAAACACTAGAATTCGCAACCCAGTCACGTCATCCCTAAAAACATCGCAATTACACTACTTCTCTACTACCAGTCTCGAGTGAACGATTTTACTCCAATCACAATATGGTGTGTTATTATCACTACCACCCTACCCTGCTTCATATTCGTTATCTAACTTCTATGCGATAGGCACAAACTCCACAACAGCGCAAGGCGAATGACAAATACGCGAAAAGTGAGGCTGCAAAGCGAGGCAAAGGAGCAACAACAACAGTCCGGCCGAAACAGAGCACAAAATCCCCAGTGTCTGCTGGCTGGGTGGGTAAGTCGGCGGGGAGTCGGGTTCCATGACCATTGCGGCTAATGATATTTCAGTACTTCTTGCATTTGTGATTTTTGGTGGATTGGCCTTTGAACTCCTAAGGATTGTTCCAGAGATTTGGTCAACTATTGTCTCGATGTTTAATCGCCTGGCTTTCTAGGCCCGACTAAATACCACGGGAACAAGTCGTGGAGTAATTATCACGGAAGCTTCTCGGAACTTTAGCTACTCCTGGGGCTATCAGTGTAATGTGCAAGCTCCGCTAAGTTGCAGGGCCTGCCTGCCCTGCCTTCCCTGGACGAAGGGTCCTTCTGTATTATTTGGTGTTCTGTTGGTAGTATTTGTTCGATTGTTATGTTGAGAAAGTAATCCAGAACTTGGATGGAGTATGGGTTGGTAAAACTAATGCAAACAATCATGTTCGCTTCTTTACATTTCCATGCTGTCTTTGATCACAATTGCTCGCCAATATCTAAACAGTGCTTGAACAAAGAATATCCTAATTAAGGCCAATGCTAAATGTCATGTCTAGTGAAAGCTGTCTTGATATATTCTAGCTGGGCTGGTGTCTTTTTGACCGGCTCTTCACTTTCTTTTTAACCTTTGGTGAATGCGCCCTGTTGGCATCAAGACCCCCAACTAGACCATCTCCATGTGGTAGGCTAGCAGTCCCCGCGGGTCCACTAGAGATCGGCCTTTTCACTCTCTTCTTCTTCTTGACCAATGTTCCTTCTGTAGGAAACTCATCTGTATGAACTCGTTCGGAAGCTCTTTGCATCTCGAGCCGTAGTTTCTCAACTCGCTGCATGGCTATTGACATTTCTGCATCGTGTGCGCTCGATCCAGCAGGTGGTCGGCTGTTTGAATGTGCATCGCCCACTTTTTCAGGAAGACGCCCCAGGCCACTGGAGTCAACCTGAAGTAGTGATCTCTTGGTTTTGCTTGCCCCATCAAGATTCTCGGTAGGCAAGGTGTCCTCTTGTCCAATAGTTTCGTCGGACACGATCGTATATTTCTTACCCTCTGGTTCGATTTTTTTCCGATAATTGCGAGCACTTAGATCTGAAGCACGTGAGGCCTCTCCATTTAGCTTCAGGTCAATGATAGGAATTGCATCAATGTCCAAATCAGCGCCCCTAGATGCGGCGAAGGTTTGGTGGAGCGGTGTAGAGGTACTAGAGATCTCATCTTCTGTGCTAATATAGAACGGATCATCAATGTTTCCCTCCCTGCGTCCCACTCTTCGCTTTGCCACACTGACTGCCCCCCCCACTGGACTGTTAGGGTCCTGATAGGAAGCAGTGAATTGCGAAGTCAAGAAATTGAGCTCGTCTGGTTGTTTGTTTGGCATCGCTGAGTCATTCATGTAGTAGAAATTCTGGAAGGCCAAAGGTGCACCTAATTCAGAACAGTGATCTGCACGATGGTCAAAAATGGCGTGAAGGTTGTTGTTGAACGGCTGGTCCATCAACAGGTGTTCTGGTTGAGGCACTTTTTTCTGAGCATTAGCAGCAACTGGATTCAACTCGAGGCCATCAAATAAGCTCGGAATCATGGAGGACAGCAAAAACGGGATCTCGCTAGGTCCATAGCAATCTGACCGTATTGCATCTGCTGCCAGGCGCATCACCTCCAAAAATTCAATAGCCCTTTCCTGGACGTCTAAATCCGGATGAGCTGCCAGAGTTTCCAGAAAAACCAGGATTCTCGCCAGTAAAAGAGAAATTTCGCCCTGATTCCTGGCATCCCAGCTTCCACAATGTGCTCGAATTATGCCCACGAGAATTTTTGGAAGAGCCTGTACGACAAGACAAAGCGTTCTCGACGACTGGAGGGCAGTGGAAATATCAATCAATGATAATAAAGTTTGGTGAGGCGAGGCGAGGCACTCTGCAAATTCACCGATTACCCAAATAAAAGGTCCTAAAATGCCATCGGCCGCATCAGACAACTCCGAGCAAATATTCTTCATATTGTCATCCAGGAGTAAAGATTCTGCAGCTCTAGTGGCGTCCGCACGAACATCTCTAACACGAACGGCTACATTGCGCATCTCAGATCCAATTCGTGAAGCGACGTTTTCCCCGATATCATTTGTAGCCTCCTGGTAAGCTCCATGGCCCAGCAAGTGACCACGATTGAGCGGAGGTGCTAGCTCGACTAGTTTTACTAGGACCTCCACATACCACTCGAAGTCCGATAGCTCGGCATAATTGTTGTGAGAGCATATGTCGAGAATCCGATGTAAGACTTCGACTCTATAATCGAGAGGTAAGATAAACGGTGCCTTCCGGGAACTTGGGCTATCTGGACCTTCGCTTGGCACAATGTTCGAAGGCCCACTTTCGGCCATTCGGCGTGCATCAACGAGTTGATCAATGAGTCGGGTTATTACCGACTGTAGGCAATCGCTCCTCACCATTCGGGCGGCAAGTTCAAGAGCCTGTAGCCTTATTGAAATATCTGGATCGTCCAGACAATCCATGATGACATCTTGATGTGTCGATACCAAATCGGGGTATGAACCCACGATTCGATTATAAGCAAGTAGTGCAACATATTTCACTTTTAACAATCTCGTCAGCGTCGTTAGATACCACAATCAGGTAACTCACAATTCGGATCAGAATCTGTAACTATCATCCCTCTGAGCTTGCCAACGCAGAGTCCAGCAATTTCTTCTCTCCCATCAAGTCCACTGTCGTCTTCCAGAATACCCCCCTGTATGATTCCATTGATGCATTCGTAAAGTAATGACATGGCAGTCGTCGTTTGAATAATACTTATTAACGGGCGAATGAGCTTACGTATCAGGCGTGGCTCCAAGGGAGTTAAAATCGCAAACTGTATTTACTTTCAGCGCAGGACAAAGAAGAAGAGTACACCAAGCCTTACCAATTTGATTATTTTGATTGCCATCCAATTATTGCCCCCGTCCACGAGTAATTCAAAGAATCGCGGTGCAAGTGGAAGGAAGTCATGGGGTCTTCTCCATCCTAACTCGCAGACGACATTGATTACCGCTGTGGTGACACTACTTTCTTCTTGCTCATCCGTCAAGCGATCCATTAGTTTGGGCCACGCCAATTTCAATGCCTCCGGATAAACCAACGCGAGTCTATAAAGACACACACTTGCCTTTTTGCGAACAACAGCGTGGGAATGCGAAAGGCGCGGCAGCACATCCGGGAGTAAAGACATTGCCAGAGAGGGGGTGATTATGTTCGGTAGAGTGATCAAAGGCAGCGCCATATTCGAAATATTCGAAGATGCCAAATCCTGTAGTATAGGTGTCAGACAAATAGTCGGCCAGGAACGTAATGCTGGTCCAAACCTTCTTCAGTAAATTTGTGGCTAGCATCAGTACTTCTGTATCTGGTCTGAAGCTCTGAACGGCAGCTAAGTAGCCAGCTCTTTTCTGCAAATACTTCGTGGACGACATAACCTCCAGCACGTGAAACGAAGCCCAAGACATATCATACCCAAACATCTCCAAGTATATCAATTTTAGCAGTGCGGTAGCCTTCTTATCTACGGAGGTCAGTTGCTAGCTAGAACTGGGCTATCCGTTATACACGTACCCATGTCCTGCTGCTTGATTTCGGCCTTACACTCTCGTAGGCTATCCTGCACATAGTCCTCCTCTGTCCCCTTATGGGTTCGTAGGCCTTTAATAAGGTCGTAGAGGGATTTTTCGAACCTAGTCACTCTATGATCAGGTAAAAGTGGCGATGAGCATCAGGGAAGACCGCTCACATTGTTACTTGACCTTTGTTCTTCGGTTCACAGGCAAGTGTATTTTCTTGATTGATCTTCTTCCATCGAGAGACAAGCTTACTGACTTATCTTTGCCTCCGTTGATCAAACGACTGCCACAAGACCAGACCAAGTGTGATATTTCCTCGAAAGCTGGAATAGCATGTGAGATACAGGCGTGCTCTGAGTAGGTACCGGACTCGAAAGCGGGCCACGGTTAGTTAGTGGAGAAGGTTAATCATCATGAAAGCCCGCCAGAGGGGCGGAGTACGGAGTAGGTGTCTAAAGTACCCCGTATTCCATGCGCCCAAGGGAGGCACGGGTCCGGGGCAGTAAAGCCCCATCAGAAGCTCCGTAACCCAACCTCATATCCTCCATCAAGCGTACGCTGGTCTTGGTGTGTTGCATTGGTTTCTCCAGTCTGCGGGCATTGACTGCTAAAAATGGCGTATCCTGCTTCTGAGTCCCATATCACTCACAGTCAAAGCCTGATTGCCACTCTTCACTTTGCGCAGCAGGCCCCTCTAATCTTGAACCAGAAAACCCATCTGGGCGAGAACCCCTTATTTTCTCTCATTTCCAAGAAGGAAGCATTCGATGAATATGGCACAATCGAGCAACTGTTCTTTTCTTGCCTGCAATCTGGCGATGATAAATCAGCTCTGTTGTGCCTTGATCAGCTAACACTACGTTTCGGATCGTCAAATGAAAGGGTAATGGGACTTACGGGGCTTTACGAAGAAGCAGTGGCCGAGAATCAGTCTGGCCTTGAAACATGTCTGCAGAAATATGATAACCTGCTCTCAGAAAACCCGGTCAACCTGGTCTGTATGAGTACCTTGGTCATCAACAGCGTTGCTAACGTTGATCCTATAGCCCATTCTAAAGCGCCGAGTCACCCTCTTAAAGTCACTGGGCAGACCTGCCCTTGCAATTACTAGCTTGATAGATTTCTTGAAGGCTGTCCCTACGGATGCGGAGGCGTGGTGTGAACTAGCCGAGTTATATCAGTCCCAAGGGTTGTCCTCACAAGCAGTATTTAGCCTTGAGGAGGCTTTATTGATAGCACCTAATGCCTGGAACGTATGACCGACCCATGGCCGCTCTTTTCAGCCCTTCGTAATGATTAACACTGTTTAGATTCATGCTCGACTGGGCGAATTGCTGTATATCGACGCATGTTCATCAGCCACAGAAGATTCTACTCGGGGCTTATACCGATCGACGCAGTACTTTTGCAGAAGCATTGAGCTTTGTCAAGATTATCTAAGAGGTCTTTACGGCTTGACTCTGGTAGGTGACGGTCTGGTTTTCTAGCTTTACGAGTTCTCTATCTCCATACTGAACACCACCCCCAACCCCCCGGTCCCGAGCTGTTGCTTGGTCCTGATCTTAGTTGGTCCTGTCTATGACGTTCCGCTGACGTTCATTCAGGTTACTTCGACTTTGCTTGGGAGAGATTCTGTGAAAGATGATTCAGAAGGGGCCCAGCCAATCACGGTAGAAGACGGCCCGCCATCAAAAGACACTGTCCGGAGATTGAATATCTTTGCAAAACGAGGACTAGAGGCTGTTCTCAGTAAAAGACCAATGGACCATACTCTTTGGGATTACGCCCAAGGCGAGCTCATTGCGGCGAAAGAATTGATAAGTAGGATGTCGGAATCCGGTTAAGGAAGTAGGCAATCACCATTGTTCGGTCACTGTGTCAAACCACTCAGTGTAGAGTGATACTTATGTTATGTAGTCAAACCTCTCATTCTGAGAATTCGTGATACTGCCAGCACTGATGCCCGTGGATAGCTGGTCATAGTTAACGACAAAGAAATTACATAATACACTGAGACACAATCTAGTTTACCAACAGGTATCTACGTTTTTAATATTGAAAAAACCAAAAAAAAAAAAAAAAAAATTCAGTTTCAGGGCTCTGTACGGAGTGTTCTAAATTTACTATGATTGGTGGTAGGAAAGCATGCCTAGACTAAGGTGCTCATTTATGATTTGCATGCATGACGATAGATAATAAGACTGGCGTGAAACCTCAATTGCACCGAGCACTAGAGCACAATACTTTCACAGGCGCAGAGTAGGTACTCAGTACATATGTGAATGGCAATTCGATAGTTGCTCTTTTTTTTTTTTGTCTCGCGTTCCATGAAGGTGGGCGAGAGTTAATTGTTGATTGGGCACTTGGGCAGCAGAGTCGTACCTACCTAAAGTAGGTTTGAATGGAATGGAAGGTGCCAGCTCAGTCTGAGCGAAAAGGGAAGTCGTTTAGCGGCAACAACAAGGGTTTTTTTTTTTGGTTTTGGAAAATAGCAATAACAATAACAACAACAATAATTAAAATAGATAAATAATAAGGAAGAGAGACAGAGAGAAAATAGGAAGCGACAAACCCCGACCAATTTGCAACAATCAACAATACCTAAATCCCGAACTACTATTAATAACTATTGACAATATACCTTATTCCTCGTTGCCGTGCCCAAACTCCACCATACGCCCAACCATCATTGTCTGCCAGTCTGGTTAGGCAGGCAACTAGTAATGTACCCCCCTCTCCCTCTCTCTCCCCTTTCCTTGAGATTTCCTCCCGTCCCTCCCCATCTCTTCTTCTTTCCTCTTCTTTTTCCAGGATTTCACCAGCGTGGTTTCCCTTGTGTGGCCTAATCCTCTTTGCCACAGAATTACCGTCTGCAATATATTTACCAACTTCAACGCTATTTGCGTGTGTTGAACCGAAAATTTCGGCCGACTCCTGATCCGCGTTCCCGGTCAATTGATTTCCATCAACGCTAACTTTAGTGATCTTACTCGGACACTCAAAACGCCTATGAACCCCGCTCGTTTGGGTCTCACAGAATAGAAAGAGCATTTATCATATCTGGTAACGGCGCCGATTCCATTCCGAGAAGCGCAGGGCGTCGTCTTGATCAGTTTATGGGGGTGCTTCTACCCCGCCCTAATTCTGCTCACTGAAGCGCACTGTGCCATAAAGCAATTCATCGGCACTGCCATACTGCTCCTCTACTCGGGTGATTCAAAACATCCAATGCGAAGGCTTTGATTGCATGAATTACCTCCATGACGTGTGTGAAATGCCACAGTTTTGTCCTTGCCTCGTCTAATTATGAACCAGGTTTAATATCACCATTGGGCCAAGCCCACATGGCTCGGATCATTCTTCTTTTTCTGACGAAGAGGATTCGTCCGGTGTGCAAGTATCCCCGCCGTCCGATTCAGGAAGTCATGACTACCAGGACCCATATGATGAATGGGCACACCTACCTTACCCCGACGAATTGAAACCATCCGATTCCGCCTCTCGACCTAGGACGTCACATCGAACCCGTAGTCGCAACCAGATCCATGGCTCGTCATCGGGCCGTCGTCACTCCCGCCCGAGACGTCACATCATACAGGAACGAGAGCAATATCCCCGTCAACCTCGTCGCCACCCTTCCCCAGAGTCACCAGAAAGTGTGGATTCGGCGGATGAGTATGGGGCCCCTTACGGTCGGACCTCTCACGACCGGCGATTCTGGCCACCTTTGGCTCAAGGACCAGGCTATCCTAACAACACTTCTCCCGGCCCTTCTTATATGTATCCAAATGGAGCTGCACCGCATGCTCCCTTCGTACACCCAGGCGGTTTTCACCAACCATCTGATCAGCTTATAAGATTGGGTCATCATGGTCAGGCCAACCAACCAACCTCGTACGGAAACTCCATGTATCCATATCACCATCACCAACTACAACAGTCCCACGGTCCTAGCATACCACCTTTCTACCTGGAGCACCACCCTGGGCACCACCCACACCACCCGCCGTCTTCTCATAACCGAGCAGACGGGCACAGTCCAGGCCAGCATCCTGTGCCACACCCCCATGCTTTTCAATCGCACAGTCCATCCCCTTACGGGGGCCCTCCATTGAGCCCGCACGAACTCATCCCCTACCAACAGGGAGGGTACTATCAACTCAGGGAGCCCTACAACATGGTTTCCGGGATGATGCCGCCTTACTTCAACCCGTATCCCCGCGTACCATCTCCGAGCCAGGTCGAATCAAGTGGATCCCCTCCACCGGCACCTGTCGATGCAGCGAAGGATGAGGCTATTGCAAGACTCGAGAAGTTAATATTGGAGGAAAGAACGGAACGGGAGGCACGAGAGGCACGAGAAGCTGCCCGGCAAGCCGCAATAGAACAAGAAGCCGCTGAGCAAGCCGCACGAGAAGAGCGAGCCGCGCATGAGAAAAGGATTGTCGAGGAAGCAGCCGCAAAAGCGAGAGCTGAGGCAGAGCAAAAGGCAGCCGAGGAAGCAGCGAAAGCGAAACTGGAAGCTGAGGAAGCGGCGGCGGCGGCGGTGGCAGAGGCGGCGGCGGCAGCCACTGAGGCAGCCAACCAAGCAGCAGCAGAAGCTGTTGCTGCAGCCACGGCAGCAGCTTCAAGCAAACCCGTCTCCGAGAAGAAAAAGCCTATCAAATTCAAGGATGCTGTTGGCAGGAAGTTCAGTTTTCCGTTTGAGTTGTGTTGCACTTGGCAGGTAAGACCTAGCTCCTGACTTGCAGAGTCTAGTTGTGTATCTAACAGCTGTCTCAAGGGCATGGAAGAGCTTATACGACAAGCATTTCTTCACATTGAAGTCATTGGTCCTCATGTTGCTGAAGGACACTATGATTTAATTGGCCCCAATGGTGATATTATACTCCCACAGGTCTGGGAAACCGTTATAGAGCCAGACTGGGCGATAACCATGCACATGTGGCCAATCCCCGAAAAACCGAAAACCCCTGAGCCTCCGCCGCCTCCAGAACCTCCTGCCTCAGAAGAACCGGCTGTCGTTGATGTGCCAGTTGCGCCCGAAGATGCGGATGTTGCTGCTGTGGCAGAGGAGACCAAAAAGAAACCAGACCCAGCAGGTACGCGTTTATTGCTCTGTATCTTTCGGAATCAGCTTGTTCAGATTGTTTTCGTACGATCCCAGGTTGCGTATAATCCGTTAACGTGTTTTTATAGGCACAAAAAAGCCGCGAGCAAAGGCTCCTGACCCTGGCGCTTTTGCTATGTGGATGGTCGGTAGTAACCGTTTGAAATTAAACAAGGCTTTAAAAGTGGGAAAAAAGCCTAGGGTGATACAGCAACACGCGAATAATTGTCGCGTGATGTGACAGTTGGGCTCTCGATCTTTAGCAGTTGTCTTCCATTGGCGCGCATTCCCCGAATCCACCCACAAACCTTGCTTCCAAGGTGCGATGATTCCTAAGCGCGCGTTCTCCCAAATCATAGACATCTGAAATGAGGACGCGTGTGGCTGAATTTTCAGCATAGTGGAATGGGCGCTTGTGTTCCGATAAATCAGGATGTTGAACGAGACGCCCGAGACAATAAGCTAAGAGCTATAGAACCACTGTCTTGAGCTTCCCTAGGGGGGCATGGCTTTTCCTCTCGCATGTCGGGATCGGTTTCTCATGCCTCAGAGAAAGATAAGTATACATGATTCAGAATTATTTTTTGTTTGATTCAGCGCCAGGAGCATTATTGGGGGTTGTTTGTTCGCTAAAACTTCGAGGGTGGGAGTTCTACTATGTGAAATGAATAGTTCGAAACTCATGTTTTTTTATTTGCATCAATAGAGTTTTTAGTAATATTCCACATGTATATACGTTTACTTAGATACGGATGATTTCAAGATTACATTCACATAAGCATGCTCCCTAGACCAAGTATTTGTAGACTAGTCATAACGTGTGGTCACTGCCGAGTGTTGTCCAAACAGGATTAAGATCACTGAGGCAGAAGAGGTTTCCAGTTGATCTTTGTATCGGGGGTATCGTCCAAAATGCTGCCAGATCCATGCACTGCATCTTCTCCCGAATCAAGACCACTGGATTGCGAACTGCTCCCGTGCTGTTGTCCAATGGCCGTGGCAAGTAAGACTGGCTTTCGTGGAATAGGGGGAATGGCCTTCGTATTGCGTGATTGGCTCCTGTGCATAGCAGCCATGTCTTCACGTTCCGGTCTCTCCAAATAACTTCCACTCCTCGTGCCGCTGCCTGACCTTGGCCGGTTTGTGAGTTTTGAGACATTCCTCCTTGGAAGCGGTAGAGGTCTGGATGTAGATCCACCTTGCTGAAGTCCAACGACCCAGTCGGGGTTGCTATCTGATGAGAAAGGGTTGGACCTACGGTAGCGGTTAAGAATATATCCATCATTAGGGGGCTTCACGTTCGACTTCACGGGGTCACCTTGTATCACAATGCTAGTTAGAACCCGAGGTACGAAAACAAATAAAGAGGCAGTGAGTGAGTTTTGGAAATGATATCTTCGAAGCAAAAGGCTTACCGTGATTTAACCACCACTTCTGATGGTCTGAACTGGCCGGCGGAAGCCCCAGCGTAACAGAATCAAAGTTTGCAAGTTCCTCGTCATTTAGCTTCAGTCTTTCCCCAAGACCAGTCACTATATCACCTTTGTTGCTCCGTTTCTGATGGTAAAGAGTGTGTCTAAGCTCGCTCTTTGCATTTTCATCAATGGTGCTGATTTCGCAAAGGAAGGTGGCCCAAACTGGGCGATGGTCTGAAAATCGTAGACCCGCAGCATTGTAATTTACCTGGTGGAGGGTTGTTCCTCTCCAGAGCACCCTGTCACACCAAGCTGGTATGCGCGCTTTTTCTCTGCGTTTATTTAGTCAAGAAACTCCCCTTTTGTCTGCAAGGAGTGTAGTCTTACGACGTGTCATAGTCATCTCGTCCAATATCATATTTGTAAGTAGGAGGGAAGGAAATGGGCCCTTCCGTATAGAACTGGAAAGCCCGCCCGCTGACCATTTGTAGGTTCAACTACCAAGAAATCAGTGAGCAGATTAATCTTGCTTAAGATGAATAGTGGAAGTCAGCAGGATACCTGGTCATTGTCATAAAGCTTTTGGTAATCTCGCTGCCGCACAAGCTCCCTAACATTGTGATTGTCGAGGCCGATTCGATAATTGAAATCTCCTAGCCATATTATGGCATCGTGGTCATCAATTGATCTATTTCTCTGGAATCTCAGCCCGTGACATATGGTTTCATAGTCCCTGTTTCTTTCATCATAATTGGCAAACCCCGCAGCGAGATGCGCGGTAACAAAGCAGATTCGAGTGTTGGAATACTCCAGGCGAATGGCACAGCCTCCCTTGTTGCCGGCTATTCCGGAAAGACCTGTCTGGAGACGGGAGTGAGACAAATCGCAGTAGACCAAACGTTATCACTCACCTTCTTCACACTCCCCTCGACATTTTTTATCTCCTTCAGAACATCTTCTCTCACAAATACGACCAGGGCAGCGCCAACTAGTTGGCCACTTCGTAAAAGAACATATTTCGCAGTTCCCCTGGACCTCGCAGAGCTATTCAGACATTTCCCAACCGCGGCCTCCCAGGTTTTACGAGTGGATGGGTCAGTGGACATTATTTGTTGGGGACTCAACGTAACTATTTCCTGGAATCCAACAGCGAATATCATGGGGTCGTTGGTTTCAAGCTCTGGCAATAACCATGCTGCTAAATCGACATCTGCTCCCAGGTGCCGGCCATTCACATTGAACGTTCCAGTCCAAATCTTGATCGATTTGGTAAAAGTGTATTCTGACGCCCGCCGGTTTAGTTCGGTCGAAACCAAGTCGTTAATCGGGTCAAAAAGATGCACCGTTCCTTGGTCCGTAAGACGTCCCAACAAAAGATCGATCGTTTTTTGCCGCGCTTTGTCTGAAAAGTTGTTGATATAAAGTCGAGTAGCGGTTTTGCGAGCATCTGCAAGTGCGCCAGCAAGTGACATCTTTCCATGACGTGTGAAAGAACTTTTCAGAGCTCCTGTACCGGCATATATCTTAGACAGTGCGTCTCCATTATCAGCCCAAAGAGTCGAATGCCTGAGCTGTATATCAGGGCCCAAGTTCGCTCCCTGTTGGAGGAAAAAAGATTCAAGGGCCATTGAACTAATGATGTTTTGCACATGGTTAGTCCTATCAAGACAATCCAAGCAGTTAGTCCGAAAGACACCCTCCTGTTGGAGAACGGTAGAAGAGCCCATAGGCATTGCCTGGCTTTCATTCGAGGATCTTATTGCAGAGCCATTCTCGGACAAGAAGAATGCAAAGCCATCCATAGAATGTGAGATCTCATGTTTGACAAGGGTGCTAGCTGCATAGCCCAGCGGGCCACGGGTTTCTGCATGAAAATCAAACTCCGTAGCACGTAGGAGTGTGTGGTCTGAGAAGCTACCCAGCCCTCTCCTTTGGTTGAGGGGGCTTTTCCTGATATGCTCTCGGTATTTCGCCGAAAGATCTGATTCTGCGGGCTTCAGTTCACTGAGGAGATTAACAACATGAATTGCACCATATTCTAATTCAAGCCCCTCAAAATGCTTGTCAAATGCGTGCTGCGTTGCCTCGCTAGATCGGGTCACGTCGATTTTCTGCTGGCCGGGAAGAAATCCCGTTGCCTGTTCCCAAAATATTGGCACTGATCCACGAACCTGGACATAAGAGAACGTGATGCCAGGCGGCGTCCAGAACACTGTTTCGGTCTCAACATAATTTGCGACATTGCCATCATCGTCGATGCCGCGGGAGTTGAACCTTGTCCCAGCACGTCGAGAAGACTGTCGTGATATTATGCTTAGCGTAGAAGGGTAATGAGTTTTTAATTGAGGCAAGATAGGGACGGATGCCGGAATGGTTAAGGTACTGGCGAAACCCCTTATCACACAGGTCAGGATCTGACAAGAATCAAGCTGCTGTTTTTCGGAGGGCGATAGATGACTCCTAAAAAGAAGAAGAGGGTGGATCATGTACGAATTCCAGAGCATGTCTTCATCGAGGGACTCAATGTCGAAAGTTGCCGACTTGTCCGAGCTGACAATATGTCAGCTAGGCTTGAACACTTGCGCATTTCGTTTCGCCCTCATCTCACCGGTCCTGTAGCCTGTCTGTCAAGTTGAAATCAAGGCTATAGTAGAAGCTGCCGTCACTGAGAAGCTTTTTCAGAGCTAGAAAGGGATGTTCCGCAACCAGCTCTTTGGCGTCCAGGCCAGCGATATGGGATAGGTCGTCAGTGGTAGGGGACGATCCCATCTCGGGTTCAAAGCCATCCTCATATTCTGAGTGGTTCAGGCAGACTGTCGCAATTAGAACACACCCCTTCAGGCAATTTTGGAAAATCTTACAGAAATCCACGTTGTCAATTCGGGAAATATTCTCCCCGGGCCTGATCGTTGCGGCTTTGGAACGGGCAGTGACAACGGAAAGAAAAACCTCGTCTCCAAGAGTAATCAATCCAAGAGTACCGTACCCATCGCCTAGTCTTCGATAGCTGCTCAACTCTACGTCTGACTGACTAACAAATTCAACTAAACAACGTGGTTGATCGGTTCGCCGTTGGGTGCTGGGTTTGGAGATTGTAGAGCTATGCTTGAAAATTAGAACGTAGTCGCTAGTGGCCAAAGCTAGAGTACGTTCAGGGTAATTTCGCGAAAGGATTCGCAAGCTAGACATTGTTGAAGGACAAGGAATTGACCATGTTTGAGCAGTCTGGGGTGAGAATGATTAAACTTGTACTCCGTACGGAGGACATAGTAAACAACACATGGAAGCTTCCTAGGTTGCTTTCGAGCGGGCAGTCAGCCGTTTCCGGTGTATGCGGGAGTCCACCGCCTTGGTTAGACCTCTAGTTACCGGTACATACATAGTTACCTCTGTCTAGGTATGTAACCTTATGTATATATATATACGGGAGGTAATCAATTATGTACTGCATTACAATACCTTATTCACTACCCCGTACCTAGGAGTGTCACGTGTAAATTGAGGGATATCTCCGTACTGTACCTGGCCGTTGTGGATCTTGCAATCCCCGGCATAGTCAAAACACGTAGGCGGTCTGTATTGACTCCGCAGAAGTCCAAGGGCAGAAAAAAAAAAAAAAAAGTAAAAACCTTCTCCTCTCGATTAATACCCAGTACTGTTAGATATCATTATTCTCTTCAAGACACTCTATCTTTCATTGCTCCTCACTTGGAGAACAGTGTACTGTTATTAATCAATAGGACCCTCCCCCTATCACTCTTCCAAATAGCACAAATGGGCCTGGCGGCAGCTCGCAAGTATGTGTGGAATTACTTTTAGCCTTCCCTCGAACCCTGGCGGCTCAGCTGACGATTTGTTCTATCCTCCAGAAAAACAAAGATTTCCCACGATCCGAACAATACAAATTGGGCTCGATCGACAAGTGGATTCGGGCACAAGATCCTTAGCTCGCAAGGATGGACTCCGGGCAGTTTCCTCGGTGCGCACAATGCTGCACATGCTGATATGTTCACTGCTGCAAGTGCATCCCATATCCGAGTTGCATTGAAGGACGACACGCTGGGACTTGGAGCACGGCCAAAACGTGATCTAGACGAGCCCACTGGCCTGGACGCCTTTAGAGGGTTGCTGGGCCGACTGAATGGAAAATCAGACTCGGACATCGCGGCTGATCAGCGCAAGATTGATGATGTTAAACTGGCCCGGTATGTTTCTACAAGGTGGCAAACCATCCAATTTATCAGCGGTGGCTTGTTGGCGCAGGAAAAGGAAGATGCACAGGAAAAGGAAGATTCTTTGCCTGCGCGTGAGTCTCGAGGTCGCGAAGAAAACCCCGAGAATGACAATGCAGACATGGCTGCACGAGCATCGCTAGACACCAAGGATATCGATATTACCGAGAAGACGAGCAAGAAGGGGGACAAGGAGAGAAAGAAAGAAAAGAAAGAAAAGAAAGTGAAGAAAGAGAAGAAGGAGAAGAAGGAAAAGAAACGAAAGCGAAAGGAGCAGGATCAGCAGGATACTGATTCTGTAAGTCACGACGAGGACGCAACGGAATTGGATTCTCAGACCGCTACAACCGACGGGAGAGAAACGCCACTGCGCGCAGCTTTGCCATCAAGAGAGCGCCGTCCCTTGGGAAAACATATGCTCAGAGGTCGGTATATTGCGCAAAAGAAGAAAGCGCTGTTGGATGATAAATCTCTAAATGAGGTGAATAAATACTATCCTTGCCTGACCTCGGGTCCTCATGAGCCTGATGCTAACGTTGCCCAGATATTTATGATAAAATCGTAACAATTTATACATAGAGCACTACGCTGAACCATTATAACCAGTACCATTAGTTGCAAGATATTGATACCTCGCGGTCCCACTCCTCAGGACAGTTTTCCATAGATACAGTACATACACAGTATGTATAGTACAAACATGTATGTATCTATGTACATATAGTACCGTACTGCGCCAAACCCGTCAGGAATAATAATAGATAAGATAAGCTGTCTCATTATCTAATCATTCGTTCATGGGAAACCATCTTAAACCATGGAACAAATGACTCCATCTTCAGCCCTCTCATACTATTCTAATTTCCACCCTCACCTTTCCAAGCACTCAGTATTCTCTAGTGCTCGCAGGCTAGTCATCAATTAACGGGAAGTATTTGCCTTAAGAGAACTAGCAACAACTATTGCTAGGCATGGCTGGCTTTGCATAAAAGCACAAATGATCTGAGTCGCACTTTTCTCGGAAAGGGGAAAGTCAATAAAGGAGAAGTCTCTCAAAATGCCATCTGTTGACTCTCAATCGTCGACTTCGGTTGAGAACACCAAACTTGACCCTCCCCGTGTGTTTTCCAACGGAAAAAAAGCGTGAGTGTTTCTTTTTCTTCCCAGTTGCGTGCATTATTTGAATAGGGGAGATAGGGAAGGTTAAGTTTGCTGAACGAGCCCTCTGACTTTTGAATACCAGCATTCATTGGGCCCCGTTAAATATCGGCCTTGAACGACGTCTACAGACCTTTGTGGTCCTCTGTCACACCCTGACAATTGCCATATTCCTCACATGCTTTTTCTTCACCTGCGCAATACCGTTGTCCTGGCCACTGCTTTTACCATACCTGGTTTACATTTCGTTGTTCTCCACGGCGGCTACGTCTGGATCCTTGAGTGGTCGAAGCAATTTCTTGCGTTCGCTTAGAGTATGGTCACTTTACGCCTCTTATTTTCCTGCTCGTCTGCATCGCTCAGAAAATCTCATTCCCACCCGAAAATATATATTCGGATACCATCCCCATGGAATCATCTCACATGGCGCCTTTGCGGCATTCGCGACAGAGGCGCTGGGCTTCTCTAGGCTTTTCCCGGGGATCACTAATACTCTACTTACTCTCGACTCCAACTTCCGGATCCCATTTTATAGAGAATATGCTCTGGCCATGGGTCTTGCCAGTGTCTCACGCGAGTCTTGCGAGAATATATTGACAAGAGGTGGCGCGGATGGCGAAGGAATGGGCCGTGCTATTACGATTGTAATTGGCGGCGCCCGCGAATCCCTTGATGCTTTGCCATCGTCATTACGCCTTGTTCTCAAGCGGCGCAAGGGCTTCATAAAACTAGCCATTCGCACCGGTGCCGATTTGGTGCCAGTTTTGGCGTTTGGTGAAAATGACCTCTATGAGCAAGTCCGCTCGGACCAGCATCCTCTTATACACAAGCTCCAGATGCTGATTAAGCACACGATGGGGTTCACCATCCCACTTTTCCATGCCCGTGGGGTTTTTAATTATGACGTGGGCCTGATGCCGTACCGCCGTTCACTTAACATCGTTGTGGGCCGCCCCATTCAGGTCATACAAGAACGCGATAGAAGCAGAATCGATGATGACTATATCAATTCTCTTCACGAACAGTACGTGTCAGAATTGAAAAGGCTCTGGGAGCAGTGGAAGGATGTATATGCCAAAAATCGAAATTCAGAGCTTGAGATTGTTGAGTGATGTGCTAAATCTTGAAGCTCTGTGCATGGACTTTGATAACTATTGGGTTTCTCGATTTCGGAACACAATTCACGTGTGGCATACAGGATTGGCAAGTAACCAATTTGTCTCTCGGGATTCTGCTGTAGCCTTTATGTACACCGATTCGCATTCGCAGCCTGCAATAATATATAGCTATGATAAATTCATATTTGCATGTATATAGGTATATGAGACAGTTTGGCCACGAACCCTGGTTTTGACCCCATGCCTCGAAGGCCGTAGTGCAACGATTTTGGAACTAAAAAAGACGGATTCGTTGGTTAACAAAGACTGGCCCATGTTCGATGTCCTAATACTCATCAAATACCCTTGCCTAGTTTGGAGCGAACCTATACCATACCTAGTGGTACTGATTGTCAAAAAATTTCAAAATCATACTATATTTTAATTATCCAGCACCGGCTGCTCCCAAATTAAACAACTAGTGAATCAATCGTCATGAGCGCAAGAATGTCTGATAAGGTACAAGTGAAAGAGAAGCTATAGCCTGGGTATCTGTAAAGAAAAGCAAAGTGAGACAAAAAACAAGAGAAAAGAAAAGAAAAGAAGATCAATAAAAAATTGACAAAGCAGGATAAAATAAACGGAAACATGTAAACTATAAGTGCAGAAAGCAAGCGAAGTATCCACAAAAGAGGGGGTTGATCTTATGTGGTAAAAAGAAGGCGGAAGCAACATGCTCAGCGCAACGACACAATAACATGATTAGTTGAGATGATCAAGAGATCCTTTTCAGCCCGAAGTTGAATATCCGAGGCCGTTTTCTGGAATAGTAGGCCCCGAGTTCAGGCCCGGTACACCGGCTACAGAGCCAGACGCACGGCGACTGTCGGTAGCTACTTGCACACTCCCATGAGACCCCTTGACGAGGTGGCCATTCTCGATTCGATCTTGAATCATTTCGTCGAGAATTCGGGAGACTTCATCCATGCCCTTTCGCCGACAGCCAGTATCATCACCCTTCAGTGGCGGCATGAGGCTAGGACTGCTGGGAATGTCAATGTGGTCGATTTTATCCTTGTCATCCAAGGGGTACCCATCGGCCGTAAGGTGGGCAAGATCGCGATGGCGTGCAGCGGACCGGAGCGCAGCTAACATCCTGTCCTTATCGTCCAACTGTTGACGGAGCTCGTTGATTTCCATGTCCTTCTCACGGAGCAAGGTAATCGTATCTGGGCTCTCGAATGAAGAGCTTCCGGGTTTGGTACCAACCGACATACGAGAATGACTTGAGCGTCGAGCCTGTAGAAGACGCCTCTCTAAAGTGGAGATATATCGGTTTTTGTCGCCTAGGTCGGCCTGGAGAGCGGCAATTTGCCGTTGAGAACTCGCCCTGCCGTCTGCATATTCACCAAGGCTATCATCCTCATCGTCATTACCAGCAGCTCCGCCGGACAAGGGAAGGTTCGGCGAACCCTCGTTACTGTTCACAGAAAGAAACGAGATGGGTCGAGTAGAAGAATGCCCGAATGCCGCCAGTGTGGACTGGCTAGCTGAGGAACGTAAGGATCGGGAGCCGGATTCTGTAATGGACATTCTAGAGAGACGACCAAGGGCAGATAGAGACCCCGAAATGTTCACGCCGGTTGATTTTGAACAGAGAATGAGCCGATTGAGATGCTCTATTCGTTCTTTCAGGGCTGTCCGAGCCAATTGCATCTCGAGCATTTGTTCTTCGTGGCGTGTTTGTGCTTCCTTTTCCAGCTGCTGCTCCTCCAGCTTCAGCTCTTTCTCGGCCTGGGCTTTAGTCTGACTTTCCAGTTGGCCACGAAGGGCTTGGATCTCCACACGATAACGCTCCAGGAGAACCCGACTGCCTGCATCGCCACCACCACTACCAAAAGCCTCCTCCGCTTTCCTAGCGTGACTGACAATGCTGTTCTTTGCTCGTGCGGCGAACTTGAGAGTATTGAGGGTTTCAGCCACCTGCATATTGGCTGCACCCCCGAGTTGAATCGTACAGAGTATGCTCACGAGAGAATTGCCTGATAATGCAGGCTGAAGCAACCTCGTGAGTTTGCTATCTCGATACGGCAGATGCCGACCCTCACGATCAGCGGTACTGGCGGGTTTATCCTTATCATCGGAAAGGCGCGATATAATGGTGCCTAGAGTGAGTAGACTTTTATTGATGTGGGCACCTTCCGTGCGCCGTTCTTTGTCCTCGGCAGCGCGTTCAGATCCAGCCAAGTCGATCAAACTTAGTGTTGATACTCGAACACCGCCTGGGGCCATACCAGATCGCCGGTCTTGAGAGGTATTAGCGGGAGCCCGTTCTCTGCTTTCCACAACTATTTGAACGACCGCATGGCTTCGTGAGCTGCGAGCGTTAAATTGAGTGCTGCCGGTACGTCTCGCATGGTCACCTCTTGCAATCACGCGAAGGAGCTGGGTGGGACTCTGAACAATTTCCTCTTTCAGAGGAGTAGCGTATACACCCCGTTTGCTATCCTCTCGCAATTTGATTTCCTCCTGCTGAGGGCCAGCAGCACCGTTTGGACCGGACGCGGAAAGTAAGTCGTGGATCTTCTCGTTGTAAATTTCCAGATAACTGACGCGAAGCAAAAATTCTCGATGTGGCGTTTCCCTGATAAACGAAAATATGTCTGTTATGGCTAGTGGTATCACTCCTGGCGAGGTGGCAATTCCTTGCATTGAGAAGGTCTTTCCCGTGCCAGTCATGCCGTAGGCAAAGACAGTACCATGATAGCCTTCCATTACCCTGCGTACAAGGCGTTTTGCCGCAGCGTCATAGACCTTGGCATTGTGTTCATGGCTGGTAAAGACGTTATCTGCCAGCAAAAAAGACAAGTTAGTATAAGCTCTTGAAACCAGACATGCATTCGCTCGGTGAATAGAAACCTTACCATAAAAATAGTCCCCCCCTTCTTTCCCCTGAAAAGATATGAGACTTCGTCGTGCATCCAGTGTCCAATCCCCGCTAGTCTTTGAGGGATCATTTCCGTTGACATCTGGACGTACACGAACGCTCACGATGACGTTACCCTTGGCCTCTTTTGGCTTTGAATCCGACCTGGATATGCCGGTCGCGTCATCACCATCTTCGAAAGTGGTTGCACTTGTAGAATATGACCCTTGGGCGGAGGAACTTCTGCTTTGCGAGGGAGAGGCCTCCGGGTCTCGAATTTCTGCACTCAGAATGGCTTTCCCATCTGCACCTCCGTTCAATAGCGAAGGAGTTTTCGAGCTTCGGTAGCTGCTTGTTGTCCCGACGCTTAACCGGGACCCCCTCTTCATTTTTACACTCCCGGACGAATGTAGACTTTGATTCCCTGATATTGACGATGCGGTTGATGGACGGCTCGCGGCCCTTGGTGGTTGTGGAAAAGCTGCAATGCTGATAGTTCGACGTAGTGACTTTTCAGGACTGCTGGGTGCGCGCATTCCAGAAACCGACCTGGGCGCGCTAGCATTCGAAGCTGAGTGGCTCAGAGGAGGCTTGTTGCCCAATGACAGTTTCGGGCTAGAGGGCGTGCGTGCTTTGGCAGATACTTGAAACTGCGTCCTTGATGCATCGGATGTAATCGGGAAGCTTCTTCGTGACTTCGGGGCGGAAATTGAAGAGGATCCAGTTGCAGGGGTTCCGGTTGTGTTCGGTGGTTGAGGTATTGTGGACATGATGACTATCTTTCCTCGGCGACCAGCGTTTCGAGCTTGGAAGGCGATTTGAAAACAAACAATATCAGTTCGGTGCTCTGTCGGCCGTAGGCAAACTCATGGGAGGTGTAAATGGTAGACTACTAAAGCCCTCTGGTTAAGAAAATGCGCTATTCTGAAGTCAGATAGAGCTCGCAAGCATCATGTCGGAAAACGAAAACAATTATGGTGTGGCAAAAGTAGAGAGGATGAATGAAGTCGGGCCCAAATTCAACAACCCGGCATTGGGCGCGAATAGGTATGACGGAATGAAATTTGGCCCTGGGGAAATCTCCATGGGCTTGAAGAGCGAAAACCCCCAAGTTGAAGAAGGAGAAGATGAATAAACCGGGGAGGGGGCTCCATCTGGGTGCTTACTAGATTTAGTTTTTTGCTTTTATGATTGCGCCGTCTATTCAAGAAAAGAAAACCAAAAGGCTCTGCAAGTGCTTGCAGAAGAGCGAACGTGCCCTTCACTCTTTGTCGCTCTTAGGTGGAACCTTTTTTTTGCCGTGCTTTCGAGACAATAATCGTCTATGCCTCTCAGCCGGTAGTCCAGGTTTAGATGAAGTAAGGAATAGCACGAAGTGCCCCTGAGGAAGAAGGATTGTGTCTAAGTTTCAAGGTACGTTGGGGGCAGAGCGTGGATGGCGAAATGAAGGCCAAACGTGAAAGACAGAATGTGGTCGCAAAGCACGAGTGTTACACTGAATGCTTCTTGACAAGCGCAGCCACGAGGTGTTGTCTCGTAGGAGGGCGATGAGAGATGAGAGAAGGGGGGAGGGGAGCAAGAGGCGGCGCAGAGGGCTCTTTAGTTCTAGTCGCGTCTTGAAGGAGCGGGACGGACAGGTGTAGTGGTAGTGACCCCCTGTTGTAGGGGAACCACTGATTGATGCCCTTGCGGAGAAGAGGATTGTGCACCCCGTCGGTAGTTAGTAAACAAATGGCATTGGCTACCCCTCAAGGGTCAAAGTGACCTGTTGAGCCGGAAATTAAACCAGACCGGCTTTGTAATAATTAAATGTGATGACTCGGGGAAATCAAGGTTGTTTGTTTATCTTTTTATCTATTTTGGCGTGGGACTTGGGAGGCCTTAATTGAATTACGGAGAGGGGGTAACTCCGGGGGGGCGGCACATAGGTACTACCTAGGTATCCGCTGTACGGTACGGTACTGTCTCTAGAGGGATTTCAGGGATCTTCCGGCATCTTTTGAAGGGAGCAGGGACATCCGGCATGAGTGCCTTGGCCCTTGGCCCTTTGGGTGCCTTGAGTGCCTTGACCACTCATTATCAGATCCAGCAATTATTGGCTTCCCCCCTATCCGCCGAGTACACCAGGCTAATACCTGCCGAACTACTAGTGGAGATACTAAACACTACCTAGTCTTGCAGCTGCCAGTCAGGGCAAAACTCTCTTTTTCTTTCTTTTACCCCCCCCCCTTTCGGAAGCGCATTAGAAAAGAGTTGTACACATAGTGGGAGAGCAAAGAAAATGACGGCCTACGGAGTACAGAAAGATCGGACGGAAACATGTGAAAGCTGCTGCTACTGCTCCATTTTGCTAAAATCCAACTGCCGGGCGGCATTTTTGAATGGGGTCTCGTCAACTTCACCAACCTTTCTGGTGAGGTCATTGCCCATTTTCTTCGGGCCGCCAGGTTTATTCGGAAGATTATCATTCTCCGTCGGCTTCGGCTCGGTAACCCACCAACTGTGCTGTAATATCTGACATGCTGTGCTTCGCTTCCTGGGATCGAGTGTGCACATGGACATGAGTAGATCGGCGCCAACAGACCCGGCTGTCGGGAACTGCCGTAGGAAGAAATCCCGGCCTTGTACTGGTGTGATGGTTGTTGATTCCTGGGGGAAATAATTGGGCAGTCGGGTGACCCCTGGCCAGTTCTCCTCAGTTGGTGTGCCAAATGCATCACATATCTTGGAGATTTGATCCAGGTCCGAGCTTCCAGCAACGAAGGGAACTCGCAGGAGAAGCTCCGCAAACACCATTCCCGTGGACCAAATATCCACAGCACCCGAATACTGCCGTGCTCCGTAGAGTAGCTCCGGTGGCCGATACCAGCGAGTGATAACTTGGTGAGTCATGTTCAGGTAGGGGTCGGCAAACGATCTCGCAAGACCGAAATCCGCCAGTTTCACCTCTCCATCGGACGCGATAAGCAGGTTGTTGGGTTTGATGTCACGATGCAGCACAAAGTTCTCGTGGCAGAACCAGACTCCTCGCACAAGCATTCCCATCCAGGCTTTGATATCGGCTGCGCCGTACTGAACATTCACATCCTTGATGAGCATCTCCAGATCGCCACGAGGTAAATATTCCAGAACCAGATTTAGATTTTGATCCTTCGATGAGAATACGTCGTGGAGCGCGATAATGTTGGGATGTGACAATTCCTGCAGGTACTTGACTTCGCGAATCGCATCCATTGAGAGGCCATCCTTGTATTCAGTATTGACTTTGATCTTTTTTATTGCCACGAAGGATGACAAGTCAGTTCGAAGGTGACCAAGATATACTATGGCGTAAGTACCCTCGCCGAGTTTCTTATCTGCGGAATTACAACATTAGCTATAGACATAACAAGGAATCTTCCCTCCGGGGCATCGGTTAAGGAAGATGATGTTTGTACCTTTGATGTACCTATTTCTAATATCATCGTTCAGTTGCTCTGTGAGTTCCCGGCCGGTAGACTGGGCAAACTGGGGAGTCTCATTTTCCTGCCCACTAGGGGAGTCCTGGGCGGCGACACTCCTCAACCTTACTGCAGTATTGGATGATATGGTAACAGAAGGTGAGCGGGACACCAGCGGTGACACTGCCATTTTTTATGAGCAGGCTATAGAAGTTTTGTGGCTGTAGGCTGGACTGCCACGTTTTGTGCATGGAGGTGCGGTAGAGTAGGCACTCGATAATCTGATCAGTATAGCATTATTCTGCGAGCGAAGAGAAGCCAGATGAAATCGAACGATCTCAGTCTGGTCTTCTGTTCTTTCCTTCTTTGAACTCCTTTTTTCTTTATAGTTGGAGTAGATACAGAAATATTTCGTTCTTTCTTTCTATGTTCTTCCGCCCCAAGCAAGAGCTCTGCAGCTTGAGCACCCCGGAGACTCCCGGCGTTCGGACCTTTATTGTTCCTCTGGCACACCGAAATTTCTCCCGGCCGCCCCATGCATCAAACCGATTAGTGGCAGCACTTTGATACTTGTCAGCCGCTTTCAAACTACCTAGTCGAAGCATACAACCGCCCTTCGAATCGAATCGAACAATTGATTTTCAAAAATTTTCAGTCCTGCCCGCTACAGAAGACCCTGAACGGGTGTAACGAGGCTTTGCGACGACCTCGGACGTGACGTTTAACTATGACAATGCGCAGCGCGTCTCTTCTATCATCTCGAATAATCGGACCTTTCGCCGTCGGAAAGCAGTGTGTTCGATGTTTTCACAATAATACGCCATCTCCGTCTATACCTTCCCCTACCCCGTTCGTTCCCGATGTCCAAACCTTTCTTAAATTGATTGGCCGTGGCATGGCCAAGCACGAAAGCAAATTCCCTTCTTGGGACAAATTGTTTGCGCTCTCGTCGACGGAACTTCGTGACTTGGGCATTGAGCCAGCGCGCCAGAGGCGATACCTATTGCGCAAGAGAGAAAAATTTAGGCAGGGCATCTACGGCCCCGGTGGGGATTTGGACCACGTTGTGGATGGAGTTGCGCAGTTGAGGGTGGTTGAAGTCCCCTCGGATCCCAATTCCTCCGCCAAAGACGCTTTGTCCCCACAGCTTTCGGCTTCTTCGGCTACCTTGTCCCCCGGCATGAGGAAAACCATTGTCAATCTCCCCCCGGATGCTATCGAATACACCCACGACTCGTCGAAATCGCTCAAGAAGTTTGCGTACATGAAAATCCATCGCGGTTCTATGGTTCGTGGGCCGTTCTTACAGCCGATCAAGGGCGCAAATGGACAAGCATGCACTATCCGAGCTGAGGAGGGGATGTGGGAAGACAAATTGGGACAGAAGGTGGACGGTGGAGAAAGAAGACGTGCTGAAGTCAGAGCTAAGCAGAGAAGTGAGGAAAGGAGGAAAGGAAAGGCCTGAAGACTGTTTTCCTGGACTAGATATCTTGCAGATTGTATATTAATTATTGCCTTTGATGTACTGTACTTGAGTTTGATCTAAGCGCATACCATGATTAACCCACACCCTTCCTAGCACGCTAGTTTACAAATCATTTTGAAGCTATACCATTTGCTCAGGCAATGGTGAGATAGCGAGCAATTTGTGAACACCCTTAAACCGATCTGTTGTGGGAAGTTATGGCTCATTGTTGAGCTGATCTTTCGACAACCAACGAAGACAATCATCATTGACAACGCCTTATCTTCAAACCCCTGCAACGTAAAGAATAACATTCTGGGATTCTTCCAAAGGACGGCATTGGTCTTTAAATGATATTGAATGAAGACAATTCACATTACTATTAATGTATTAGCGATGATGGGATAGATAGGGTACAAGACCAAGAATTTATGTACACATGCACAACCGCATTATATGTATTGATAATTCTTCTCCTTTTCTTCAATTACTGGCGCGTTTCTTGCCATCTCCCATAGCCCCAGCATTATCATCTTTCCGTGCACTCTATAAGATGTTAGAAACATTGATGTATCGATGCAAATGTTCAAACAGAAAACTAGACGTAGAAGGGCGAAATGAACGGAGAGCCTGAATTATGATTTGACAGATTCACGTTTCTCAAACTGCACGAAAGATTTGCCAAGAGGTTTCGAAAATAGGGACTGCGCTGGGTTAGTTATTGCAGTTCATGAGGTGGAGTTCTTAAATATGTCTAAGTCTTACCGAATAGTCCGTATCCGGAATTCTCTCAACTCCCGGCAGGTTGCGAAACTTGAAAAGTCGTACCAAAGCTGCGGTTATTGCTCCCAGCTGAATATAGGCGAATTGTTCACCGATGCATCTATGTCTACCGGCGCCAAATGGGAGATAAGGACTATTGGTGCCTTTGTTGACCAAACCATACCCATAATCAATCTTCTCCTCGTCGTCAGTGTTGGAAACGACGACTTCATCCCAACGATGAGGATTCCATTCCAAAGGATTGGAGAAGTGTTCCTCTGATCGTGCCGTGACGCCAGGAGAAGAAAGGACATTGTGCGTAGTTGGAATAACATAGGGCGTGCCTTCAACCGGCATCGGGTTCTTCACAGCTCGGATGATAGAGTGAATCGGGGCATGAATGCGCAAGGTCTCCTTGATAACCTTGGTGTGTAGATCCAATTTCTGCAGGCCTTCATATGTGAGTGCGGGTAGATCGGACCCAAGTACACGAAGCTGTTCTTGGTAGAGCTTTTCCATTATATCAGGGCACGAAGCGAGACGCAAAACGATCCATGCAGCGGTGGATGAAGAGGAGTGTTGGCCAGCCATAAGCAGAGCAATCATCATATGCGCAATTTCTTCGTCAGGAACTGGTGTGCCATTCTTGTACACACAAGACATGAGGTTCCAAACCATATCTAGGGAGTCTTTCTGATTTCCAGTCTCCCGGCGCTCCCTGATAATTTCCATGTAGGTTTCGGTCATTTTTTGTTGAGCCGCGTCGCGCTTCCGGTTATGGGGAAGGGGAGCCCAGGGTAACATGAAATTGATGGGGGCAAACCCCATGTCGAGATTGTGATACAGCTCGGCGAACGTGGAATCGAACCGGTTTCGAACTTCCTGTCCTTGTAAAGAACGCGAGGCAGTATAGATAGTGATTTCGGCAATTGTTTTCGAAACATCAAAGACACCGCTAGAGCCCTGAAAAGCAGGGGAGTTTTGCATGAAGTCTTCCACCTCATCGGTAATCAGACGGACATATGAGCGAAGTGCGTCGGATGTAAGGCCAAATTTGACAAACTATGCTCATCAAGAAATGTTACTTTTATTTCATAGAATAGGGGTCAACGGGGAGGTAACGGGGAGGTAACGACTTACTTTTTTCTGTTCCATGAGTTTGGCATTGGGGCAATCATACACCACATGGCGACCGAACACAGGTGTCGTAAGAGGCGAGTAAACCTCCTCAGCGCAGACGTCTTTGAGTTTGCCGTTCAGAATGAAATCGTTTCCCTTGGTACCTAGATACACTGTCGTCTTCTTGCCAAGAAGAATGAAAGTGAAGATATCGCCGTACTGCAAAGTAAACCACGTGAGCGAGGGAGACAACTGGAGGTTTCTCGAGACCCAGGGCTTCTTCATACCTTAGCGCGGCATTCAAAAAAGAATTTGTATGGTTCCATGCCATAGCTTATCGTGCTACCTATGAAAGGAAACCAGTGAAAAACAACGGGAGGCTCTCGTGAGTTCCTGAACAGGACTTGTCGCAAGACATTGAGAACAACAGATGCAGCGAGCAAGATTATCAATCCTGCGCCACTGAGGGTTCCAGTGGACAGACTTGAGCAACGCTCATGAAGGCTGTCTAGAATAACGGCCAGGAAGCCCATGGTTGAATAGAGGAGGGGGGGATTTAACTAGAAGAGAACATGAAATATTGGAGGAGTGTCTCCTTGTGAGGCACTCTCCTCAAGTTTTGAAGAGTTCCAAAAATCAACGAAGTAGAAAAGGAACTCTGTTGGTATAAAATTTCCCAGGGTGATAAGGAGACGACGCGGTGAATACGAAGTTTACGAACTGTTAGGTGGGAAAAAAGTCCGACCCGCCCGTGCGTGGACCTGGTTCCATGGGCCTGGAAGTAAGCGCTAATAATTAGCACTAACAGTAGTCTATCGCCGAGTGCTCTACGGAGTACGCAGTACAATGTATGTACTTCGTTTAGTCTGTACTATAGACAAATTCGAAAGTATTCTTCCGACAGTCTGCAAAACCAAGGGGGAAAGTAATATCATATTACCTATGGTTATCAACAGCCCAAATGCATAACTGGTGGAACGAGCACTTGGTTTACCAGGTGCCTTCAAAGGTCACCAATGAGACCAGACAAACAAATTTGGGGGTTGAATATTGGATATTAGATAAGGGGAGGGCGCCGGGGCGACCAAAAGAAATGAATGAAAAAAGGAAGAAGAAGCAAACTGCTGCCCTTTTCTGGTAATCATACAAACGTATCCGGGAAGAATGGACCAAGAGAGCCTTCTAGTGGTAGCGACTTGTCGGATCCTCCTCGAATAACGCTGGATCTCCGCGCTCTCCGAGATTTGCGAAATCCTTGGGAGCACTGTTCTGATTGGGCGAGGCTTCCTGGTCATCAGAAGCCTTCGCAGGGCGATTATGAACGCGTTTTTCGACGTTGTTTTTGTGAAAGACCTTCACGGGTGCACCGGGCCCTTCTTTGCGCTCGCTAAAATCAACATCATTGATGCTGCTGAGCAAAGTTCGCTCACGCGCCATCTTCCTTTTCGAGAAGTCTAGCTTTCCCAGAGCTCCTGTCAGCCCATCTGTACTATCGGAAACACTCGGGTAATTCCCCGTTAACCACGGGTGTTCGAGACATTCGTCTATAGTTATCCTTTTTTCCACATCAACTGTGAGCATCCTATCAATTAGGTCCAAGGCCGGATCGCCCACAGAGTCCCAGTACGGGGAAGGATAGTCAAATCGCCCCATTTTGATCTGTTGCGCCAAAGTGTATGGGTTTTCGCGAGTATGAAGCTCATCGGAGAACGGAGGAAAACCGCAAAGGCATATGTAAAGAACGACGCCAAGGGACCAGATATCTACGGCTTTGGTGTATTTGCGACGACGCGTCTCTTGGAGAATCTCAGGCGCCACATCTATACAGTTAGTATGCAACGGTGAGGACAAGATTTATGGGCGACTTACAACTCGGAGTTCCGCACCTATGAACTCAGGATAACTTGTTAGTATGCTGCAGGGAACCTAGTCAGGAACCGGTGGGATTTGTTACGTACAAAGTTGTCGTGAATGAATCTTCTCCAATTATTTTAGCAAGCCCAAAGTCGCCAAGTTTAACGGTTAACTTCTTGTCGACAACCAGAATATTCTCAGGCTTAATGTCTCGATGAACGATCCCACGGTCATGCTATGTAGTCTGTTCTTAGCTTTATTGTGCCCAAGTAAAGAACGAAAAGAATGCTGCTTACCAAGTATTTCAGCCCCTCAAACAGCTGGAGAAATATGTGTCGCGTCTCCTTTTCCGAGAATTTTTGTTTGCTGACTATGAGATTGAACAATTCACCTTCTGGTGCAAGCTCCAGAACAAGGTACACGCCATCACTTTCGTCAAAGGTATCCTTAAGACAAAGTAGATTAGGGTGATTGACGCCCATTAAAAGACCTATTTCATGGTGCAAAGGGTCCGCCTGCGACTTCTGAGAGTCACCAGGGCGTTTTTCGAATAGCTTCACGGCATATCTAGTTCCGGTCGCCCGCTCTACGCAGAGATAGACGGTCGCAAAATGCCCTTTACCAAGCTGTTGGAGGATTCTGTACTGCTGGCGGAAACCGTGGGTATCCCGTGTCCGAGGGTACCGAAACACAAAACGCGCTTCGTCTAAGATTGTGACCTCGTCACCATCTTCGAGTTCACGATGTTTATTGCGCCCGACGATTGCGTCGTTGACGAATGTTCCATTGCTAGACAAGTCTTCTATGATAGCGACGAAATCGCCTTTCTTGTTTTCGGAAAAAAGCAGAAAATGTCGGTTGGATATGGTGGGTATGTTGATGACCAGGTCTGAATCTTGTCAGCTACTTCATGGACTCACGTATACAGGCTCCTCTACCTACCGCACTCGGGATGCCGGCCCACCAAGTAACCTCCCGGGGAACGAGTTTGTTTCGTGGATTTCTTGCTTTGAGCTTGAGGCCCCTCGGGTTTGTTTCCGGGCGTTACATTTCTGCGTTCGCAGCCGTCCCGTTTTCTCATAACGAGCGCGTCTCGAAACTTGTCATCGAGAGGTATAAGATAGCCCCAGACTCGTTCGGCAGCTTCATCCTCAACCTCATCTGCAAATGCCCTGGGAGGGTAAATGAATTGGGAGAGAGCTTGGGTATCACCGGGTGGGGAGGAGCATGATTGAGGCTGTTCTGAACGTGACGGGGTTTGTGGATGCACCTGGTTGGAGATATTCGGGGGAGTTGCTGTTACTTCCTTTCTGATGTCGGTTGCAGTTGAATTCTGTTCAGTCAACGGGGTAGGCAGATAGGACTGATTGACCGGAGTTTTGGGGGATTGACTCTGAGATAATCTCTGTGACCGTCGCAGCTTTTTCAACTCTTGCGAATCTTCCTCGGTGCTGATCTTATCCAATCCATTGTTAGTAACTTGAAAGATTCTGAACTGCTATCACATACTCTGTTCCGTTTGAGAGAACTCTTTTCATTTCGAGGTGCCATTGCTTCTCATTAATGATTTATCATGTCTTGTCATAATTTGAAAAGCAGCCAGTCAACTTAACCAGACAGGAGTTGGCGAACAAAGTCTAGGTGTGCAGAGAGAGTTGAAAACACCACTGAGTGGCCATCCGAGTAGGTTAATTCATCCTTGGGAGGCTGTACTGGATGATTTATGGATTCTGAGGTTTGAAACTTGGAGGAAAAGAATAAAGATTGCGGAGATACTTACCTGCACGTTAGTAAGGACGGATTGCACCTCCTAGATACATACCTTACCTAGGAAGGTAAGTACCTACAGATAGGCTGCACATACTGTACTGCCAGACGGACAGATATCTTACAGTACGGTACCTTAGGTATGTATGTATGTACATACATGTACCCAATCAGAAAACCTACCTACTTCCATTACCTGGTAGGTACAGTACATAGATACCTAGGTAGATTCTCAGTATAGAGTACTCCATACATACCTATCCATGACGTAAGATATGTACTGTACATAGGTACCAGGTAAGTATGTAAGTGTCAAGATTCTGTATTATGAGTATCCGCTATAGAATGAATACCTAGATACTGTACCGGAATCTAATTTACAGGCAATGACGTAGATGTTTCCTGGCTCCTAGGTATGTATGTGCACCTAATACTGCCTGTATGTACATACATATATCTAATCACTGGTATTCTCACAATAGCAAGGAAAGCTAAGAATAAGCTTGAAAATTTATATCTACCTTCAACTAGCCTGGTCGTAGATAGTTTTACATGCTCTCTATATATACTGTCTACACATACATACTGTACAGTGTCAGTTCTGTACAGGTATACTACCTATTTATCCATCCATGGATGTCGGGTAACTACCTAGGTATGTGGGGTATGTACTGTATGTATGTACATAAATACACGTACTGTATTGTTGCCCGTGCTTGTCGTACCTCGGGATAAGATTAAGTGGGCATTCAACATCCAGGGGCTTGAACTCCATGACTTCCACCGTTCAATTATCATAGGAAAACAAAACAAACAAACGAACACATACCATATTTACAAACGCGATTTATATTGATGGATGAGTGAGTGCGAATAGACCCATCTGCCCGACATCTTCCCTAATTACCCGCAGCTTCTCCGCAGACGTAAGGTTCTCAGCCTTCGAGAAGCTTGCAACACTAGCTGTTCAAGCCCCAGCGAACGATGAGGGATCGGATATTGCGCGACTGTCTCGACACTACCAGCACCCAGCACACTGTTCGAGTGGCTTAAATGGTACTTTGAGATCTCAAGCTCCGACATCCAGGGTGCCTATGGTTTGCTTTTCCAACCCCGGATCTTGCAAAGTACGGGTGAACTAAGCTCAAGCGTGTAGGGCATTCGGGAATTGGATGTTCTTGTGGCGCTATGCAAAGCATCTTCTTCGGTCAACAAATTTGAGCATGCATCCAGACTGGTTGTACAATTATCCCAATATCTTCCCGAATCACACAGCCAGCTCTTTCGTCCGTCGCCGTTCTTGCATAATGTGAAACCATCACCTTGGGAGGCTCTTACCTTCAACATTACTTCCGCTCTTCTGAGACTCGGTCTAGAGTATCCAGAACTACGTGAGAAAGTCGCTAGCGCTGTCAATGGGTATTTGGATAACTGTGCAGAGGCAATCAATGTTGCAATGCCGTTGCTGAACTGTGGTTCTGGGACAGAAAAGCACGGGGCAGTTCACGAGTCTGTCGGTGTCCTTTCAATCGCTGTCTCCCTTGTTGGCTTCCTAGAAGCCTCGACTATGTTTACTCCGTTCTGGACTGCCACGAAACAGCTGCAGATACTCCAGCAACTGCGAACAATCCTGTCCGAAGGATTCATGATTGCCGTCGAGACTGCCTCTTCCACAGTGCGTAACGCAGAAACATCCGATCACGGACTCAGGGATTGGAGAAAGTACACTCGGCGATACTCTGCCGATGGGCGACCCTTGGGAGCTATGCTGCTGCAGGCAGGTCTCATGCAATTCGTGAAAGCCTGCGCTACGTCTCTTATTGGTGCGCAAAACTGCTCTGATACTGAGCTCTTGGACGATTATATGAACGGAGTTGGTATTGCTCGAAGCCACGACGAGGCCGAAGTCAATCTTGTCGATTGCATAACCGAGGTCATCGCCGACCAAATCCAGCTTCTGGATGATGGATCCGATTATTTGCAACTCGGTTCACCATTACAGCAAAAACTCGCTTTTTTCGTCAAGGCATACGCCTTCATCGGCTATCTTCAATGTGTTATTCTCAGCGGAAATACAACTAATAGCGAGGACTTTCAAGGTTGGCTAGAGGATGTACTGATGGATCCGAATCAGATGTCTTGCTCGGAACTGGCAACTGCTACTTTGAAAAGTATAGCGATCGTTGCCAAAATGTCTCTGAGTGGGGCCGCCTCTGGAAGTCGCTCACTTTTACGATACATTGTCGAAGGAGGTGTGCCTAGTCGATCTTCTAGCTGTGTTGCCGCGAAGTGTCTTGCACAAGTTCTTGGCATCCTCTCACAAGATGCGGTTATCACTACGCTGTACTCGCTGGGAAATGTTTTGAGTCCTGGCTCAGGCAGTGAAAATATCTACAATGGCCAGTTGATGACAGAAGCTTCTGGGCATGGAAATGCCGTTTCAACTTCGCACCAAAGAAATGGCAGTGTAACTTCCCTTTCGTTGGACGGCGAGGAAGGCAAGGTGCCTTATAGGAGTGTTGTTCATGCTATTGTAACAATTGCGACCAACTGTTGTGATGAAAAAATTAGTGCCTTGGCCCAGTCAATGTTATTACAAAAGATCGGCAAAGTCAATGTCGCAGTTGATGCATATATCATCAAGGAGACTGCTTCGCTGTCTTTGAGCACTGGACAGGCCGAATTCCAGCTTCTACTCAAGTTCTATGACCGTATCTACTGGGATGGAGTCATAAAGGGACAAGGCAGCATAACAAAAGCGGTGCAAAGCGCAATGGCGTATCTGTCTGTCTCCCTGAAGAAGGATTCTCCACTCTATAGAGTATATCTGGTGCATCTACTTGAAAGTATTGTCAACAAGGGCGATGCCACCGATTCTGAGAACGAGCGACAGAAGGATATCGTTCTAGCGCCTGACGATATAATTCCGTTGCTGAAACCATTGGCACTGCTTGTATCTTCCGAACAGCCTGGTGGAAACGGCAAAGTGGCCGTGGATTATGACCAGGCTGTCTCTAGTTTGTTTCGCGATGCCTGGTTCAACCTTGCTATTCATGGAATATCTCTTAGTTCAACTGTCGCACAAAAGCACCACAAGGTGCTGAGCTTATTTGCCATTCACTCTCCTCCCCTTGTCTCGGAAGATCGCATGGAGATGTTGGAAAGCGATGTTGAACTCAATACAATCCTTAGACGGGGATTGAGCCCACAACGTCATCTGGAGCAAAAGAGGATGTTGATTTCAGAACTTCCCAGTCGCGAATCAGATATTAAACGCCTGAACTACCCAAAGTCCGTTTTTCTTAATGCAGTCTTGCTGATTGAATGTCTTCGTGCTTCGTCTGGGCATTGCACCAAAATCCTCGACTACTTCCGCGATCCCGCCCTAGCCACCGTTGAAATGGCTAGTTGCATGGGTGACATTGCAGAAAAGATCGTCTCTGACTATCTCGCTTTAACTCTTTCCGGGAAACATACGATTTTCTCTGTTCCATTCTTGTCAAAAGAATTGGCTGGATTTTTTGTGGCATGTTGCCATCGCATAGAAAGAGTGCAAAACGTTGCCGTTATTTGTGCCAACAAAATAATAAAAGAATGCCCGTCAGCAATATGTGCAAAACATTCGCTTTTTGCATTGCTTGAGCTTTTGACCGTGATGTGGAACTCCTGCCTTGAGGAAGATTTGGATGAGTTTGAATGGAAACCTTCGTTTACCTCGCCCATGGGAATTGTCAAAGTTGATCTACCTGACAATTATGTTTTCCGAAGGAAGACTTTGGACATTTTCCTTGAGCGAGCCACAGCATGGGTAACAGCAGTCATCAATGTGGCGTCATTGGACATAAAAGGCTTACTCCAGGTAAGTCCCTCGCTGATCACTCAGAAGCTGGTGCCTGACTAGCAGTTAGACGTATCTGTCCATGCCTGATTATGGGACTGGCTTTGATCAAGTTTCAATGGGTCGTTCCTTTGCGCTTAACATGGGATCGCTTATTCCTAAAAGTGACCAACGACTTGGTAGGCCTCGGTGCTCGCTTTTTCCATGGAGAAACAGTCTCTGACAGTTTAATTCGCGTTTAGGGTCATTAGAAACTCACGGTTTGGGCGTAACTAACGTTGCCTCCGACTTCATCAGCCAGTACTCTACACGTCAAAAATATAAGTTTTCAGATGCGCTTTCGATTGGCAGCGGAAGTCTGACAGCTGGGAACAACGGTTCGTATACTTTGGTTGCTTGATACTCGGCGAGCTAATTTATACATATCTAGGTTCCAATGTCTCTGTGGGCCCAGTCACATTGTCGGGATCAAGTAGTGAAGTGGAAAACATGCTATTTGAACTTCATCAAAAGGTTAGGAGGCAAAATGACCTGTCTCTTGTGGAAATCCGCGAAACACTACAACGTGCGGCCGCTGTTTTGTGTAGTAGCATTGACCCTCACCCCTCCATCTCCCATTTTCTGGTATCTTTGCCATTCGAAATCTTCTCTGAGGAATCGATCAATATGGGCATTTCTTTTTGGATGGGGGCTATCCATGAAAATCCCAGGGTAGAGCCAAAGATTTTAGTGGAAATCTTAAATGCTTGGGAAAGGACGATTCAGCGCAAAAAGGGACTTTTTGATCCTTCCTTCGAGTAAGTTGACACATGGCAAAGCTCGTTTCAGCAACCAATAATAACAAGTGCCTGTGCTAGCTACGTGGACCCGATGTACGCAAAGATCGAACTTTTGCCAACTGACAAAGCCTTGGTACTCAGAGAACAGCAAGACGCCCAACGTCATCTAGCACCGCATTTGCGCATTCTTCAGTTTTTTGAGAGCCACTTCAATGCTATCCGATTGGGGAATGTGCAAAATCAAAGATTGTTCCGTCGCCTTGTTGACCGAACAACCACCGGGCTTGCGCAAACCAGTGGCCACCCTTTGGCTAGGGAGCTGCATTTCCGCATCGTTCTATTTGGGCTGAATGTTTTGGGGCATTCTGGCTCAGTCGGCACTCCCTGCTTGTGGAAACTTAAGGATCAGATTCTCTCTGGCGCCTTGAGTTGGTTTAAACACGCTCCTAGGTATGTCGTCCCCACCAAGAGACCTAGAATGGCTCTTTAACTGTAATCGTGCAGGTGGTCCTTTGGCGGTAATCGACTGCAAATCAAGACCGAAGACAAGATAATCGGCGACGTGATGTCTGCCCTGGGGAAGACGGCTAGCATTTCATGTGACACGTACGGGCCATACAAGTCCTTGCAGGCAAAGCAAAATCTTCTTAATGTTCTTTTGGAGAACGAGAGGTCTCGACTTAGGGTTTGGTTGTATCCGTTGGATCCCGATCGTAAACATTACATATCTCAGTCGCCCACCAATCGGAATCATACAGAGGTTTGTTCCCAATACTCGTGTATATGACATGAAAGGCAAATCTGATCTCTTCTTAGGAGGCTACTTCTTTGTTGCGACTTGCTTGGGCTGAGAGTTCTGGCTTAGCTATACAGCTCGCTACCCGCTTCCCGTCTGCGAAGATGAAAAACGACATTCGTTGGCTACTGCTAAACTTCCCCGAAAAGGTTATCGATGAACCTAGCGGCCTTGAGATCATGTTCGGGGACTCGCTGCCTGCGGATGTGTCATTCCAGTTGAAGGTTTGGACCCCTGCTCCTGGATAAATTCTAGGACTAGATCATGACTGATATGTGCAGTATTTGTTGTACTGGGCGCCTGTCAACCCCACAGAAGCCCTGACTTATTTCCTTCCCGCGTATGGCAATCACCCCTTCATTTTACAGTACGCAATGAAGGCCCTGGAAAGCCATCCCATTGATGTCCGCTTCTACTTTGTTCCGCAGTTGGTGCAGGCTCTTAGATATGATGCATTGGGTTACGTCGAGCGCTACATCCTGGAAACAGCCAAACTGTCTCAGTTATTTGCGCACCAGGTGATATGGAACATGAAGGCAAACTCCTATAAAGACGAGGATTCCCAAGTGGTGAGTGCCTACGATAATCCGAACCCTATGGCTTGGTCACTAACATTGAATCTGCAGCCGGATCCGCTCAAGCCGACACTGGACAAATTCATGGATGATTTGATAGCAAGCTTTTCTAACGAGGAGAGAAATTTTTACGAACGCGAATTTTCCTTTTTCAATGATATCACAGGGATATCTGGGAAACTTCGGCCGTATATCAAAAAGAGCAAGCCAGAGAAAAAGGAGAAGATTGAAGAAGAACTCCGTAAGATCAAGGTGGAGGTTGGCGTTTACCTCCCCAGCAATCCAGACGGAGTTGTTGTTGGGATCGATCGCAAATCCGGAAAACCTCTACAGAGCCATGCGAAAGCGCCATACATGGCAACATTCCGAATTCAAAAAACGAAGACAGTCTTTGGACCAGCGAGGGTCTCTGGGACCCCAGCTGCTCATGCTGCAGAACAAGACTCCGAGCCTGTATCTTCGGGCGCTGATACCCATGACCAGAAACAAGAGACCTATGAGGTTTGGCAGTCGGCCATCTTCAAAGTCGGCGATGACTGCCGTCAGGACATGCTGGCCCTACAAATGATTGCCGCATTCCGCAGCATTTTTGGGAGCGTCGGGCTAGACGTTTGGGTGTTCCCTTACCGAGTCACCTCGACAGCCCCTGGTTGTGGTGTGATCGACGTCCTCCCCAATTCTATCTCCCGGGACATGCTAGGCAGGGAGGCAGTGAATGGCCTCTACGACTATTTCGTGTCCAAGTATGGCGGAGAGGACTCCATACGTTTCCAGGAAGCACGCACCAACTTTGTCAAGAGTATGGCGGCTTACTCCGTCATTTCTTATCTCTTGCAATTCAAGGACCGTCATAACGGAAACATCATGGTCGACGATGCGGGCCACATTATACACATCGATTTCGGGTTTTGCTTTGACATTGCCCCCGGAGGTGTACGCTTCGAACGCGCGCCTTTCAAGCTCACTTCCGAGATGGTAGCCGTCATGAGCGGGTTTGGTCAGACCGCTGGTGGATCTCATAATCCGACGATGACGCAGCCATACCGGTGGTTTGAGTCGCTAGTGGTGAAGGCGTTTCTCGCGTCGCGTCCCTACAGCTCCAAGTTGTCCCAAATCGTGTCCCTGATGCTCGACAGTGGCCTCCCGTGCTTCAAACCCGAATCGCTGAAGAATTTCCGTGACCGTTTTGTTCTCGACCGGAGTGAGAGAGAAGCGGCCGAATACATGCGGGAGCTTGTCCGCAAGTCTTACATGAGTGTTTCCACCAAGGGATACGATCAGTTCCAGCTGCTCACCAATGGTATACCGTACTAGAGGGGAGGGAGGATGGGTTTACTATTGTTCTTTGTTGTTGTTCTTTGTTGTTGTTTTCTTTCTACTTCCCTTCTCATTCTTTTCGTCTCTCTATCTCTTATTAGTTCGCAAGCTAGACAATTGTGGTTGCACTATTTTCAGTCTATGTAAGCCCTCTTTTACACTATGACATCGAAAACGATGATGGCTTGCCCATTTAAATATAGCTCAATCTGGATAGCTGTCCACCCCCGACTTTTCTTTTACCCAAATTATAGGGCAGGTTGACTACTGGAGCAAGTCCCTTAAAAAAACAGAATAATAGTTACCCTAACCCTAAATTTTAATTATGCAATGCGTGGCCCAGTCTGATTATCTGTGGACACCTCGCCGGGCTGTTGGCTGATCACTTTGAACATACATAGCGTGGGCAATTAATTCTTGGACTCTCACTCTCGCTCGCTCTCTCTCTCTCTCTCACATCATGGGACCGCTTCGAATTCATTATGGCACTTTCGGATCGTCGACTGCTTCGTCCTGGAAGACAAAAGAAAGAAATTGGAGCAGTAGAGCAACTCTTGAAAGTCAGCTTGAATGTAAATTCCAGCGCTGGGAATATGAAAGATTATAGGTATTCATATAAAACAAATCTCAAGATTGACTGCATGTGAAGACTGTCAACTAAACTAATTCTGATGCAATTTGTGGCTACTTAAATACTTTCATGCATAAAGTCATCAAACCCGTCCCCGAAACGCATGGAACGACAGGAAGAATAAATTGAATCCGCTCATCAACGTAAAAACAAACTCCTCCAAGTAACCTGACAAGACGATTTTGGTGGTGGTAAAGCTCCCACCTGCCTCGGTGGTGCCAATCAATAGTTAGAGCACAATCAAATTGTAAAAAAATCATGTACGACAAGAGTGAGAAGAAATTTAGCGAGGGGCAGAAATACAGAAGAAAGAATTGGAAAACGAAAGAAAAGAAAAGAAAAGAGAGAAGAAAAAGATAGAGATAGGAAGAGTTCTACCTAATCCATAAAATCCCCTCGAAGAATCTTCTCTTGGAAGAAGTCCGGCTTGTTCTGACGGGGTTGCTTGGGTAGCTCCCGAGCAGGCTGCTCCATCGAGGCAATCGAAGCTGCACGTTGATGATGGGCAGACTGGCCTGCGTAGACCGAATGCTGGTTGGAAGACCCGTTGGGAGAAATGGCACCAAACGAGGGTGCACGCTCCGCTCGGCTCCGAAGGGCTTCGGACCAGTTGAAGCCTTCGCCTAAGAGTCGCCCAGAGGAGTTAGACCTTTCGTTCTGAGGAGCAACTTGATCTATACCTGCACCAATTGATCCGGTGCCGGTGGGCAATGACGCAGTTTGACGTCGTCTACCAGGAAAGACTCGCTCTTGAGGGGGGTATTTACCGTTGCTAATACTTCCAGCGCGGGCTTCACGTAGAGCTTGTGCGCCAAAAGAGACTCGCCGGGCGAACGGTGAGCTCGGGGTAGCACCGGAAGGGCCGTTTTCGCTATCCTCGGTGACCGCATCCTCGTAGGTCGCCGAGTTGGATCCCACGGAGCTGGATACGCTGCCTTGTCGGAAATTCCGGGGGCCCAGCGAAGAAGTTTGAGTCGGAGAACCCGAGAGCCCTAGCGTAGTGATCGAGAGCCTCCGGCCTTGGTTGGATTGCGCGTTGGCTACTGCGCTGGCCATGGGACCCGTTGAGGCCGAGGTACTCCCAGGGTTTGCAGACTTTGAAAGATAATCGGTGAAGGAGGAGGCTAATGAGGCCCGCCTCTGACGTCCCGAAGGAGGCGGTACAGATATAGGCGAGGTCGAACGGTCGTTAGACATGTTACCAGGAGGAAACGGGAAGCAGTCGATGCTCTCTGAATTGAGATGTTGTGTAGATGAAAGGAACAAAAGAAGGAGAAAGGGACCAAAAAGGCGGGACCGAGTTTGGCTCCAAAAATGAAGCACACCGTTGCTTCTCTCGAGTTTAGATTAACCGACGCGGAGGAAGATGGGTCAGACGGGACAGAGCTCCTGAGCCGCAATCATACGATTGGGCCCATAAACAATCAAAGGAGGATAACGAGGAAGTTCCCCAATACGGGGAAAGCGATTCAAAGAAGCCGTTGAAACGGCGAGGTAACTTAAGAGATAGGAAACGACAAGGGAGAATTGAAGGAGGGGTGGGGGCAAGAATGAAGGCTTCTCTAGCCTTGATGGAAGGGCAAATAAGAAAGAAGATTTAGATTGAAGTCGGATTCAAAGGAAAGACGGTAGAAGATATAGACAGATAATGCGAGGGGCGATGGGCGGGGAGAAATAAGAACAATAATAATGGAAGGAGGACAGGAAGAAGGAGGGAAGGAAGGAAGAATGGCGAGAGAGATGGACAGGCGGACGGGATGGAGGGGGGTGGAGCCAAGAGGAGGGAGATTGTCGAAGCAGAGTTAAGCGGGGAGGCAAAAAAAGGGAGATTGGACACAGCGTAGGGAATCGATCAATCAAGCAATGGGAATGGATCGCCTGAATGGGCGAGGTGATTGGACGAAACGGTCCCTCGTGCAGGTGAAGTCCTGGGAAGCTAGAAGAGCTTAAGACAGCCAAGGACTGCGCTCCCTGGCCACCTCCGGGGTCGTAGGAAGCTTCGATGGAGTTCTCCGAGGTGGGAAAGATGATGGATAGGATCGAACGAGATGCCGGGGGAGCCTCCTACCGAGAGGGAGTGACACGAACGAATTGATACTACGGAGTACGTAGTGAAGAATGAAGAAGTGATGATGAAACGGTCCACCGATCGACGGGAGGTTTTACCCCACAAATTCCCATCCGCTGACCGTGGGCCGCAACGGGTCTAGCCTCTACGGGGTTGATGATTCACCATCTTCCCTTGGCCTTCACAGTAACTACGCAGTGGACAAGGACTACCCAATTTGCAAATCTCATATTTCCAAGAAGAAAGTTTACCAGAATCACAGAGTATGTAGTATTTGCTTGGTCTTCCTGCATTTCCCCTCTCCCCCTCAGGACGGATCATTTATTTCCCTACCCAGCACTGGGAGGAGGGTGGAAGAGCTGTATCAGTCGCCCTGCAACGCTCGGTTCAATCTCCGTCCCGTCCCTGGCAATTTTGATCTCCCGGTTAGCATTCCAGGGATTTCGCAAGCCTCTGGTGCGGTGGAAGGGAACCCGCTCGGTCGACAGCCACTGAATCCGGAATGGCCTGCCGATCGATTGAAACCCCGGCTCTGATGTTTCTTCAACGACCTCGCCGGCACTTCTCTCGCTCTTGGCATCCTCCTCCTCATCCGAAGACGAATCGGCCTCCCAAAAGATGGTGCCCCGTGCAGCGTCGTTGATGATACGCCCGGTGGGCGCCGTTTCCGTCGCCGGGGTCGGTGTCATGTCCACTATCGGGGATTCCGGATGGACATGGTCAGCCCGAGAGGGCATCGCCAGGGTCAAGGCATCGTCGTCCTGGATCGGCGATATCATTCTGGCATACCCGTAGTATTCCCCGGATTTGTTGGCAGAGAATACAAGGTAAACATTATTTGCACTCTGAAAATGTCGGTCAGCGTTCATGCTCACTTGGGCTGTCGCGGATGGACCGTTCCTTGCGGAATATGCGAGAGAAGCCTCACCTCGTAGGCTTGATTCAAGCAGTCTTCGTTGTGAGACTGGGTCGCCCAGATCCCGCTGTGTCGGCTAAACTCAAGGTCTTCAACGGTAAGACTCTTGACGATGAAGTATCGGTTCGGAACCCAGAAGCTTGGCTCGCTTCCGGTGGTGCCCTTAGTGCCAGAATTAGCCTTTGTCCCCTCGCTGGTATCTGCGGCCGTCCGTCCGTCGCCATCCTGCACGGGAGTCGAGGGTCCCGAGGGGTCGACATTGGAGGCCGGGGTCATTGGACCCCGTCGCAGTCGGCAGACCAGACGTGCCCCGTGAAACCTGGAATCATTGAATCTCTCTAGTGCTGTATTGCAAGCTGATTCCGTTTTATAGTTAATGAAGGCACAATTACTCTTCGATATGAGAAACACGCTTTCCACATCCTTGGTAGCATCTCGAGAGAAGTAGTCCTTGAGATCAACGATAGTGGCACCCGGGGGGAGATTGCCAACCCACAAGGCGTGGCCAGACTGTTTCGGTTTCCTTGATGGTCCTATTGGGGTCACCGACGGGGTCTGATTTGGGTGGATCGAAGTAGAATCTGGTATCCCATCAGTTTCCCATCGTGGCAATCCACGGCCCGTGATACTAACCCGCAGAAGAAGAATTGATTGGCGCTGACTTCATAGGGGTCGACCCGTCCACAATGGTTTTGGAGACATCGTAGTCCGTGCTCAACACTTGCGACCTGGCCTCGGGAAGTGGCTGGGTCGTGGTAACCGGTTTTTGCAGCACAGAAGAGGAGTGTATTCCCACCTGGGTCGGCGTACGATACAAGAGGGTGGATGCTTGCTTCGGGACCTGTTGATGCCGATGATAATAATGGTTGTGCCCACGCCCGACAGCTTGGCTGCTAACCGGGACCCCAAAGTGAGTCGGGGCAGCATTCAGCGAGTGATATGCAGAATTATGGGAATGAGGCGTGCTTTGATTTTGGGTTTGGACATAATGAGGATATACCTGGGAAAATTGATAGCTGTAAGAGGCGGCATTTGGTGAGCCGGGGTATGACGGTAATGAATGTAATGGATACACAACTCCGTGCGGGTGAGCTGTCGGGACGAATTGTTGCGACATGGGATGATACTGATCGTAATTATACGTATGTTGCGGCAGCATTGCCCTCGTCTCACTCATGCTCAACATGGAGGGAGGCGTCCCATGACTGTCGGGTGTCATATAGGTAGTAGGTTCGATATGGCGGTGCATGATTCCAGGGCATGGGAAAGTCTCGTCTAGAGAGGAGACGAGTTTTAGCCGAATTTCCTTCATATTTGTAACTAGATCAATCGCACATACCGCTATGATGAGCAGGTTCAGAGACAGGCTTCTCATCCGATGTTGATGATCTTTCGTCGGGTTGCCGGGCGGGCACATTGTGCGTTGATTTCGTCATGATGCTTCTAGGAGAGACACTTCAAGATACAAACACAAAAGAGAAATCCGCAAAGGAGTCAGCAGGGCTTCTGCATTGAGGTGACTCCGTTTCTTGATAGAGGTAGCAAACCGGTTAACATGAGGCATACCTGACCTGCGCCGTGTCGGCAACCTTTTCAACTCGCAGTAATCAGCAAACAGAATCAACGGCACCTATAGAACGCTCAAGCTGCGTTAGAACCCAAAACAATAGAGCACAAAGGATTCTATTTAGAGGCAATGAAAGAAACGTCAAAAATCCGGAATGGCGCCAGTGAGAGTAGGCAATGGAACAAGGCTCAATAAAAGAAGATCTCTCAAAGGTGGGTGGGTATGCAGAAGGGTAGTAACAGAGATGAGTGAACATGTTTGACAATCGTGATTAATCATGAATGGGAAGATCAAGGCTGCAGGGGTAGCTAGCCTAGTGGGAATGTAAAACCACAATGAACGATAGCATGAAGGTGCCTAAGCATGGGAACTTCTCGCCAGCGCCGGGTATTGTCTTGACTGTTATAGGTCCAAGATAGGAGAGGGGTGTGTGGACAAGAAATTGCTTTTGTGAATATACAACCGCCACGCACCCACACGCACTCACACATATCCATGACCAACAGTTGGAGGTTTCACACGTAAGGTGGAGAAAAAACAAGAAAAAGTGGGAAGATAAAGACCAAAACAGGCAGGAAAATAGGCAACAAGGGTAGTAGAGTATATGGAACGAAAGAGAGTATGTAACAGAGAGAAAATGAGTGCAAGATAAAGGGTGACAGAAAGAGGGAGGCGACATTTTGAGATAGGGTATAATTAGTGTGCGCAATAATGCTGCGTGGCTTTTGCATCACACTATGAGAGCATGGGACATGGTTCCAGACCAGAGAAAGCAGACTAGTCAAGAAATTTGCGTGTTTTTGGCCTCTTCAGACTTGCCGGGCCGGAGCTGTCGAAGCAGACATGGGGCAACTGATGTGCGAAGAGGGTAACAAAATTGAAATACGAAATAGATAGACAGAAGAGAGCTGGGAGGGAGACACATGCTTGAATCTGCTCACCTTTTCGAGTTCAAGGAGTAAAGCAAATGCTTAGATAAGGTAAACCGTAGGAGACGAAGATGCAATGAGATTAGGGGAATAAAGATGAATGTCCGGGAAAAATGGGTCTGAAGGGGAGAAGAGACAGAGAGCAAGAGAGGGGTGGTTGGCAGGTGGGAAAAACAGAATGAGAAAAAAAAAAATAAGAATAAAAAAAAGGGACGGAGTCTGCCAATGATTTGTGCTAAATCCACATCGAGAACTGTGGCTGCTCTGGCTTCTGTTCACTAAGACTGAAGCGGCAATGATGGAGAATCAACAAGGACCCTCTAGACTCGGCAGAGATCTGACAGTGCATTTGATTGTCTGACAAGATGGATCCGGGCTTTCGGACGACGTGCTCCTGTGGAGAGGCTAGCCTAGGTGGAATTCAATAGGACTGTTGTTGCCCTTCGGAAAGTTGTATACCACCAGCTGGCAGTCAGCCTAAGCATATAGGTAGGTGTAAATATAGGCGTGCGCGGCTGGGTGGCACTTGAGGAAACAAGAGGAGAAAGGTCAAAGAAGATCACGATTCTTTTTCTCTTCTCTTCATTGTTTCTCCCTTATACATCGGGTGATGACCTTAAGCGCCGCTCATTTTTTTTTTTTTTTTCGTCTTTTGCCTCTTCTAATTTGTTTTTCTTTTCTTTTTGGCTCGTGATAGCTTTGTTCGATGCTCTTCCAAGCTGGTTGGCTCTAGTATAGATGATTTGACGGTTTGCCGGCCGGTTTGGATACCTTGCGGATAATATGAAAAGAAGAGAGATAAAATGGAGATAATCACGAAAGTAGATATAACAGGAATGAGGGGTCTGACTTCAGTGGCTTTGGCGATTTGCAAGCCAATCGATCAGAGGTCCAATCTTATTGGGCCCGTTTAGAAATCATGGGGCGTCGGCGAGGTCAAGACCGGGCCAAAGATCAGGGTTTGATCGTCTAAGACTGCCTGCGCAAACACATAGTAGGCAATCCACATAAGCTGGTCTGCGACGGGTCTTAGCAGAAGCCTAGGAGGGTTGAAGGACGTGCGGAGACTGGGCAACGTGCCTTGAATTGGTCAGAAACCGAGACGGTTCCTTTTTTTTTTTTTTTTCTCTCTCTACTGTCAACACTCGACACACTGGAAACCGTACAAAAAAAGCAGAGAGCACGGGTCTGATATGCACTGGTGGCATCGATGGCTGTGGCTATTGCCCGGTGTGATTGGGTACCGTCGAAGTATCCCCCTGGCCAGGTGGAAACCGCGGGTCCACCGGCCCTTTCGACAGCTTCGGAGGCATCTATGCAATTGGCGCTTTGCAGGAGTCCCCAATAGTCTTCCTCATCTGTATGGGCCTCACGGATCATGAAACCATTGACGAAGATGATCCTGTGGCAAACAGGGCAAATGCTATCCGTAGAATATTTTTATCGCACTGATTTCCCACTTTTTGTCCCCCATCCATTTCGGATCATTCGGGTCGACTCCCCCATCGCACGTCCCGATTTTATCTAGCGAGGCCCACCAAAGAAAATTAAATCCGTATGACAATAGGTAGATGAAAACGCAGTAGGCAGAGCAGAGCATACTCCGTAAAGAAGACGACGGGTGACGGAGAGGAAAGAGGAGATACACCGTAGAAGTTGGTGGGGCGACGTGAAAGGGTTTCTGATCGATGGATCGGCCAGTGGCCGTAGTGGCTGTTGAGACCATTGCGATTACCGCCAGAGGTCTTCTATATCCATTATTGGGAAGGAATACATTTCCTGACGAGCCGAGCCTGCGGGCTAGGCCGAACACGCGCGAAGCCGTAAGTACCGTAGTATACAGTACTCCGTGGATAGACCGGAAGTACTGTGTACGGAGTACGGAGCACTGTGTAGTGAGGAGGAATTTGCCACGAACAATCAACAAATGGAGGGCGCTAGGGGAGAGAGAAGGGCGGCAGGGGGTGCATTCCCACTAGGGCCCGATCTCCACGGCCTCTACCTGCCTTTGGGTAAGACTCTGGTTTACGGCGAGCAACGGGAGGTCACCGTAGTCCCAGGACCAGCAGACCCGCCTCCACCCGTCCGGCTGACATCCCAGCCAATCGTTCCCGAGGCTACCTTTGCTCGAGGTACCTCCGCCGGGAGGTACGAGAGGCACCATCCCACGGTGTACTCATAGACTATCTACGGTAGTCCCGAATAGTCCCGGCGGATATTTCATCCGGAGTCTGCAAGGCCACGGACACCTTTAGCTTCCTTTTTTTTTTTTTTTCCCCCTTCCTCCCACCGGGCATGCAGGGCCGTTGGGAGTAACCATCAGTTGGATTTCTGTCCTTTTCTCTTCTTTCCTCTGAATTTTCTAATCCTCTTGGTTGGCTTCTATTTTCATCGGTATCACTCCACAGAAGACGGCGATGCGCAGTGTACTGTACACACTCTCAGTCACAGTATTTTCCTGACAACTCGGCGCTCGCAGGGACCGCCACCACCCGATCTGCAGATGATATGACGTCACAGATATGGACTGGCTGACGCCAGCGCAAATTTCCTCAATCGCAACCATGACTATGCCCGCAGGAGTAGTACGGAGTACTCCGTAGCCACAGAGGAGTACTGTGCACACCAAACACCGTCCGTCCTGCAAAATGAACGAAATCCACAAATAGAATGTCAATCATGAATTGTGGCTTTCGCAAGCGTCGCCCACTTCCCTGGGTCACGCGGTGGCGAAACTGGGCCCTCGGCGCTTTGCGGCCTCCTTGTAGAGAAGTTTTTCGCTCCACACACCTGCGCCGCTGTTGGCGGGTTTACGTGTCGAGGGCCATTCCTGCGACCCTGCGTCACGGTGCGTGATAGGGCTTGTGGCGTGACTCCCGTCGAAGAAAATTTCCCAGCACCCTGGTCGGGCAACTTAGCATCTGCAGACATTCACGGCCTACTCAGTTACGCTAATACGCAGTTCGTCCGAGTGGCTGTGAAGAATAGCGTTGTTCAACGGCCACCAATCCTTTAATTTTGCCGCAATGAAAATTAGTCATCCATCTCATCGCCAATCCAGTCAGCGGACGGGGTTTGCAAACATTACTGAGTACAATTGAGCCGCTGGCTAGGCAAAGATTGCTCATCCGGTGCTGTCATTGCGAAGACATGGCTGGAGAAGCGACATACTCCGTACAGGTAAGGTAAATCGGTGTGAAAGTTCCTTGAACAATGGTATAGAAGGGCATACAAATCATTTCCTCCTCGGGAACGTGCACAACATCCCCAGTGGGCAGTTGATTAGCTCCAAGGAAGAGGAAAGGGGGGAGAATATACATAGTGAAACAAAAACAGGACAGATGCGAATTCTAATATGCAGAAGCCAACCGACGTCCTGCCGAATGAAATCATTAACCCCATTCACACCGGAGTACCAACATCACGTCATGTTCACCTGAGCTTCATGAACTATATTACTATTAAGAACGAAACCGCTGCGTTGGCAGGAGGGGAAGGTCAGAAAGAGTCATTAAATGGTAGATGGGGAGTTTGGAAAGAGAGGAAGGCCGAGAGAAGTTAGGGATGAAGAGGGAGGGTCGAGAAGAGAAGGGGAGGCAAGAGGGAAAAGAGACATGAAATCAACGGCATCAAGCGGTTCGTTCATCGGTCGATGCCTAAAGATGCGACCTTGCCGGCAAATCTGGCACCCGCGCTGCCTCTCTTCTGTAGCTTCTCGCGTTCCCTGCTGTCCAAGGAGCTCGGCCCTTGTGACGATGGCACAGTATCATTTCCTCCGCCCCGTAGGCTGGGAAGGGTGCCTAATGTATCACCACTTGATTTGCTAGATGCGGACTGTATAGGGGGCGGGCTAAAAGCAGGCACCCGTGCGGTCCGCTGGTTGAGGTACAGTTGAGCCGCGGAGGACAGAGGTATTGGAGGAGGTTGCGAGGGTATTTCGGCTCCATTCTGGACAAGAAGCTCGGCAATTGGGAACGGGATGATCTTGACGGACGTCGCAGTGCTCGGCCTTGGCGGAAGATTCGAGGAACTCGACCCGGGGGATGCTGGGTCCGCAGCCGCCAGAGCAAGGAAAACCGCATGCGTATTGCGGGAGCGATCTGTGACGTTCACGTTGGCGCGAAGCGCGATACCGTTAAGGACGCCCTGGATATCATTCCGTTTGATAGAGGCAAGAAGCGATTCGTCTGGGGTGGCGAAGCGTGACAGTGGTGAGGGCAGCTGCTGCACAAAGGCTCGCTCGCTATATTTAGCAGTGATGAACTTAAGCCGCTGCTCCCGGGTTGACGTTTCCATGGGCTTCTGGGATTGATCTAACGTCGCTTCCCAGACCATGTTACTCACACGGTTGCCGATCTGCAAAAGGATCTCGACAATGTCGTTGGAGAAGGAATTGACGTCCAGCGTCAGGGATCGGATCTTGGAGATATGAGTGCCGAGGGACCGATGAATGCCACTGCACTCAATGCACAAAACAATGCCAAGATTGATCGACACCCATTCAACCTTCGATGTGGATCCACAATCTGCACACCAATTATTGCCTTGGTCGGCGTCTCGAACGGTCTGAAGCAACTTGGAAGGGTTCTCCTCGAAACTGTGACTATCACGGACGTAGCTCGGCCGAGCCCCAACAGTGGTACGGCGGGTCACGTTGTTATTAGATACCGTCGACGTGGAGTGCTGTCCTGAGTACGAGGAGCTTTTGCCTGTCAAGACGGAGCCAATGTCACGGCCGACGGACGAACCATCGTTGCCGGCCGAAAGCGGGGGCGAGGACATGCCTCGGCCTTCAACGGCGCTTTGCAAGGCGTTATTAATGGCTCGGATCCAGTTGTTCATGTCCTCCTCAGAGGTCGCTTGGTAAATGCGTTTGTATTGAGGGGTGATGACCTCGAAGCAAAACCGCCGCTCTGCATTCCGAGCTTCCCGGACCGAGGCCATCCGAAGATCTATCGGATCCATGTGTAGATCGAGCTTTTGCTTCCAATTGCTATACTCCGAAAGTTTGCCTTGGTCAAGGACAATCCAGAACCTACAGCAAGGTGGGGGGTAGAATGTTAGAAACATGACAGATAGCGTTGGACTTCGGGACTTACTTGTGCCAGGCTTGCTTATTGATACCTTTAGGGTCAATATGAGACCCTGGTCGCGACAAGGCCCAGAGAAGCCCCTCCTTTCTATGTTGACCTGTCATATTATGAGCGCCTGTGGAAGGCTTCTTGCATGGTGAGCCTTGAGACATACCGCTTGAGCCAGTGGATGGTGTTAACGGCGGTCCCGCCGGAGGATTATTCATACTTGAGGGATTGGCCTGCGATGATAACGAAGAAGTGTTGCTGATTACATTCCGTAGCTGAGAGCCCGTACTATCCGCGCGTCCCAGTTCGCTGTCGGATTTCTGGTTCACATTGCCATTGCCCGGCAGCGCCGACGGTGTCGTTGAACTGGCCACAGAATCGGGCTCCACGTAAGTGTTACTGCTCTTCTCTAAATTCCGTCGTTTTTCTTCCCTCTCGGTTCTCTGAAACTGGAATTCTTTATCGGCCTGGTTGACTTCGTGGATGAGAGCATCCAGCTGGGGTGTCATGTCATCAATCTTCTTGGCGGCAGCAAGGAAGCTTTTCGCTTGCGTGTCAGCAAATCTCGTGAGATGTGAAAGAACTTCCTGTTCTTTGCGGCCACCGTGTAAATCCTGCATGAACGAGGAGTAGTCGAAGCGCTTTAGCTCGAAATTTCGTCGCTTCGCCTGATACTTCGAATCACTTTCGGCACGTTTCTTCTCCTTCAAAGAATCCTGTCGTTGTCCAAGATAGCGGCTAACGTAGGCATAATAGTCTCTGCTCTCCTCCTCAAATTCCTTCTTTTTGGCTTCAGCCTGCTTGATGTCATTATGGTACAGTTTGACCAATGGTTCTATGACGAGTCTTTGGAGTTGGACAGTGTTGAGTCGCTCATAATTTAAAATCTGCCGGGCTATTTTCTCGAAGTAATGGTCCAGTGCCGGTTGGATCGCATTCGCATTGAAGGTCGACGCATCGTTCAGGGCAGAAAGGAAGGCTTCCGACGCATCGTTGCAGGCGGTCTGCGCCTGTTGGGCCGCCTCCGCCTTCTTTAACACTTTCTTGATTTTGGCGCGCATATTGCCCGTCTTCTGCTCCATGGCCTTCATTGTAGCCCGAAAGAGCGGGCCGTCTTCGACCACACTCATGTCTTCGCCGGGCCGCGAATGGGGAAGGTCGACTTTGACCGGGGGAGGCGCGGAAGCTTGCGTTGCGATCACGGCATCGCTATTTTCCGGCGGCGTACTTGGCGGGTCCTGGCTGTTGGGCAACATGTCCGCTTCACTGGAATGAGTGAGGATGGAATGGGAGGAGGGTACCCGATTACGGGGCGGGGGAACAAGGAGGTCCAGGTTGGGGGACAATATTTGCGGGCTCGGCAACGCGCGTACTGAATTCTGCACCCAAAAAGAAAAATGAGCGAGAGTGTTCAATCGGTTAGCTCTCTGATCATAGTCTAGAAAGCTACAACTGTTGCGCCACCCGCCTCCCTTGTCCTCCACGGTCTTCGGGGGTTTCCATTTCCAAGACCAATCAAACTGAACGGATGGGCTGCCTCCCGTCGAGTAATCCCCGACAAACTGCACGTTGGAGTTGTTCTGCAGATTTGGATTGGCATGGAACTCCCGAGTGATCAGGTTGTCTAATTCCTTCGAGTTGGGGGCATGCGCAAACGTAAGGCCGGTGAGCACCGTATCGGCCACTTCTGGCAACGAGGTCGAGACTCCATTGACGGTAGAACTTGCGGCATTTCCGGTTTGCGTTTGTCTGAGTATGAAAGTAAAGTTGAAATTTAATTCGTCGTCGTTGGACAGGCGCAAAAGAAAAGTCGGCGCTGTGGCGGAGGAAGAAAGGTCGGGGTCCTGGGTAGTCAAGAAGGAGATTAGTCTACTACCCTTCTAACGCTCCAACTCTTAAACGCAATTGGGACGATGGAGAGAAGCTGGGTGAAGAGGGAAAGAGGATTCCAAGTTACCTGTACGTATTCGATCGGGCTGTCATCACCAGCATCGCGCTTGGCGGAGTATCGAGTGGCTGGGTAAGAGTTTGGGACTAAATTCAATAGCACTCGATGCCGGGAATTGGTTACTGTCACGGATGCGACCGTAACTAGCGCGAATGAAATCGATCAGCAACTCTGACGAGAAGGCGAGTAAGGGCCAAGGGGCAAATGGGGAGCGAGAAAGGATATGGCCACATGGATTAGAACCGCGCGAAGGACGGACGTACATCTAGTCTGATCCTTGAAATATAAGGTCCCGGAATCATCCAAGCGGCTCCCGACGTTTCCCATGTTGAAACGAGTCGAATGTATCAAGTTACCGCTTGAGAGTACGTCCGGAAGAATGACCGGGACGAATGAAAGTGATCATCGACGGTCTGCGCGCCTGAAGTCGAATGAAGAGGTAAGAATAGATCGAGATGGCTGTCAACGTAATCTGATAAATGGGCCTTCATTCAATCCGTATTCTAATCGTTCCAAGTGCCTGAGGTGATCGCTCGTTGGGGTTGGACAGATCGAGAACTTGCAAGACGGAGCGGACTCGAGTACACGCGAGGCGGAGGTATTATCGAACGAGGGGAGGGAGGGTCGAGAAGGAGATATACGAACAGACAGGCCACAGATATAAACAAGCTTGTGCCTTCTGCTGGGTCAGCGGGGAGTTGTAATTACTGCGGATGCAATAGGGAGGTCAAATGTCTGACATTCCCCTCCCCACTTTGAGAAGAGGTAAGATAAAGAGAAAGAGGAAAGCGGGAAGCGGGAAGCGGGAAGCGGGAGAGGAAAGAAAGGACAGGGGGAGCAAAAAAAAAAAAAAAAGAAAGAAAGAAAGAAAGAAAGGAAAAGAAAAGAAAGAAAGGGGTCCGTAAAACACACGCACATGCACACAAAACAAAACAAAAAAAATTAGAGGGGCGGGGGAAGGAAGGATGAGGAGGAAGCTGAGACGGGTTAAAGGAAGAGAGGGAGTGAGGGAAAGTGGGCGAGGAGGAGGGAGGGAGAGATGAGTGGACGGAGGAGGGGGCTTAGAGCCTTAGACCGGGTGTTGTGCCTGAGGATGATTGCTTGTCCCGCTCGCGCTAAGCTTATACGGCGGGTACACCCACGGCCCCTTCATGCATCTGCATTCACGCGCATTCTGCTTATACGTTCTCTCTCTCTCTCTCTCTCTCTCTCTCTCTCTCTCTCTCCTTTTTATTTTTATGTTTATTGATTTGTTTTTTTGTTCTCCCGGTCAAATCGATCTTCATTCGGGGAGTTAAACATGGGTGTATTAAAGATATATACAGATACATGGAGGCATGTAACAGACTTCGGCCTGTTCAAGAGCCTCCGCATGAGTTCAACGCGATCCGAGGAAGAGGACAAACACGGAGATACACATATTAAGAATAAGAAGAAGAAACACCAAAGATAAAGATAGGAGAGACGGTCCGTCCAGGATAGAAGGGAGGAAGCATATCATTCCGAGGTGTCAGATATCATGCGCTGGCAGCAGACGGGCATGCGTAGCCACGGGAAGAAGGAGGGTCCCTCTTCCACTCTCTACCATGGGTACGTGTAAGGAACCTCAAACAGATTACAGTCAGTAACCTGTCCTGTGTGTCCTTGTTCCATCCGATGGATATCCCCTGGGAGGTAGTGCATTTGAAAGTCACCGATCGGCTGTGCCGGATATTGGCTTATCTGACATCCTCTCTTTCGGCAGGCTTTGCAGGTGAATCCGTAACTGGAGCCACTCGAGTGGACGAGTAGGGGCCAGGACCGTTGGCACTCTCATAATTTTCCGTTTGCGCCCACTTTTTGAACTGACCCTTCACGTCCCGCATGTCGTGCACTCTTTGCGATAGGTCCCCACGCTTTCTGCGCGGCATCCCGCTGCGTTCGTCGAGCTCCTCCTCGTCCGAGCTCGAGATGGAAAGCGACGAAGTGCTGCTCTGCTGCAGGAACGTCATCTGACCCCCTTCTCTCTTGCAATCCCGCTGCTCACCCTTCAGCGTGGCCATTTGTTCGGCATCCTCCGTGCAGTCTAAGGTGGTAATATTGAGTTCGGGGAAGCTTTTCGAGAGGAATTGCTTGAGAAGGGGGAGATATTGGCCGTTTGGCCGATAAGTGCCGCTGTCGTTGTCGATAAAAAGCTCGTAGTCCGCCGGGTCGGTTGAAATGTCGGACTCTTCCGAGAGCTGATCTTCCGTGGGCATCTCAGATTCCGACGTGCGCGAGGGTCGGGACTGGTGTCGTGAGCGGTGCAGGCGCCGACGAAGGAAGAACTCTCCGGAGTAGGCAATGTAGATGGACACATTGCTATGCATGGTATGCTTGCTCAACAAGTCGATGCCGAACTCCTTCCCGGTCTCCGTAAAGCGAAGCTGACCATCGAGCGTAAGGACATAGGTGAAGATGCGCCCGCCTTGGGCATAATGAACAAACTCCAGGAATTTCTGCGTAAGCTCAACGCATGGCGAATCAAACCGACCGTTAAGCGTGGAGCGATCAAAGTTGTAGATCCGCTGATGCTGGTGATGCAAGGCTCGGTTGAGAATGCGCCCCCGCAAGCTCTGGGACGTGAACATGCCTGCGACGAAGGGTCTGAACTCGACATATCGATGGTAAAGCTCCGCGGGTACAGGGCCAGTGAGCTGGATCTGAATGGCTTGGAAACTGACGGGTAAAGGGAGTTAGGGCACGATTATCAAGCAAGGGGAAGGAAGGGGGTGGGGACACATGCACGTACTTGTATCGAGTGGCGGCCTTTTTACCATCCTGAGTCTGAACTTCATCTTTGGTGCCGGCCAGTCTTCCAATGAGCGGCGAATGATGCTTGAACCAGTAGTTTGGCCCCGCGGTGTACACCTGCGCGCCTTCGTTTCCGGGGGTCCTTCCGAGGAGCTCCACACTGATCAAAAGATGCGAGCCGGTGTCCAAACGCCCCGAGGCCAAAGCAGCAATATTACCGAACAGGTAGACTCGTTTGCTCCCGGTACGTTTTTTGACCTTGAAGGTCTGCTGCTTGATGCTGGCCCAGTCGTCATGAATCGAGCCGACCTCGACGTAAGCATTGCCCAGCTTGTCGTCATGGTCGGCGGCGTCCTCGTCGTACACGGTGCATTTGAGGGTGAAACCGGAGGCGGGGACGTTGGCGACAATCCACTCGCTCTCCCATACGGGGTCGCGATTTTTACGTATCGTAGGGGTCCGAAAGGTAAAACCGGGATCTTGCTTGTGTCGCTCAGGGAGGGCGACGTTCAACTGGGCGACAACGTAGGGGTCCGAGGAGAAGCTGCCAAAATCGGCGCAAGGAAGATTAATGCCGCGGTGAAAGGTAAACTTGAGGGTGTAGCCGGGAGGAGCATGGGGAAACGGGGTGCTATCGAAACCCCCGGCAGGCCCCTGATGGGCCGACTTGCCATTGGGGGCAGCTTTCATCGTGGCAACTCGGTGCTGGAATTGCTCAGTCCGGTCGACGAATTTCGGCCCATACTTGTCGACCAGATGGCGGGACCGAGCCTGCGGATGCACGTCGTCCATTCTGCGCGTTGGTCGCGGTCAAGTATTGCTGCTGCCTACAATGGGTTCGGAAGATTAGCGTTAAATACGCGGGCCACTGCAGCGGATCCAGGCTACCCCTACCTAGTTTAGTAGGTCGCGGTGGAGTGGTGGTGGACGGTAGTAGTTACCAATTCACCACAATTCGACCGAGGGCGGAGAAAGGCAGGAATCAAAGAGAAAAAGGAAAGAGAAATGAAAAATGAAAAAGGGAGGAGGGAGCGGGGAGGGAAAGAGAGACGATCAAAGCACAGCCCTAAGAAGGAAGGGGGAGGGGACTATAGAAATCAAAATTAAAATTCACCAGAACAAAGAGCCTCTTGTGCTAACTCCTAAGGAGCCCCGGCACATGGCTTGTGATGAGGATCCACCGACTGAATCGGCGATGATGAAGCCAAAGGCAAAACGGCCCCAATTACGCGAAGGAACGGAAAAGGGGCAGGCACTCATTTACTCATCCGGAGGGGAGAGAGGGGCGCAACCAAAGAAATAAAAGTGGTTCCTCCGGTTCACATTTAAGCAAGGCCAAGCTTTGCCGATCGAGGGGAATCTGGTCAGGGTTGAGTAGAAGGAGCAAGATGACGGTGATGGATGTGGATGTGGATGGAAAGGATGACGTGAGGAACAGATGACTCTGAATGGGGAGAGGGAATGAAAAGAAGTTTATCTGCGGAGGAGGAGGAAAACTAAGTGTAGAGAAGACATGAGAGAGAAAGAAAGAGACACAGACAGAGAGAGAGAGGAGGGGAACTGACATCATCATCGTCGGGCGTCGTCATGAACTAGTCCGGAATGTGGTCATCCTCGTAGGGCTGACTGGGCTGACTGGGCTGAAGAGACTGAAAGTATAGACAGAGTGGAGCGACGTGGCCCCGCTGCAGTCAGCCAAGACGATTGTGCGTCCTGTTTTTTTTGTCGGATCGAGTATAAGGATACTGACACATGATAGGATCCGATGTCAGAATCAAATCCAGGAGAATACCATTAATAATCAACCGAAGATACCCGAGGTAACTAACTGGAGTATACGGAGTACATATTCTGGAGGTACAGTACAGACAGAGTAAGGTACCCATGTACTGTACCTCCAGGATACTCCGACAACATCATCATGTCGGACCCAGCCCCCTCGATCCCCTCGTCGATCATGCAAGATCCTCTTCCGGAGAATAGGAAGACCAGTCCCACGTTTCAAGCGTTTCAGGCCTATCCGCATGCCCGCGCCCTTCTGCAGCGCCCCGATTATTATGCCATTGGCACCTGGTCGCGTCTCCCCAAGCCCACGGGCGAGGACGGGCTCTTTGCTGGGACGCTGGCCACGCGCACCACCATCCCGCACTGCCTGACCCTGCGTCGCCGCGACCTGCCCGCCCTGCCCGCCAGTGCTCCCTCGTGGCCCTCCCCCACCGCTGACCCGACGACAACCGGCGCCTGTCCGCCCGACGTCTTCATGCTACTGGACCTGGCTGCCGCCGGCATTTGCGGCCATCCGGACACCGTGCACGGCGGCATCGTGGCCACCTTTCTGGACGAGGCCATGTCCCTGGCCGTGACTCTGCACGCCCCGCCGCCCGAGCTGGACCCCGACTCCCACTCTCCATCCCCCCGCGGGAAACTCTACACGGCGCAGTTGGATGTGCGCTACAAGCGACCCGTCTCGGCTCCCGGCTTGTTGGTCGCGCGCGCCAAGCTGGTCGCTCGCATCGGTCGCAAGTTCTGGGTTCGAGCACAACTGCTGCAGGAGGACGAGGCCGATCCTTCCCGCATGCTCGTCACCACTGACGCCATGGCCTTTTGGCTGCAGACCTCGCCTAATCTCTAGCGCTACGGGTGGGGGAGGAGGAAAGGGAACGGGGCCCCCTTCGTCGCGAATCATATTCCAGTCTGTATATAGAGAAGTAGTATATCGATATAGGTCTATCAACATAAATATGTAGTCTTCGCTCTCAACGGATGTACTCCGGAGTACGTGCAATACCTGCAACGCCCTGTCTACATCTTCGACCGTTGCCCCACGTTGCGACTGGCACTCAGCACCAGTCCAACCTGGGTACCCAAGGCCACCACTTCCCCCTGCTCATCCAATATCACCACGTCGATATCGGTTCGCCCATCCCGCACGACTTTGGTGTGAATTCGACTGTAGAGCCACTCGACCCCCTGAGGCGGCAGCCGTTTCTTCAAGTCAATGTTCAACGTGACCGTCGGATACCAATGGGTGGCTTGGGTTCCCGCCGACTGTGCCTCCGAGGCCATCGCGTCGAGCCCGTTCAACGCCATCGGAAACATGTCCGTCAGATAGACCGCCGCCTCGTTGGTCCACCGCGCCTCGCGGTCGCCGTTGGGCCGGAACTGCGCCCATTGATCCACCACTGGCCGCCTCCCGAGGGCGGGGTCCGGCCCGTACATTTCAACCTGCTGCGTCGCGCGGCGGAATTTGGGGAAGGGCGCGGCGATGCGCGTCCACTCGCCGTCACGGCCAGTCCGTGCCAGGGTCGCCAGGTCTACGCGCCCGTTTGCCCCGGACCCGGGGGCCGCCGGGGGCGACAGACTCCAGCCGGTGTTCGCGGATAGGCCCACCTCGGCAGTGGTAGGGCTGACGGTGATGTACCCGGTGACTTTAGCTTCCAAATCGCCATCCTCCCCCTCCGCGGCGGTCCCTTTCTTTTCGCGGGGCTGCGATAACGTAACGTGGATGGTACTGGTTCGGGCCCCGAGTTTCGTGTCGTGCACGGTCAGCACGGCCGGACCGGCGGACGTGCGGCGCAGGAATTGGAGCTGCATTGAGATGGGCGTGGCCGGCGCATCGTACCGAGAGGCATGGGTATGAGCGAAATGGGTCGTGGCAAGACGGTAGAGGACAGCGGTGGTATAGCCGCCGTGCGGAACTGAAATCCTGCAGTTAATAACATGCTTGGTTTGGATGGACGAGCGGCCCGGGCAGTCATACCTGTTCCAATGCACCATTCGTTCTGCAGGGAAGCGGCATAGCGATGGGAACCGAGGGGCGTCACCTGGATTGCCTCCTCCCATGTCGGCTTGTCACTATTGCGGGGCTTGATCGGGGGGGTTGTCATGGTTTTCTAGTTTGCAAGCGGACGGGGTGATGAAAGAAATGTCACGGACGCTCTATTCCTGGCAGAGCAGGAGGCAAATGAAAAGGAGGGGACATCCTGATGTTCATGCGCATGCGAACGTCGCAGAGCCTCGGCTTCGGTTGAAGTGCAGAGAGAAGCCGAAGCGCTGACTAACGCATTTCTTGGACAACTAACTAACTATATCGTAGTTTGATGTATCTGCAGGGCCTACAAATGCCTACGTAGACTACACAGTACGCGAGGGAGAAAGCAGAATATGTCTATACCGAGATTTTGTGCGCGCAAATCTATCTAAAGTTTTGATATGTAAATTGTTAGTAGAGAAATGGCAAGAATCATATCATGCCTCTCGCGCCGTCTCGGTTGCTTTTAGACGCCCGCCAAATAATCGTAATTATGCCGCTCATATTACCAATTAATCCCCATAAAGTGTGGTCGAGAAAGAAATCTAATAAGAAGGAAAATAAAAGGACGGAGAAATATCCATTCATGGTCCAGTGGTTGTGGCAGTGGCGGCAGCCAGCTTCTCCAAGCAAGAAAGAACACCTACCAAGTAATAGATACAGTCAGTCACGCACATCATATCATTCATCACCCACACATAAATAATCAACTTACCTGTGACGCCCTGCGCCAATGTTGCCTTGGCTTCCGTGCTTCGAGACCCCAAGGTCACCGTCATAGCATGTTTCACCGCAATGGCGTGTTCGAGTTTATTAGCCCATCTAAACACCGGCTCATCGTCGCGACCATCTCCAATGACAAGCAGGAAATCCGGCCGCTCAATCGTCGGATCCTGCTCACTTCGCTCGAGACAATGTCGCCAGACCATGGCCGCGGCCGACGCTTTGTTGGTATCGGCCGGCTCAACGATCAATGCTCCGTTGACCATAACAGCGTGCACACCTTGATTGGCACACGAGTCGTTGATGTGCCCTGCGCACTCTGATGCCAACCGAGAGGCAGCCACCTGATCCTCTGCCGTCCCGTAGTGGAACATCAGGGAGCAGTGGCGCTGCTCGATCCAACTACCCTCCGCTCGTTCCTGATAGTAACTGAGAATCTGGCACACTGCCTCTTTCCAGGCATCCGTCTGCGCTTTATTGGTCAGCTTGAACCATTCCTCGGTTCCCGGCTCACGCACGAAGCATCCGTTCTCCGCGATGAGACCGAGGCCGGCGACCATGCGAAAGAGGCGCTCCATCTCTTCTGGCATCCTAGAACTCATGACAAAAACTACATTCTTCGGGTCGTCGGCCAGCTCCGTCAATGTGGTGATCGCCCGCTGCGGTGTGGTAACGATGATACTCTTCGGTGAGCCCCAAGACGCAAGAGTACCTTCATAGTCCACAATGATGAGCCGGCGAGAGGATTGACGATACAGATCCTCGAGCTTGCTAACCGATAAGCGCGGGACTGCCATAATTTCGCGAGACGACTGCTCATTCCATACACGGCTCAAGGTCTCATTGAAAGACTTGACCCAGTTTGCGGTCGAGTTCTCCAGGACAGCTCGGTGTAGCTGCATCCATACCTGCTGTCGTTCCTCTTCACTCCGGGAAAGGGCCGTGTGAATAGCTTCGGCACACTGTCTATAATTCCAAGGGTTGACCAAGAGAGCATGATTGCCGAACACCGACGCGCTTCCCGTGAACTCACTCAAGATCAAAGACCCGTATTTTCGTGTCTCATATTTTCCATCCTGGCAGTAGACGAATTCATGGCTCGTCAGATTCATACCCTCTCGCAAACTAGTGATCATGAGCGCGTCAGCAATGGAGATCAACGCAAGGTATTGTGGGAATGCCAAGTCCTGCTTTAGGAAAACAAGAGGCTGATGCGCGAGCGTCGAGTGTGTGGAATTGATGCGCATAGCAATGTCAGATATTGTCGCCTCAAGCTCCGGTTGTTCAGTCGTACTAGTAGCCACTTGTATCAACACGACCTGTTAAAGGGAGAGGGCGGGGTTAGTTGGGTGCATTTCACGCGACAATAGTAGTGGCTCCGACACGCACCTGGTCCCTCCACTCGGGATATGTGTTCAGGAAAAGCTCATAGCTAAGAAGCTTCTGTCGGATACCCCGGACTTGGTCAATCTTGTCACGAGAAACAATTAGTCGTTTGCCCTCATAGCGTTCCGAAATTGTTTTAATCCAGTGCTCAACGTCGGTGGCCTGGCGGCGTTTATCCCATGAAGTGGGATCAATTCCAATGGGAAACTTGTTCACATTGACAAATCGATCTTCCAGCTGAATGCCGTCATTGGTGGCCTCAACGCAGAGAATGCGACTGCACGTCTGGAGGAAGTGACGGCAGTACTCCTCAGTTTGGAATCCCACAAGGTTTGCACCCAAAATTCCCTCGAGGAGCTCTTTGCGGGGCGCCAGGCAACGGAATACCTCGGACGAAGGAAAGGCGATGTGAAGAAAGAATCCGATCTGGGCATCTGGCAGAAGTTTACGGAGCATGGCCGGAACCAGTAGCAAGTGGTAGTCCTGGACCCATATTGAGTCTCCGCGCTTCCAATTTTTCGCGATCTGTTCGGCGAAGGCCTGGTTGGTCTTCACATAGTAGATCCAAGAATGGTCTTCGTAGGCTTTGCTTTTCGGGTTGTCTGGGATTTGGTAGTGAAATACCGGCCAGAGGATCGTTTTGCAGAAGTGGGTGTAGTGGCCGTCAAAATCACCGTCGCTGACGTAGACGGTCAACGATCCATATTCATCGTGCAGCTTTTCTGCGATTGACGCTTTGGTATACACAGATAGAGCATCTGTGGGCATTCCCAACGTGCCGACCCAGACCTGGTCCTCCAGCTGTCCGGCATCTGTCGCGGACCGCACCGCATTGCGCAGCCCGCCATTACCTTGTTCAGCCGTCTGGATGGTCCAACGGGCTCCGGAAAAGGAAAACTTCCGCGTTGAGTCCCTGCGACGAGTGGGGGAATGGATTGGTTGTATGGAGGAAGCGTGTAGTTCTCTGGCCGGTCTCTCACGAGGAGGCTCGGGCGCAGGAACGATAGGCTCTTGGTGCTTGAGAATCGACGGCGACGGGGGTATCGCCGTCCTTGGTTTCGGCTGATTCAAGGACAGTGTAGAGCCCCACGCAGGTGAATGACCTTCGCTCCCTGCCGTGAGATGCGTTTCGTTTGCCTGGGAGGGGAACGGATACCCGGTCTGCTCTTGTTCCGCCTTGGCGAGAGTGGACGAAAAGATACGTTCATGCTCAGTCGTGGCGCCCGGCGTGAGGCCAATTTTCTGGGGGGTGGTCCGTTGCTCGAACAGGCTGACTCCGGTGCTGGGAGCCGGGGTTGCGGTTTCAACCGGAGGCTTGGGTGAAGGCGAACTTGTGATGCGGGGCCGGGGGTCTCGCGATTCCTGGAGGTCGAAATTGACGGTGTATGGAAGGAACCTTGGATTCCCCAATAACCGAGTCAGTGAACATAAACCGAATGGCGATATCTAGTCAGAATCACATACAGCGAGGCAATGTAGATCGTCATCGTTGCAGATTCAGACCAGGACCGGCACCGTGGGGAAATCCAGAAAGATAAGGAAAAAGAAGTCCCCAACCAGAATACGAGGCGCGAAAATAGCGAGGCGGGTGGGCAACAAGCAGAGCGATCGGATTAAATCCTCGTCGAGGCGTCCTCAAAGAGGGGGCTAATGATGAGCAAAGAATGAAGACAGACAAACGCCGAGAGAAATTCAAGTTGAAGTTGGAACAAGACTGACGGCCTGAAATTATTGGCCTGAACTGTGCTCATCACTACGTCATGTGAAGACCGGCCCACCGTTCTTTCTTCAGTTCTTCAGTTCTTCAGGTCGGCGCGCACAGACTGAAGCACTCCATGCGAGTGGACAAGCCCTTATTTATCATGCGATCTAGAGAGATTTCAATACTACATATATTGATAGTGTCCCGTATATCCTCAATGTTGTATCCTCGTATCCTCATATCCTCCACGTCATGTGGACCACGGCACGTGATGCTATCGGCGGTTTCTTATCGATTTCCTGCCTGAGGTGTCTATTCAACATCCAATACTACTTAGAGTCCGTTTTCCCCTTCGCCGTCTCGGTCTGCGTTGATCGCACGCTCCTGGCCATGCCCTTACGAATCACTTCGGCCCCCGTTTCCGGTGTCAAAAAGAAAAGGGCGGCAACGAGCACAAAGGCTCGTATCTCCCCTTTTGCCAGCCATGCTTGCCGCAAAGCCACCACACAGTCACCGCTCGCCTCCAAATCCGAAGCATCTCTAGAAGATGACCAAGAACCTCTACCAGACCTGGGCTTATCGCGATACGTCGCGGAGACTTCGCCGGTCAACGATGTTGCCCACGCTATCAGCCACATTCGTGACTGCATGTTTGAGGATCTCCCTGCGCGAGCGGGGATGAACAGTACCCGCATCGCTGAAGTGCTTAGCACTCGCCGCTCGCTGCCCCCCTTAGTCTCGGTGGCCCATGTTCATACTTTACTAGATGCACCCACCAAAGTAGAGAAAGAGATCATAGAATTAGTGACCAGCGGCCGCGTGCGTCGTTTGGTGGTCCCTGGAAGAGGGAACGGTGCCGCGGGGCTTGGGGATTGTCTTGTCCTTTCCGAAGACTGGGACAGGCTTGTGCACGATTGCCGTGATCTGGAGCCATCCATCAAGGGTATGCCTTCCTCAGGGGGAGTACGGTAACTTAACACACTGACCATCTCGCAGAGAAGTTGCTCACTGTGTTGAATCGGATTGGTAATAAATCCGCGGTGCCCGGCGCAGCCTTCACCGCGCCGGAATATATGGCCTTGATCCACGCTGGATTTCTGGTCTGCTCCTCGTCTCTGGCTCAAGGATCATCAGGCATGACCTTACTCCCCAGTCTTCCGTCGATGTCGCCGGCTGGGAACCCAGCTAGCCGAAGTGATAGTGTCGCTTACTCGAGCGGTACGGAAGCTCTCGATCGTTCGAAATTCCACACGGCAACTTTTCTTCTTTCTTTGCCAAATACAGGGCCTTATCTTCGCCTTCTGGAGGCCGGGCGCACACACTTACTATCTCTCTTAAAGAAATCAAGCGCCTCTGAAGTACCCCTTGACGTCCTTCGAGACCGCTGGGATGGTGCGATCGAGACGGAGAAAAGTTTTGATTTGGCCAAAAGAGTACGGGGTGAGTTTGCCGGCATATTGCCGGGCAGAACGAAAAAGTGGAAAGCCCTCTACGGGATGAATTTCCGATGGATAGTAGAGGAGGCTATCGGAGCCGGACTCGTCGAGATCTTCGATACGGGCAGTGTTGGTCCTGGGATACGCTGTCTTTGAAGACGCTAAGCTTCCCAAACAATGCCCATCCTGCGCCTATTTTTATGCATAACACGAGCACTTTTGATCCTGTACATAACCACGTATATATATCTGTCCTATACCTGTTCAATCAATCAATCGAAATTCGACAAGCCTGATGGATCCTATCTATTGAAAGGCTAAACTATGCAAGCGCTCCACTGAATAAAGCTGAATTTTGCATCCAAATACCCAAATAATCCTTGTAAGAAGTACATACTCCATACAATAAAGAGACAGAATAACCCATAACCTACTGTGCGTCCATTTACACATCAAGTGGGCGACGTAGTGAACCGCTTGCGGATGTCAGCGTCACTATCGCGTTTATATATCCCAACCTAACTCTTATACTAGAAGCTGTAGTAGAATGCATTGTTTCAATCTGGGAGATGACTAAAAAAAATTTCTTTCTCTTTCTTTCTCGTCCTAACTCCGCCTTATTCCTATCCAACTCAATTCCGGACCGACTCCCAACCATGCGCCCGTCACTCCTTCATTGTGCCCCGCACCCTTTCTCTATTCTTCCCAGCCATCCATACCTTGATGACGCTTCGCCGCGCCCTGCCCTTCACGAGTTCCTCTGCTCCGTCCTAGCAGATGCCCATGCTTTCCTGGTCTCCATTCCCGACACATTCCATGAGAACCGAGAGCAGTGTCCATCACCACCCGCCTCCGCACCAGTTCAGCTTTCTAGCCGTACCATTCGGGACTCCCAACCGACCGGCAACCCCAAGAAGGAAATTTGGTTCTGCCGAAAAAGCATCCACGCCGATGCGTCGGTCGATGGGTCGGCGACCTGGGAGGAATTCCAGAATGGGCTCAAAACGAACCATGCAGAGAACGAGATGGCCTACACCCCGAGTGTGACGGCGGTGGACAGACTGTTGGAGTGGCCACCGGAGAGAGAGATCGAGGGTGGCTGGACGGATGTGGACGTGCAAGGCAAGTGAACTCCGTAGTTAACAACGCCACAGCATACATACATGTCATCTTTTGGGGATCATCGCCAAGACGCAAGCAGACTGACTTGATCCATGCGTACGGTGTACTAGTCAATATGATCACTCACACCTTCCACCCCACCGCTTTGATCTCTCCCCGATCCTTCATCTCCCTCTCGATCTCCGCCCGCCGCCCCGAGCAGACCGCCAGCGGGTTTGTGACCGTTCAGATCCCCCTTACGCATCATCGGGGCCTCGTCCCCGATGCGCTGCGTGCCAGAATTACCTCCTCGGCGCCTCGTGGGACCATTTTCGCATCGTACGCGAGTGTGGAGCAGGTGGTATCCGCTGCCGGCCGGGTCGAGTGGACTATGGCTACCACCTCGGACGCCGGCGGGGCGATCCCCCAATGGGTACAGCGGAGTTGGACGTTGGGCGGAGCTCCCAAAGCCATTGTGGCGGACGTGGGGCTGTTCATCGCCTGGACGGCTCGGCGGAGAACAGCTGGACGCTCCGTGACCCCGTAGAGACGATTTGGCTGGCCCTACAGGGGTGCCCGAACAGATGGTCCTCCAAACCGAGTCTACGGTGTACGTGGTCCTACTTGATGGGAATTCGTAGGGACTAGTTTCGGAAGGCATTGATTTTTTACGGAAGAATTTCGCTTCTGTCGGAGACACAGTTGAAGAACAAGATAATCTCATAGCTAGCATCTAATGTTCTCAAGTACTAACAGCCAAAAGAAAGGGAAATGAACAGCAATGCTCTTATCCTGTACTTCCAGCTCCCCTGGCATCGAAACAATTCAAAACAAAGAATCGGCAAGACAAAAGGACAATGATGCTGAATCCGTACAAATACCCACTGCGGCAATGTTAAGACAAAGGACTAATCATGATAGAAGAGCCTATTTTCGAAGAGAGATAGTGATTCCGTGGTCCGTACCAGGTGACGATATTGCATCGCTATATTCACGTATGTATAAGAGGGTAGAGACAACCGATGAGGCCGGCCAGGGAAGAGAGGGAAAAGAAAAGACCGGGAAACGGCAGAGTTTATAAAGACATAAACATGAGATAAAAAAGCTGACGCCCAAACAACAATAATCGAAAGAGAAGAAAGACCCCGGGAGTCGCGGCGAGGGGTGAATAGGAGGTTGCAATCATTAACGGCATGAGGCTTAGATGAGAAAAAAAAATAGTAGAAACACAGAGGAATGAATCATGGTAGGAAGTCACTAGTCGACACCAGATTATAGAGGATAAGGATATTATGAAAGGCGCCGTCATTCATCGTTGTCCGACTCCGACGGTGCCCGCTTCGTACTGGGGTTGGGCAACGCTGGTACCGGATGCGGTTAACGTGTTGACGTTCGAGGATGCAATCTGCGCCCTCAAGGCGGCCACTTCGGTTTTGAGACCGGCCAATTCCTCGTGGACAGAACGGATGTATGCCCAAAGCGAATCCTCTCGCTCTCGGCCCTGCTCATTATAGCTCGAGTCGTGAGCCCCCGGATGGTGACTGCCGTTGCTGGTTACCAATTCTTGGCCTGGTTTCGATGCCAGCGGCCCACTGTGGTTACTAGAATGGCTGTGCGATGAGTGATGTTTGGCACTTGGTGGCGGGACGGATCCTTGGGTATGAAGCGGAAAGCGGGATTCCGAACTCATGCCGGGCGGAGGGGGCAATTGAGGTGCCCCGGGCTGCGGCGGGGGAAGGCCTAGTCCGGAAGCATGGTTGGTGGGAGTCTGAGATGGCCCTGCCCTTGTGTACGGTTGCTGCGGGAATGATGAAGCTAGGCCAGGAGAATGAGGGCGGTGGAGCTGGACTCCATCAGGACCCGGACCCATTTGGTGAGAAGGCAAGGCGTTGGGCGAAAGTGGCTTCGGGCTTTCAGTGATGTTTGTCGACTGAAACACCGACGTCCCAGAAGACTGGCTTGGCGGGGGAAACGTCATATTTCCAGATTGGGAGATGGGAGATGTTGATGCGCTGGAGCCACCGTGACTCGTGGGAGGGGGGAATAAGCCGCCCGGAGAGGGTCGGCCTGCGGCGATTGGGGGATATGTGCTCGGCTGTCGGGACTGATAGCTCGTCGCAGTGCTGGAGCGAGCTATTGACTCTGTGGGCACGTCATGCTTCTTGATGCTGGGCATGCTAACCCGCCGTTCATCTTCCTCATCCATGCGCTCTGGCTCTGCATATACGAGACCGTCCATCGTATCCTCAGCACCACCGTGACCGGCTGCATCGCCAAACTCGTCTTCAGGAGCGTAGCTGCCCATGCTCGCCCGGCGCCCGGCGCAGCCCCCTTGGCCCTTGTTATGACGAGCCAGAGCGTCACCCCGAGCAAATCGACGCCCACATTTCGGACAAAGATGCGGCCGCTCGCCAGTATGGAGTTTCGTGTGTCGCTTCAGATCATGAAGTCTGCGAAATCGTGACTGACATGTCTGGCAGACATACGGTTTCTCCTGACTATGGGTAAGAAGGTGGCTTTTTAGGTTGTGGTGCCTTGTAAATTCGGTTGCACAGTAAGGGCAACGATGCTTTTTTGTTGACGGCGAGCGCTGGCCACCTTTGTGGAACCCCGAGCCAGGCAAACTGAGACCGCGGCGGGGATCACCAAGGGCTGCTGTGGGCATGGGGTAGGAGAAGGCCTTATTACTTGTATCTTGTGAAATATCCACTTCATCGCGATGGCCTGAACGTTCCCCATCATGGGAAACAGAATCGTCTATTGGACCCGGGCTGGCGACGGTGGTCGTGTTCATGAGTGACGCGTTATTCTCGGGGGCACCGAATGCGTCAGGACCGTTATTCGGGGATGTGTGCGAATCGACCTGCATTTGGTCGGAGGTTATTGGCATGGGATCGTTTCCCGACGTGCCTTGCTGTTTTTCGCTGGCGCCTAAAGCCTCCCTTGCCACTTGCGAGCTATTTCGCTCCGTTTCCTTTTCATGCTCTAATATCCGATCCATTGGGCTGGCCGCTGACGGAACTGCTATCATCGGCGGTAACGAGTCTCTAGATCGAGAGACGTTCAGCCCAGCACTTGCGATGGAGGTCAGGTTCGAATCCGGTTTGGTTTGCTTCAGAAAAGCAATAGAATCGGGGGGACTGGGAATGGCCGCTGTGGACGTCCCTGGTAAAGGGTTGGAGATGGCGACAGGTTCGTTGTTCGATTGCATCAATGCAGCCATGGATAATGGATGTTTCACGCCAGCCAGATGTGGTTGACGAAAGAACGAGGAAGCTACTTCGGCGGAGCCCATGTCAGTGATTTGCGGTTCAGCAGCAACAGTTACAGAACGAAAGCCATCCAAGGACACCGGAGGATATGCAGAAAACAGAGTAGATGAGCGACTTGGGCTTTTGACAGAAAGGATCAAAGAAGATGAGAGGAAGGAAACAGAGCGATGGGGAGCAGAGTCGGATGGATGGCGCTCACCTGGAGTGTGGCGCAAGCTGACGGAAGAGGTTCAGCTTTCGCGACGCCTTGTCAGACGATCGGGTCCCACTGGTATACAGAGCCGAGGCTTTGCAGGAATACAAAAATAGCAGTAGCGTTTGCAGGATGAATAAAGCAAAACCAGAAAACGTTTGACACTACTGTCAGCCAAAGATCGATCGGGTTGAATTGGAGGTCAACCCATCTGGGGAATCCGTGGCGGAAGTGCGGCAGAATCAAAGGTGCTCTCAGTTAGGCTGCAGGAGAACCCGAGACCAAAAATTCGCTGCAAAAGGGGTGGGTGAAAAGAGGCTATGCAACACCAACCCGTCTGACAAATAGTAGTGCGCGGACAATCGTCGAGGTAAGGTGAAACAGCCGGCAAGGTAAGGGGGGAGGAATCTTGGGATTTTCGGGAGGGAAGAGATCGGAAGGAGAGATGGGTACAGATGCGACCAAGCCTCATTCACGAGGCTGACCGAAAGGAAAAAAAATACAAATAAAAATATAACTAGGTGTGGGGGGGACGGGGGTCCAAGGCAGAACAAGAACAAGAAAGACAGTTAAGACACGCAGGGGGGATAGGAGTAGCCAAATCAAGAGACCCAAAATAAAAATAAGATAAAAGACCGGAAAAGGAAAGGAGGGAAGGAAGTACAGTAACGAAATCCAGATGTAAGAAAATGGCAAACAGGCATGGATGGAGCGATACAGGGCAGAACGGATGGATCCAGGAGATGATGATGCAGTGGCCAAGTTAGTAACGAGTGTAAGGTAGGTAGTGAGAGGGGACGGCGGAGGCGGAGATGGACCACACAGAAGCAGGAGGGAGGGGGTGGGAACTGGAACTTGGAATATGCCAATGTGGAAAGACTACAGAGTAGAAGGAGGGGACAGTCAGACACTGACAGACCCTGACAGTAGTAGCCTGTAAAGCAAGCAAGTACTGACTGAGTAAGTACGGAGTAGAAGTCCTGCAGAGAAGGGAAAGAAAGAGAGAAGTTGGAACTGTTGGAGTTGGAGAAAGCCAGAGAGGACGGGATGAATCTTGACACGAGGTGGCCGGAGCGCGCTGGACAATTACCGGCCGTGACGCCGTGACCAGCTTCTAAGAGGCTCTGCCCGGCCGTGGGGCGGGTTGGCTCCTCGGAGCAATCGTCGGACCGACTGTATTGTGGTACTGAGGGCGTAAGGACGCCTCCCCTAAAGCGGCAACGCTAACCCAGACCGGTTAGACGGATGCTTTTTTTAAGTCTACGGGAGGCGCAGCACTCAGCGGGAGGTTCTTTGGCAGGAGGACACCGCACTCAGAGTCTCAGACGGAGTAGGTCCGTACAGGCAGACTGAGGCGGTGCTTGCCCGTTGCCATCGTGAACCGGAAGGATAATTGGTGGCTGAACCAGCTGGTAGCCCGCAGGGATTCTAGATTCGGGTGGGGATGGGTGGCTGTACACTGTTCATGTACACACCACCCCCGAGGTATATCAATTATGGTCAGGACAGAGTTCAATCAATCTTGAGTCCTGGGCTCGTACGGGGTATATTGAACACATAGTAGGGAGAATTCAATCGGACAAAGAAGAATAAGGTAATTAATTGCCATGACTCGACATCTCCCAAACAACCCATGACATTGGATTGGTTTAAGAAATTGAAGAAAGACAGATGATGAGAGAGAGGGAAAGGGAGAGAAGACGAGACGGTCTTTGTCTCTTTGCCAGTGTTCCCTTGCCATGTTCCCGACTGAGTATTTACACCGTACCTACTCCGTAGATTGCCGCCGCCCTTCCGGAAAGGGCAAAGGATGAGGCATTTTGCAGCTGGTGAACCCGTTGGTTAGTCATCCTCGTGATTGGTGTGATCGGTGAGCGCTGAGCAGTGATCACTTTTGCAGGCGCTTAAGCAACCCACTTGAGTGATCCACTCTCTGCTCTCTCCTCATATCTCACCCCTCCAGTCCTCACGGTCCGTACTTACTCAGTACTCAGTACCTCGCAGAGTTCCCTGTCACCATCCCCTTGGTCAGGGACCATTGCTTTCATTATACTTGTTCACTGGCCTGGATCTAAGACTCTGACCTGGCATAGATAATCCACCTTTTTAAGGTGTCATCAATTGAATTGGGTCCAAATATCCATCGTCCAGCCTGTCCACCTCTCCCCTCCTTATTTTCTCGCGCTCTCAAGCCCAGCGGCTCCGTAGCCCTTCTGGTTGGCTGTCCTGCGAGACGATCACCATTGGCGCCGGGAAGAGGGAGCCAAATCACCTGCTTATTCGCTCCGGTGGTGATCAGACCTGCATTGGATGAAGCTAGATGGTGATGTTGATGCTGATACACTCCCTCTCCCCCGCTGTGATAAGCCAGGATGATTGCGCTAGTGACGCACCTTCGCATCCAGTCATCGTGCCTTTTGACCCTGTCTCTTCCTATCACCACCTGGATGGCGCATCCGTAGATTTCACCTACACCTGCCTTCCCCCAATCAAACGCCTTGCCATCGTTGCTCTGCAGGTTTCCCGGCGCTTACCTTGGCCCTTCACACGGCCGTTGCATGCCTTCCCCGCTGAACGGACCTCATAGATATTCAGGGTGCTCACTCCGTTCAAAAATGGCCTGGTCCGATCGTAGTTTCTCTGTTCTTTTCTTTCTTCTTCCCGCCGACTCTCGTCCCTCCGTACCTCGAGTCTTTCTACCTTGTCGGTTTGCACCTTGGCTCAAGCAGCACAGGATTCGCAGGGCGTTTCCACGAGATAGTCAACGAAGAACAGAGTTGGATTGTTGGTGAGCGACCCTTTTTCCGCCTTCGTCTGCAGTACACACACCCAAACCTGTTCGGTTTAGCTGACAGCGGTCGTAAAGGGAACGCATGGAGCTCGATTGAGACAAGAGCACGCCGTGCATCTGACCAACAGCCACCTATTACTTCCAAAGAGACCATCGCGTGTAATCCGGTGGTAGAATAGGATCGTCGAGAGCTGGCTCTCTTGCTTCCTAATACACCTTGCACAACACAAGCCCGCTCTAGAACCGTGATTTTGGATACGCCTATCCGATGTCGATATCCGGTGACAGCCAAAAGAGCTATACTCGCAACTACGAACCGGTTACCCCTCTAGATATCGTTCGAGGCCCCAATCATAGACAAATGGCGCCGGCACTGCAACCAACCGTCGAGGACCGAAATTCGTCGGACACTGCGTCTTCGTCTCTCAGGAGTCCGCGGACGGCTCGTTTTGCGGAGGCAACGGCGGTCCATTCCCCAACCGGCCCTGCTGACGCGCGCAATTCCCCGTTTGCAGATCCTTCCAACCAACCTCAGGCTCATCCAGATGTGTCTGATGTAGGGTTTGGATATGTCACGGCAAGCGACCCTGCGCAACATGCATCGCACCAGGTCCCGCCTGCCTCACCCCTGAAGAGTGCCTTGAAGGTCCCAGGTACGCCCGGACGCACGCTCAATCCACTCAGTCCAACATTCCGAGAAGAGTTCTACGTCGAGAAGCAAGAGAAATCGGCGGATAAGGAGAACGCTAGAGATCTGGTGAGTATGTATGCTACGATCATGACCTGGGTAAATTCTGACGCATATGATTTCACACGTACAGCGCATTAAACTTCGGGTACGAATTGCGAAGATCTTCCTTCGCTTTGTGAATTTTTCATGCAGTCTTATCGTTCTCACAATCCTGGGAACAACTCTGACCATCTTCCACGCAACAAAAACGTTGCCATCTCGCAGTGGCTTCCCTGCATGGGCCAACGGTACGAATCCGTGGACACAGTACCTACTCTTGTCGGTTGCTTGTGTGTCGCTGTTCGCTTGTCTGATCGTGTTCTGGGGATATTGGAAGGGCGGCCATAAGCGTGCAGAGAAAGTCGCCGTGTACTACTCGGTCTTTTCGGTCTGTTTCTTCACATTCAGTTTAATCATGTGGGTCGTTGCAGCTGCCCTCTACCAGAACGACAAAGCCTCCGGCGGCGGCCAGGACTTGTGGGGTTGGTCCTGCAAGAAGAATACTCGCGAGGAACTGTTCCGGAGCGATATTGATTACGCCCTTCTTTGCCGTCTTCAGGTGCGTTAGGCAGCTAATGCTGCAGTTTCCCAACCGTGATTCGCCGCTTTACTAACCTTGAAGACAGGACTGGGGACTAGTGTGCGCTATCATCGAGATAGTTCTCGAAGTTATGATTATCCTGATCTACGCCGTGGTGTTCTATCGGTTCTGGACCAAAAGACGGCTCGCAAAGTCTATGGACCGCCGCGACAAAGCTCGATCCGACTTATACCTGGCTCAACTTCGTTTCCAGTCGGCACCAAACACTCCTGGGTTCCCCCATGCCGCCAAAAGCCCCCTTGTAACCACGTCTATCCCTCAGGACCCCTATTCTGCAGCGGAAAATGGAGAATCGTGCTCGACTCAGTTTGCTACTCCTCGATCGCCAACTATGCCGCAACCTACATTTCAGCTGCAGCCGCCTCCTATTCGCGTGCAGCACGCAACCCCCAAATCTGCACAGGAGGAGTTCCCTACACCTCCTCCCGTGGCTACGTCTATCCAGAGTTCGACTCAGCATATGATTGCTGCTCCCGGCGAGCGGACCTACGAAGCCGTCCCAATCCCAGGCGCCTATGCAAGCCCAATGAGCCCCGGCTTTCCCCAAGGAACGCACCACTAATGAGGGGCTCATGATCAACCCGTGAGCTTGCTCGGAATTGAGTCGTCAATCGCAAATAATCTGATATCTAAGCATCCAAATATACATATCTTTTCGAATATAATAGTTAGCGTCAGCTCAGAAGTGGTGGGTTTCCGGCTCGTTATGCAACCCAGAAAGAGCCTTATGCACAGGTCCAACCGTCCAAATCATCTAGTCGACAATTTGGCGTGAACGAGATTTTGGCTTTCGTTTTGCAGTTTTCATTTTTACGTACTGATATCGTGTCCTTGATTTACATTATGTTACTTATACCATCTCTTCAATTATGAACACTCCTTCTACCGCTACTTCTTCCATCTCCTGGCTGTTTGCCCGGCCGTCGTCTCATTTGGAGGCTTTTGAGGCGACAAACCAAGCCGACAATTAGAGTACCTGCCATGTATGTCGAAAGGTATGTAATTCAAAAATTTTGGCAGACAGCAAGTCTTTGTCACTATGAACTTGAGCCCAAATCAAAAGAACAGAAAATGCATGTAGTTATATGTACGGCCTTCGGAGATGAAGCGTAAGACCCGAAAGATAAAACAGGTACATGAGAAATCGAGCCAATCGAGAACAGGATTGTGTACCCAGCTCAAAACTGAAGAGAAAAAACAAGATAAAATAGATGAATAAATCAAAGGAGCCATTCCAAGGGCCTGACCAAACGCCATCCATCACGACAGAGAAACGAACGACCCTGCAAACTCCGCCCGCGGCACATATTTAGAGCCTGCGTAAACTCCAACCCATACAGCATACCTCATAGAGCATAACATGACCATCAAAGCAAGGGAGCAGATGTCTCCGTCCATATACAATGTTATATAGCTCCTTCTTCAATGACAGCGTTGGCGTCTCTCACGACAAATATTTCTTCCAATTTAGCTTCGCCGTCACCACCAGGACGATCATCATTATGCAAGACAAGCCCTTGTTCATTAGCCAGATGAAGCAGGCAAATGAACCCATATGAGGTACTGATGTCCCGCAACGTATCTGGGGCATAGACCTGTTTCAGGGAGTTCATGACATGGGTAAAGCGCAATCGATTGTTCTCTTCGTCAACAGCCTTGTCCTGGGGTGTGGGTGTTGGCGTTGGGTCGGGTTGAGAGGCCTCCGGAGTGCTTCCTCGGGGAGTATCAAAGTGTGTGGCAGCGATTAATCGGTCACCCATTCCCTTCCACATCTCCAATTTGAGACGCCGCACGTCGACCTTCTTTGCAACCCGTGCGTAGGCCACATAATCAGGTCGTGCTCTTCGACCACCTTGTGTTACAAGTTGCGACCCAAACCCGCCGGCGCCATTTTGAAGGGCCGAGCCAGGGGTTGATCCGACCATGTTGAGGAGTGCTGCCAAACCTGAAGCGCCGCCTGCCTCCCCAGCTGACGGCCCTGCAGCCCCATCAGCTGGTGGAGATAACATCTCTCTGGCGTCCGCAAACGGTAGGTTGTCGTCGTCATCGTCACCCAAATCGATACCATTCGGGAACGCAAGACCATCATCATCTGCAAAGAAGTTGGCATCATACGCTCCGGGAGCGCCTTCTTCACCTGCCTCTGCGTCGGCTTCAGTTTTATGATTCGCCCAGAATGCCTCGTCCATGTCTCCATTGCCGGAGGTTTGGTCCGGGCGTCGATTGCTGAACTGTCGAGACCCCAACAATTTCTTGGAGCCCATTCTAGCTTTAGGCTTTAGGAAAAGACGAAGTAATTGGCGTGAGTTGAAATGTTTGTCGTCAGGAAGGAGGTTGCGACCTTTGGTTTTCCACTGCGTTTTGGGCAGGGAGATAGTGGAGTTAGAGCTAGCTGGAGTGTAAATCAGTTCAGCCACAGACGGATCTAAAGGCGCACCAAAGTCGATCTCAAAGGGTTCCTTCTCTTTGCGTTGTTTTGGCGTCACATTCGCGGTGTTAGCGGCCGCATGCTCCTTGATTTTTCGGATTTTCCAGTGCTCCGGCCCTGCCCAGTTCTTTTGCAAGGCATTGTCAAAATAACTGAGAATATTTTCGTGATCTCGAGTATCCGGCTGATGAGAAAGAGATATGGCATATGCATCGTCGTTATCGATTTCTTCACCATCATGGTTCTCATCACCGTCTCGATCTACCCGATGAACCTTGAGCATTGGCTCAAGTGCAGCTTCACGGGCCCATACTTCTCCACCGTCTCCGAAGCCTGCATCCCCAGTGAGGTCAAAGCCAGCCAAAGTCGCATCATCATCGTCGTCGAACCCTACAGCATTATCATCGTCGAGCATGATTCCAGACGCGTCGTTGGCGTTGCGACCTTGCTCCTTCTCATTTCGCCAGTCTTCGGGTGCCTTGAGGAAGGGGATGTCCAAGGATCCACTCGGATCTCCGAGGTCAAAATTCTTCAGCGAGTGACAAATATCTTGTTCCTCAAGTCGCTCGAGGTCGGGGAAGAAATGGCTGGCTAGCGGGGCGATGTCGATGTCCATACTGTCCTCGAACACTTCGCCAGGGGATTGTCTCGAAGGGGAAGGAGAGTCCGGTCGTTCGGGGTCTTCTGAATTCTGGCGTGCACTTTCCGTCTCTTTCGAGCTTTCCTCGGTAGCATCATCGCTGCTATCGAATACTATGCGCCCTTGACCGTCGATTGCCAGATGATTCAAAAGCAATCCTTTGGCGCCACCTTCATCAAAATCTGCGGATGCTTTTTTGAATAGTGGATCGACCGAGAATTCAAGTTCGAACTTCTTGAGTTGAAGGGCAGCAAATGAGGGTGCTAATGTGGCCTCGTGGGAACGTTGCTTTATAACTTCAGTCAGTGGATCAGATACACATCTGGCTTTGATACAGCACTATACCTTTCGCCGGCTCTTTCTCGTCGTTCCTTCCTCGCCCTCCTCGTCCTCGTCGTCAACCTCCTCCCCATCCGCACCGGCCTCGCGGGCCTTCTTATCGCGACTATCGGCCAGGCCACTGAGAAGCTTTCCGGTCTCTGTAGCAACGCTATCAACTCTGCTCGTATAAATTTTCACGCAGCCGTCCAAGGTGCAGCTGGCCTTTTGGAAATTCACGCCATCGCCTTCTTTCAGGAGGGACATGTCATGAAAGTAGTCGATGAGAGCAAAATTCCATGAATTATTCGCATTAATCTTGTTGTCGGTTGCCATTTTCATCCACTCCTCGAAATTAGCCAGGATTGGGACACGCTTCATCGGGGTCACAGCCCTTCGACCGTCTGCATCGGTCTCTCGTCCTCGCTGGCCTGACCCTCGGGGAGTAGCAGGACTCATGCTAGATGCGCGGTCATAGTTCGAATACCTGCGGGGCGGCATGGGTGTTTTCACGGCGGCCTTGATCTGATCCATTTGTCGATCATGGCGCGCTTGACGGGCCTCCATGCGGGCGGCCTTCTCACCCAAGTCATCGTTAAGAGGGATTCTAATACCATCACATCAGTCTGGATCATACATAAAAAGCACTGCGCGCCTTAGACTGATACCTACTTCAACGGCGAGTTTTTATGGGGGGTCGAAGCGCCGCCGGAGCGGCGATGCTTGGGATTTGCGACGCGGGGCATTGTGGACGATTTCCCCTGGCAGCAAGGGCTGATTCAACACTCGCTTTATCCCTTTCTCAGCGGTCTGACGAAGATAATTCAACGGATTTATCAAAAAAGAGCTGGACGGCGGTCATGAAACCTTCTCATTTGGAGAGGGGCGGGCGAGTTGCGTAAGAACTCAGCGATGCGGTTGCGATGCGCCACTTTGCCGACGTTTTTGTTTCCCTTTGAAGCAGGAAATCAACAAAAACATACGGCGCCGCAGAGTCGCTTACAGCGCAGCCACTAGCCCCATCCGGTGCTGACCACACGTGACCCAATCTGTCCCGATCGGGTCACCACTCAAGCATGTGACGTGACTCCCGTGACGCAGCACCTACGGAGTACGGAGTACACAGTCTCGGCTCTTCTTCTTTCTTCCATCTTCAAAATTAACTTGGCTACCATCGCGCTTTGGCCAGTACAAGCACTCATGCAGAAACCTTCAGGCCAGGATATCTCTCTCCAATGGATAACTTGATCGATTATCTTTATTCATCACATTCACGATCTATTCCTATCTGCCGAGGAGCACAGCCTCATCGGCCCCCCAATGACCTGACAAGCCACTGTCTCCACTCTCTTGACATCAGTGGCTAGTAGACAGAACGACGACTGACGAGCGTGAGCTCACTACTGAGTTGATGACCTTCCCGCATGGCTCGTCACTCTGTCCCTAATAGATCACTCACCGCACCCGGAACCCATTGACTGCTGCCTGTTAACTGTTTCTATCCCTTGCAGCTTTCCCATTCTGGCTCTCCTGGGCTCCTCTTCTCCGCTAGCGACTCTCTATTACCAGTTACCCATGATGCTACCACTGTCGCATCATCAACCATGCCCCGAGTACTGACGCCGAGCTGGGGCCGTCCTAGGCCCGGCCAGAAACGTCGATATTCTGCCCGGCCGTTCTACTGGACTCTTTTGGCGTTTACAAGTCTCGCAGTCTTGAAATGGGGTCTTGGTTGCCTCAAAGCGAGCCCTCCTACGCAGCTCATAACACGCAGTTGGCAATTGGCTACTCCCACTACTCATCGGGTTGTCGCACGGGATAATGAACTGGAGGTATGGCCTGTCTATCTTTTTGATCACATTCTTCCCCCTCTTTCCCGGGGGTTCTACAAGTCTAGTCCCTATCATATTTTAACGATGCTCACATGTTTTATTTGCCTTGGTTTTTTTTAGTGCCGTCTTGTTCGTGATGCTAAAGATCAATGCTCCTTTGTCCGCCTAAACTGTCCGGATCATGAAGATGGGTTTTTTTCCTATCTTCAATTCTATTATTGCACTATCGCAGATGCCAAACCACTTGCATTCGCTACCATCATTTTGTGGCTGTCTCTGCTCTTCAGCACCATTGGAATTGCCGCTAGCGACTTTCTGTGTATTGACTTGAGCACATTGGCTAGCTTTCTCGGACTGAGCGAAAGCTTGACTGGCGTCACTTTCCTGGCGTTTGGGAATGGAAGCCCCGATGTCTTCTCCACGTTCGCTGCCATGAGGTCCAACAGTGGAAGTTTGGCTATTGGTGAACTACTCGGGGCTGCAAGTTTCATCACATCTGTGGTCGCGGGGTCGATGGCGCTGGTTCGCCCATTCAAGGTTGCACGGAGAAGCTTTGTTCGAGACGTGGGGTATTTCATCGTGGCTGTCAGCTTTAGTATGTTGCTATTAGCTGACGGTCGCCTTCATGTCTGGGAAGCTGCCACCATGGTTGGTCTGTATTGCTTCTATGTGGGTCTGGTCGTGGTCTGGCACTGGTACATCGTGCGGAAACGCCGAGTCTATGAGAGGAATTTAGCGGCACGGTCACATTTCCATATCCCAGACAATCAGGAATTAGAGATCGAGGAAGTTGAAGAGGATGACCCGGGAGTGGCATCCGAGTCAACAAGTCTCCTTCGCGCTGTCGACTTTGATTCTTTGGAAAGGGCCGGTGTGCCTGCTTGGCAGGACGGAGACGAGGATGACGAGACCCGCAACCGCTACCTGGCCGAAATACGAGACAACATGCATGTTATCCGCCCTTCTGCACGCAGGCGCAACACATTGAATCCAATCAGACCTAGTCTTGTCGGCGCCTTGGAGTTTCAGTCGGTGCTTTCTTCCTTGCAGCGATCACGAAGCACACACCAAAACGTCCCGATCCACCTACCAAGATATTCGGATAACCGCGACTATGAAACACAGGGCCCGTCACACATGCACGACAACATGTCAGTCGCATCCCATCCGAGGGATAACAGATCGTCCGCGGCAGATCATCTCTCACCATACGGCGCAAGTGGACCGGGACGTATTCGGGCTGTGTCTGCAAACGACGCCGCCGGGCTGAAGCTGGATACCAGCGTGCTTGATCCTTCCATGACACGGCCCGTTGTCACAGTTAGTCGACCCACGGGCGATGGTTCAAACACACAACTGGCTCATCAGGCCGACCCTCACCCAGATTTAACACTTTCGATACCAGAGTCGGGGCATCGGTCACCAAATTTAAGCCCCGTGGTAGGGGACCGGCCTCGTACGCCCCCTACTTTACTTGCACCTTCGAATGCTTTCCAGTCTCCAAACTATCAGACAGAAACACAGCATTCGCAATCCCCCCTTCCGCTGTCCCCGCGAGGAACCTCATTATCGCCCGGTAACTCTGCTCCGACGAGTCCATTTCCTGCCTTTGATATATCAGGCTCTGCGCCTTCTCGACCCCCGAGTATACGCTTGCCCGCTGCTTCGAGCCCCACAGAATCACTTCAAATTCACGAAGGTCTCGGGGATGGACGTCCTCGTCGTCGAATCCAAACCAAATGGCGGTCTTGGTGGGCAGCATTGCCCATTCGGACAGTTGTCTCCACGCTATTCCCCACCCTAGATGGATGGAAAGCTAAAACATTTTGGGAGCGACTGTTGGGAATCGCGGCAGCGCCCAGTGTATTGCTGTTGACCATAACTCTGCCTGTAATCGAACCTGTACAAACTCAGACGTCGACAGGTCCAGTCACTGTTGTCGTATCTCCAGCGGACGACGAGAGTTCTACAGCCCCTCTCGTGAGACTTCCAGATGATAGCCCACTAATCCACGCTATTGATCAGGAGGACACCACCAATGAGGCAACACACCAGAACAGTAAAACACAGTCGCCATATGATCGGCGACGGTGGGACTCTGAACTGCCCGCCGTTCAACAACAGCAAGACACATCATCCGTCTCTACCAAAGAAAGCTGTCAATGGCTTGTCTGGATACAGCTTTTCACTGGCCCTTTCTTTGTGACTTTAATATCTTGGACAGCCATGGACTCTGAACTCAAACTTCGCAATTTATTACTACCGTTTCTGTGTTCCCTCCTTTTTTCTCTTGTCTGTCTCACATGCCTCCTCTTGAGCACGCGGCGCAATGGCCACTCGCAAATTCCCAACACATGGCGCCCTTTCCTAGCCTTACTCGGATTCATGGTCGCCATATTCTGGATTGCAACTATAGCCACAGAAGTTGTTAGCCTCCTTAAGACAGTGGGGGTCATTTTGAATATCAGCGATTCTCTCCTCGGGCTGACCGTGTTCGCTTTTGGGAATTCCCTAGGCGATCTGGTTGCGGACATCACCGTTGCACGCCTTGGGTATCCGGTGATGGCCCTTAGTGCCTGTTTCGGTGGGCCAATGTTAAATATCCTTCTGGGAATCGGATTGGGTGGTCTATATATGACTGTGAATGCAAGCCCAGACTCGATTATTGCAACTGGGGGGTCTTACGAGATCGCCATTTCGAACGTTCTGATAATCAGCGGTGCAACGCTGTTGGTTACCCTTGTGGGATTGTTGATTGTCATTCCTCTAAATAAGTGGAGGATGGATAGAAAGATTGGCTGGGGTCTGGTTATCTTGTGGTGCGTCAGCACCTTGGCTAACGTCATTGCTGAACTTGTAACTTGAGCTGTTTCTGGATTGTGATACTTATTTTTCTTTCCTATTGCTTTTTTTATCTTATCTTTTTGCTTATCTTGGCTGGCACCATCTTCACTTTAGCTTTGCTCTCTATTGCTTTATATCTATATCTTTGTCTATCTTCTCTTCTTTCCGCTTTCCTGTCTGAATCCGAATGCTCGTGATAGAACGTCAGTTTCTGGATATATATTGCAAGGATTAAGATATATAGTATAATATTAGTAAAGGACGAGTACATGGATTCTGTGCAATCATGGAATAAAACCGCCTCTGGAATATTATTTGAAAAGATTCTTTCTACATAAAGAAAATGGCGACACCTCGATAGGCGAAATACAACAAGATTGAACTTAGAGAAGATGTGCAGATAAAAATAAAAACATATATTATGGACGCAGTTACATTATCTGTTGGCAAGCTACTGTCGCCGACAGTGGGAGCGTTCGCTGCTAATCGAAGGCCACGATGGAGTCTTTTAACCCAGCACCCGACCTGCCGACGAGCTAGAACTCCGGTCGTTTGTCTGAACCTTCTTTAGTCCCATTCCTGCCTGAATGGAAGCTAGCAAGGCACCGCGATCACTTGGGCCCCCGCGGGGAGGAGCTGGCGGAGGAGGTGGGGGAGCTGGTGGAGCTCCCGGAGGAGGCGGTGGAGGGGGCGCTCCAAAGTCACCCGCCGGAGCGGGAGCTGGTGGTGGCGGAGGGGGAGGCGGCGGGGCGCCAGGGGCGGAAAGTGGTTCGGTTTCCAGTTCAGGCACCACTGGGGTATCCTGCACAGGGGTGGACGATTTGGAAGGAGACTTATCATCCATGGCAGAGAGGGGTCGCGGAGGTGCCATAGTACCGAACAGGATGCTAGCAAGTTGCTTTGCGCTACCGCCGCCTGCCCGTTCGTCCTCATCGTCAGAGGAGTCGCCGAATTCCGAGCCTGCCGCGGACCAATCATCATCATCTTCAGGACGCGCTCGAGACTTCCGCTCCAATGGACCTGGTGCGGTGAATGCTGGCTTGGCAGTCTCTTGCTGCTGGGTCAGACGGTGGAAAGGGTTGGTAGACGGAGCGTCGGCTTTGGGGGAGGTGACAGCGGCCTGGCCGTCGGCGGGCTGGTTTATCTTCTTGAAATAGGGGTTCTTTGATTCAGCGTCCGCGTTCAGGGCTGCCGGTCCAGCGCGGCCACTGGATGGAGAGCTAGCAGGGCTAGGAACGTCCTGGGCTGTTGGCTCGGTAGTGGCCGGGGGAGAGGAAGCGTTTGCCGTGTTGAGAACTTGACTCTGTGTCGGTGTGCTGTCCTGTGGCGTAACGTTGGCCGGACCCTCATCGTCGGAAGAACTTTGCTCTTCCATAGCTTCCAGTTCCAATTGAAGCTGTCGCTCTCGCTCTCGAGCCATTTCAAGTTCAGCTTGATGGGCCGCAAGCTTAGATTCCTGATCTTTTGCCTGTCGACTAGCCTCCTCCTTTCGACGTTTCTCTTCCTGCTTTTTAATCTTGCCCTGTTGGACCTGTTCTTGCAGTGCACGTAGACGGGCTTCCTGTGCCTGCTTTTCTCTTTCATACTCTTCTTCTCGTTGTTTGGCTTCGATTCTAGACGCGCAACGTAGTGTAAGTACGCAATCATCGGGAGCCGAGGAGCAGACATGGTTCAATGTTGGGGGGTAGAAATAATTTTCGTCACTTACTCAAGTTGCTTCCTCTCGTCCTCTTGCGCCTGTTGTTCCTCTCTGAGAGCCTGTTCCTGGGCGAATTGATCCGTTTTGGTCGGTTCTTCCGCTGGCTTCTTCGCGTCAGCCTGTCCCGCACTGTCGGTGCGAACTCGCCGCGAAGGCGGCGCCGGAGGAGGCTTTTTGCCAGCTGGTTTGGCGGATTGCGATGCTGGGCCCTGCTGCTCTTCGGCCAGGCGACGCTGCCGTTCCTGCTCTCGCTTCGCATCCTCTTCTTCGGCTTTTCGCAGCCGTTCTTCGCGCTCCTTCTTTTCGCGTTCTTGACGTTGAGGAAGGGTCTCCGCCGAATCATTGCTGTGGGGTTTCAGGCCAGCGGCCGCCATCCGTTCGGCGATGCGCTTTTGCGCACGTTCTCTGGCTGCGGCCACTCGGTCTTCATGTGTAGACCCGGGCAACGATGCCGGAGAGCTGGTAGATGGCGGAGGGGAGGGGCGAACAGCTCCAGCACTACCACCGGGCGATTCATAATGAGGAGACGATTGTTCCTGCACTGGGAATGACCTCGATGTTCTGCAGATTGTTGTTAGCATCTATCATACGCACGAGGGAAGAAAGGGCACGGGCAGGGCTCGGCAGTCAACTTACTCCTCCTTGCGAACTGATGCAGTCCGGCTGCCACGCTTCAAGTCATAGATGAAGTCACGGACGATATCCTCCACGCCTAGCGCATCTTCCCATCGGCGTCGTTCGTGCTCGCGAGTCGAGTTTTCCCCTTCATCTTTGAGGCTGTCCTCAAGGCCGCGAGCGAAATCTTTGACGCTGTCCTCCACATCACGCGTCATGGCATCGTTCTTCTCTCTGGCCGCCTTGATGTTTGCACTCTCAGCTTCGAGACGCCGAGCAGCTGCTCCATCATCGTCTTGCGAGGCAGGTGGCGGTCTTCCGGCAAGCTCGGCAGCGCGAGCCTGCATCCTAGCACGGGCGCGAGCTTTAATGCGGTCGGCCTCCGTCACCGTGCCACCGGGGCCAGTACCAACAATATTCGATGCACTGCTGGGGTGCGCCTTCGCATCCTTCAAGCGGAACAGCTCCAGTTTAGTCTCGGCAATCTCCCGCTCAACCCTACGGACCTCGGAAGCAATCTGAGGAACTTGATCCTCGAAAGTCTGTAGTTGGCGTCGCAGAGTTCGTCGTTCAGCCCCATTGTCGAGGTTCCGGAAGGAGGCATTTGGGTGAGTGTCGATTTCGTCCTGGACGCGTCGAGTTCTGTCCATCAAGCTCTCTGCTTCGCGGCGGTCCCTACGATCCATAGCATCGTCTTCTTCGGCACGATTTTCATCCTGGAAATCCACCGCGTCAAGCATAATCTGAGTCTCACGGATCTTTTTCTTCAATTGCTCGGAAGACAGTTCTTCCTCCGATGCCTGAGACGAGGCGGCGGGTGATGGAGTGCGAGCGTTGTTACCGACGCGACGGCGAGCACTAGAGCGGTAGCCAGAGGCAGCTTCGTCATTGTTTTTGAAAAGCGTAGCATCTTTGCGACCAAAGCCAGGCGACGACGTGCCGCCACGAAAAGAGTGCTCCTTGAGATAGCTTACGCCAGTCTTCTGCGGCTGCAAGAACGCGCCCGAAGCTTTACGGGACTCGGCATCTTGCGAAAGCATGGATTTGACCGTTCCGATGGAGTCGTTCAGATTCCTTGTCGAGGGAGGGACAAGTTCCGGCGGTAGGCGATTTGGTACCGGGTATCCGTTGAGCTTCCGGTAGATCAAGTGCATACCAACGGCGAACTCATCCATGTTCAGCCGACCCCTGTTGTGCGGGTCCGCCAATGTCCAAATTCGCTCCAAATCCTGGCGATCCAAGCCACTCTGGCCCATAATTTCAATAGCAGTGTCACCACCAATGAAGCCCTTGTGGAACCCATCCCACGCTCGGAACAGGTCGTCGTAGATTTTCTTTTCCTCCTTCGTGATGGCCCAAGGGATATGGGCATTTCCCGAAAGTCCGACTGCAGAAAACCCGCCTTCGCGGCCTGGTTGAGGCATGAGTTGCTGCTTGAGAGCTTCAATGTTGGGCAGGCCGGTCGCCGGTGCATTGACAAACCCCCATTGGCCAGGGATACCGGTAGGCTGCGCGACCAGGCCCTGTACGCCCCCGGTTTGTGCGGGGCTAAGTCCGGATCCGAAACCCGTAGGCATCGGCGGCATCGGCGGGCGAGGGCCGGTATAGCCAGTCGCTTGCGGATTGGACATGAGCCCCGTGGGCTGCGGCTGGAGGGTCTGTGACTGAGTCTGTGCGGGAAATCCAGTCGCTTGGGGCGTGAGGCCCGAATTTTGGCCAGAGAAGGCGGCCTGGGTGGACAGGAAGTTATTCGCCTGGGGGAATCCCGTAGGCTGAGCCGTGAGTTGATTCAGAAGCTGCGAATTCGTTGGCTGTTGTGGCTGCGGTTGCTGAGGAGCTGGAGGAGCCGATTTGTTCTCAAGCAGTGGCGCCTCGAAACTCGGGGCATTCGTCCGGGAGACAGGCTCCGGTTGCGTATCGGGGACCGTGAACGAGATGATATCCACCATACTGGACACTTCGTTTTTTATTTTCTCCGGGAGAGCGTCGGGCAGCTCCCTGCCTGTGATTCGCAAGTTGCACAGATACATAGCCAGTGCAAACTCCGGGAAGAACAGCTGGCCTGACTTAGTAGAGTCGGACAAGACCCTGGGACCATCAGCATCGAGGGGGCAAGGTAACCATCTTCTCCCCAGGTACTCACCATATCTTCGACAGGTCCCTGCCCGCGAGCCTTGACCGCAGGAGTAGCTCCTTGGCCTTATCGCCTGCAGTGTGTTGAAATGTCAGGACACTCTGCTTGACTAACCAAGCCGGGGAGGGAGGAATCCTACTAACCGCTCATTGTCTGGTTATCTCCAACGGCCGACTTGAACAGTTGCTCGAATTTAGCCTGATCTTGGGCGGTGATGAATGAGAGGCGGATGTTGGGAATCTTGTTGCCCGAGGATTTAGGGGGCGGCGGGGGAGCCGCGCCGTTCCCATCTCGAAATGAGTCGGCTATCGCTGAAGAGGTCTGAAAGCCCGGACGGAGAGGGAGACCGGTATTTGACGGCGCCTGAAACTGGGGAGTTTGAGCCTGGCCAGGGTAGCCTGTAAATTGGGGTTGCTGCGGAATCGGAGGTTGTAAGCCCGGCTGGTGTGCTTGCTGGGCAGCGGCGCCAGGGAAGCCGGTGAATTGCGGTTGCAGCTGTCCCACGGGGAAACTGGTTGGTTGAGGTTGTAGCTGCGAGCCAGGCATTTGAGATCCATAACCAGTAGGCTGAGGAGCAAAGCCCGGCTGCTGCTGGCCGGTCGGAAATGGCGAGTATTGCTGCTGTTGCTGCTGCTGCATGAAAGGTGGCTGCTGTCCGCGAGCGCTGTTGGCGCCGCCGAGGAAGGAATTTGACGAGGAATACATTACCACAATGGCACTGACATCAAGCAAAGAATGCTAGATCCAGGCATTGACGAAGCGACGGACAGAAGGAGAAGCCAGGCGACCGGAAGCAAATGGGGAAAGGAGACGAGAGGTTGCCTTGGGAGTTCAGGAGGGAGGATGACGGCAGACGCCAGGCACGCGGAGCCACGCTAAACCCTCCCGGTCGCCTGCTGAGTCAGCACCCACAGGAACCTTGCGATGGTAACTACTCCGTATATTACTTTACTTCTCGAAAGAATCTCATTGTACTATCTTCCCCCGGAGAGATATACCCGAAATTATATGACTGCAAACCGACTGGGATTCCAGGAGTCCCAGGTATCCGAATACGTACAGGCCAGAGCAAATTAAAACCACACCGAGATTGGACAAGAATAACGAAAACGAGGAACAAGAAAGAAAGAGCCAGCTCATATCCATACTCGAAGCAAGATGAAAGGGGTATGGGATTTTTCGAAGAATCAGAAAGGAAGAAGACGCATGGCCAGCTGCGCCCAATGCTGCAGGCAAGACACTGCCTAAATCCCGTCCGCAGCCCCGTTCTGCTGCTGCTGACTTGCTCCCACCATCTTCCGTAGTTCGTACTCCTTGGTAAACTCGCGAGAAAGAATTCCCAAGTCTCGAACCAGCTCGTGACAGGCGGTCACTACGGCCTCCTTGGGAGCGATTTCACCGTCGGTTTGCACGCGCAGTTCAAATTTGGGAACTAAAGGGTGGGGAACCTGTAGCTCACTGGTTATTTACAATGGACCCCCGCTATAGAGCACTCGCACGCGTGGCGTAACGTACCTTGTAGGCTGCAAAGAGAACGTGGGCGCTCTGCAACAGACGAGCGCGGATCAAATTACCCAGGGTGTGGTCCTCTTTATTAAAAGTGAAAATGGCTGAAGATGGAATACCTGTGAAAATAATTCAGTAAGAGCGAAGACAGAAAGTCAGGAGAATAGGGACGTACGGGTGTCAATTTCCATCTCCACTTTGCTTTCGCCATTGGCGAGCACGAAGGACTCGTAGCTATAGTCGGGGACGGATCAGCACCGTGCCATATCCTGTCATATCCACGAACGCGTTGAAGGGACTGAGAGGGATATTGGGGGGGGGGAAGAAAGACAAGAAAAAAAGAAAACAAGTGATCATGGAGCTGGAACAGGGCAGACCTGGGCTGCTGGTCATGCGACACCCTGACAGTAGACTGGCAACCATTACGAGTAATGCCGCAGGCGTTTCGCCAGCGTGCGAAGGCCGTCTCCGGTGGGAGCAATGGCTCTTTACGTGGACTCATATTGGAAGGGCTCAGAAGCATCGACAGGGGACAAGAACACGAGCAGAACACGACAAGCCACTGAGTGGAGGGAGGAGGGGGTAAATGGTAGTAGCCAAGGAAAAGAGGAAAGGGCGTGAGACAGAATGGTTCAACAGTAGCACCAGAGTCTGTTTTTCCCGGAGCCCTCTCTTTCCCTTTCGGGCAACCTACCCCAAGCTGCGTCTTTGCATTCATCTCCAAGCCCTGGGAGAGAAAGAGAGAAGCAGATAGACAGAGAGGTAGGGGAGGGAGATGAAAACGATAAATGATAATGAAAACAGAACATAATTGAGGCCACAGAGAGAGCAAACAGACAGAAAGAGTGTCACTGATCTTACCGGTCTGGTGCGTTCATTGTGTTCCAATTTAGCTAGGTGATATCCAAGAGATTTAAGATAATATATATGTAGCGCAGGAGCTGGTGGCTGGGAATCTCAAGGCAGTGTGATCTCTTAAATTCTTGCAGATCGTTCTCTTTAACTGGATTGTTCCTTTGTGTGAGAAAAGTTCAGACTCGATCCAGCCAGATGACCGGAAAGATAAGGAATATTGCTGGAAAGAAATGAAATAGGGATTAATAATAGTCAGGATCTACACATCCAAAAAAGAATCGTGGACAACAACGTGCGTGTGGCGCGTCTAGACTGGTAAAACGAAGGGTGGTGAGGGTTGACGGCGAGGTTCTTTGATGCCGGGCGATATCTATGGATGGATTCTTGCCGCACCCCGTGACCCTCACGTGATTCACCCGCATCGTCATAGTTCATCCTGCCCGCTATTGACTCCTACTACTCTTACCATCACTGCTACATTCACTAACTACTATTAGGGTTACTTATTGGTTACTTTAGTTGATTTACCTAGTATAATCAGAACAATGCCTTCATCAGCATCAGCACCTGCCCCAGCATCTTCATCTTCATCATCTTTCCACACCTCCTGGCAGTCTACCTATCCTTGGACCGAGACCCCGCTTGTAGCATCGGCTCCTATGCTTAACATCGCTATGCCTTCGCTCGCCGTGTCGGTCTCGTCCGCCGGGGGCATAGGGTTTCTCGCTGCAGGGTACGACGTTTCCAACTTAGAGCGCAACCTCCAGGAGGCAGTGCATCTCGTAGAACGGACAGACACACCGATCCGATCAGTTTTTCATAGCACCGGCACTCTACCCATCGGGGTCGGTTTTCTTACGTGGGGCGCGGACCTCGAAATGTCGGTTGTCACTATCAAGCGATATAGGCCGTGCGCCGTGTGGCTCTTTGGCCCTCAGACCCATCCCTCAGACCTGATTCCTTGGGTGAACGGAGTGCGCGCCGCCACCTACGGAAGGACCAAGGTCTGGATTCAGGTGGGCTCGGTCGCGGAAGCGGCGGCCGCGGCAGAGGCCCTCCGTCCGGATGTACTGGTCGTTCAGGGCGCGGACGCTGGTGGTCATGGTCTGGCCCATTCAGCTTCCGTCCTCACCCTAGTCCCTGAGGTATGCGACGCCCTCAAAGAACGCCGGAAGAGTGAGATCGCCGTGGTGGCGGCGGGCGGGATCGCCGACGGGCGAGGTATCGCTGCCTCTTTGGCTTTGGGCTCGACTGGAGTCGTCATGGGCACGCGCTTCTTGGCTTCGGTGGAGGCGAGTATCGCCCGGGGCTACCAGGACGAGATCCTGCGAGCGTCCGACGGAGGGGTCAGCACTGTCCGTTCTACGGTATACGATCGGGTGAGAGGGATCAAGGGCTGGCCGAGAAGATATGATGGGCGCGGCGTAATCAATCGAAGCTACACAGATGCTACGGAATGTGGCATGAATGATGAAGAGAACCGCAGTTTGTATAAAGGAGAGTTGGAGAAGGGCGATTCGGGATGGGGTCCGCGGGGGCGGTTGACCACCTACGCCGGCAGTGGAGTTGGGCTTGTAAAAGCGACGCTGCCCGCGGCAAAGATCCTGGATCAAGTACGACTGGAGGCAAGGGACGCGATTCAACGACTTGCAGGGTCATGACGCCGATTCGACCCCGGCGGGGAGGAAAGCAAAGAATTCAGAGAGCACGTAAGTTCAATGAATGGAGAGATTCCTGGTGGCCTCACGAGGCTTGTTCGTATATTATACTTTATCATATACCTACCCAATACAACATGAAAATAATTCGGACACAATATACAACCGCTGAGCTCTGAAATCTGATAATGGACAAAAAAAAAAGGGGAGGGGGTGGGAAATGAAGAGCCGGGGGGAGATAAGAAGAGGGCAAAGAAACAATGAAGGAAAACGCCAGCCTTGCACAACTCCATGCCTTTGCTCAAGTCGGACAAGTCAATGGGTAGAAACATTCATGATGCAGTTCAAATCTTCAGATGCCAAACTGACGTACCCCAAAATAAAGGGAGTGAGGGAGGAAGGGAGAAAGAAGAACGAAATAGATATAGCGGAAAGATGATCAAGTACATAGGGCAGATAAGATATCAAGAGAGCAAATCGCCAAAGCTCGGTCTAGAGCTGGAAAGTGCATGCGAGAAGGGGAAAAACCTCAGTGAACAAGACGCGGATCTAAATCATCTATGAACGAGTTAATGCACTGTGTTCAATAAGTCACCAAGACTCGACGTCTCCTTTTTGGATTTCCAATTGCTTCGTTTATTTTCTCGTTTCTTCATCATTTCGGCCCACCCTTCGTCGTCATCTTCATCGTCTTGCGCAATGCCATTGCCGGGTCCACGAGCCAGTGCGGATTTTCCGCCGTTGGAAATAGGACGGGGAGTAGGCTTGGGCATCTGTGGAGCGGCCGGGGAGGCGATGGAGACGGAAGATCTCTGGTTCTCGTCGTTCCAGGGCTTGGAGGCAAGAGGATAGGCTGCCGAGGTAGTGTCCGGTTGGAGGGTAGACACTGGACGATAGCGAGGCGCCAGTCCTACATTACTTCGCTCCGACGGCGCGATTGATGGCGCATAGCCTTGTCCCGCCGGGGTACTCGGTCGGTTCGCTCCGGACGCATACGGCATCGCCGAAGCGTTCAACCGGGATGACGCGTTAGGATCAAGAAGGCTGAAAGTTCTCTGATCGCCGCCAAATGCGGGCGGCATAAGATTGTTGGGCCCTGCGGATGGCATCGAAGACGGTCTTATGGTAGGGGAGGCCGCTACTGTAGGGAGGCCGCCTGGCGGCATCGGCATCGGCATCGGCATCCCCTGCTGGGGTGGTGGACCTTGTCCACCTTGCATGTGAATCATTTGCTGCATCCATTGCATCTGCATCTGCATCATACTAGACATTTGCTGAGAAAGTTGTATCTGAGCTTGCTCCGTGGCAGTAACTTGCTGGGGGGCAGACACATTGGGTGGGTTCAGACTCATCATGGTATAAGGCCTCGGAATACCATTAGGATGGGTTGTGACCGAAGGCATCGCAGCATTGAAGTCATGCATAGCCTGGGTGTTTGGGCTTCTTCGCCTCATCGCCCTCGCCCGCTCTTCGGTGGCAATCACGCCGATTAAGCCTCCGGGAGGCAATCCAGGCGGGGGACCAGCGGGAGCTGGAGGTCCTCCGTAAACGGAACCAGCGCCTCCTCCGAAGGCCAGGGACTCTCGATTAGACGAATTCACCAAGCCCGCTCCATAGTAGGGGTCTCGGGGTAAGTTCCGAGCGAAGACAGGCAGGCTACTGCGATTGCCGGAATCGTTCTCCGCGACCGATCCGGGAGACGATATGTAGGGCTGGTGGAACGACGCCCGTAGATTTGGGATCGAGCTCGACATTGCAAGGCGACTGGGCGGGCGGTTCCTATTTGGAAACCCATGCGCGGCTAGGATTCCCAAGGGAACCTCCTCGTCCTCGTCGCCTTCGCTACTCTTCCCGCTTCCTGACCTGTTCCCCTGGGTGAAGGGCGCGGTAAGATTTGGTGCACTATTGCTTGCCCGGTCCATTTCCGGCCGCAGAGACGGCGCCGGAGATTGCTGGCCCGTCACCTTCATCATCTGCTGCCGATAGACGGAAAGATGAGCTTCTTGCTTTCGCCGTTGCTTCTCTGCTTCCCGATTCTTCTCGTTCTCGTCCTCTTCGTCAAAATCACTTTCTTCGGAGTCCTCGCTCTTCGAAGCGTCGCTCTTCGACCGTCGGAGCTCCTGCTGCTGTCGGTAATGCTCAAATTGGGAGGGGGTCATGACTTTGTTGGTGGATGGCATCGGCGGTGGCTGAGTATTCTCGTATTGCACAGCCAACCGTGCATGGGCCGCAATAGAAGAGTCGAGGTGATCGTCGTTCAGGCCCGGAGACTTGTGCGCTGGAGGTTGCAGAGGCGGAGGTGTGAGCCGGTCCGGCTGGCTCGTCTTGTTGGTGAACAGCGGAGTCTCGTTCTCTGCATCCGAGTCCTCATGGTCAGATGCGAAAGGCAATTGGGAGCTTCGCCTGCTTGTGTAAAGAGATGACATGATTAATTTGGCATCTTCGTCCTCAACGGGCGTTGAATCCCTCTTGCTAGGGTACAAGACACTCCTTCGTAGGCCTTTCTCTGCTGCACCTTCCGGCTTTTCAAGGGAACGATGAGTCGTCGTGGTGATGGGCGCTGCGTTGGAGAGAGGTAGGGATTTCCGTCGCCCGTCCCGGTATGGGATAAACCCCGAATAGGTTGCCGGAGGTTCTTCGTGCGGCGAATCAACCGCGGCCAAAAGGCCCTCCTCCGAGTGTCGGCTACCCCATGAGTACGGCGAGGGTTCGACTTCTTTCGACCGATCCGTGTTTATAGGGGCGGGGCGCTGCACCTTTTCGTCCTTGCGGAACCCTGTTTCAGGGGGAGTAGAGGAGTACTGGTAACGAGCATCGTTAGTTGACCCTAGAAGCGTGCGGCGGTTTGTGTCGAGGTGTCCTACCGTATCCACTGAGCCGTTCCGTGACGATTCCTGGGCAACGTTTCCTCGTTTCCCCATATCGTCAAACATATTGTGAAACTCGTCCCCAATATGACCAATCTGCAGTTCCGTGTCCGGGAGTTTTGGTGGGGTTGCGGTGCTGCTCGTGCTGTTGGTCATTGCCCTGTTCCGCGAAGGACCAGGAGTAGACTGTTGCGGGGGAGGTGCCGATGACTTTGAAAATCTCCCACCAAAAGAAAAGGTCCGGCCGGCTGCCCGCAACGCACCGGAAATGGGAGGTATCGGTATATCGTAGAGGTTTCGTGAATGTGGCGATGAGTTGTCCGATTGAAGCGGTCCGTCCGTTGAGCGACGTTTCGGCGACGAATGGTCGTAGACGCCCCTATTACCACCACTAGGATTAGTTGATCTGGTCTAATAAGACATACCAATAGAAGAAGGGGACGGGGGAGGGCCGTACAATTGTCTTTGCGGATGATTCAGGGGTGTGGCAAAGATGTTGTTGTCCTGCTCTTCCGTAGGTGAATCTAGAGGTTGTCCCGAGCTCAGTCTTTTCGACAAAAGATTGCCATCGCTCATAGATTTCTTATCGACGGAAGGACGTTCGAAGACTCGAAAGGACGACTGAGGAGGTGTTTCTACCTCTTCTAGGGCATTACCAGACGATTTCCGTCGGGTAAAGCCTTTGGGGAGTTTGATTGGCATCGGTGCTAGTGAACCCGGAACCACTTTCAAAGAAGGAAATTAGTGAGCTATACCAGCTCCTCAATCTCCGTGTAGCTTCAAAAAAAAAAAAAATAGAAAAAAAAAAGCGGGCAAAAAAAATAAAAAAAGAACCAGGGCCCCCTTTCCGAAGTAGGTGCGTTTTTCGTTTGAGTCGTCGCCCATAAACACAAGGCCACGGGTGGAGGAGGGGTGTGTATGGGTTGGGCTAGTGGTTCTGGGCCAGCGTTCCGAAACCACTCGAATCTCAGGAGTCGGGTGGGGCCTTGATCAATAGGATGCCCAGAATGAAGCGAGTGTCACGGGCGGGCAGAGACAGAGACAGCTGAGAGTCAAAGAGGCGTTCGGTGGTGGGTTTCTCGGCTTCATTAAGGGGCGGCTGAGGAGAATGAGAGGTGACTGGGGTGGGAATGAGCGAGGTGGCCAGAAGCTTCTGCTCACGGGCGCTCCGTAATGGGAGATATGCGCGTAGTATGTATAGTGGTAATAGTAGTATAAGATAAATCCGATCGATCAAATCCGTCACGGCCGGTCAAATTCTCACCTTACAGGCGGTGGGGCTGGGGAGAGACAAAATGATTATTCTTAGACTCTTGGAGTCGTTAAGTGTGGGAAAATGTAAACAGAACCGGAGATAGGGGGACAGGTGAAAGGAATGAGAGGAAGAGAGCGAGAAGGATAAAACGATAATAATAGTTGGGGGAAAAAGGAAAGGGAAGGAATAATTATCAACATTAAAAATAACAATGAAAGGCGAAGGGGGAAAAACCAAAAGTCCAAAAACAAATAATTAAAAAAAATTGGAGGGCCGACTAGTTGACTGTTGACCCAACTTAGTTCTCCGTATGACTACTATGACTACTACTCCTCTGGCTATGAATCTTCCGTATATCAGATGGCCCGAGAGAGAACGAACCAACCCTTCCCAAAGAAAATTGGAACCAAAAATTTTCCAAATTCAATTCAATCCATCCATCCATAAAAAGATTAGAAGGGAAAAAAGTCTCGGACGGCCTTGCACTGTGCAGGGTGGAGCAGTCCAAATATAGTACCTCCTCAGGTAGCCGTACGGGCGGACCGTGAAGGACTCTAGGTACTCAGTACGGAGTATGGTATGTCCAGAATTCCAGATGAAGCGAGAATCGTCTAGGGAGAAGGGAGAAAGGGGCTACTATTATTAATTTATTATTCTGATGATGATGGTGGTGATTATTATTATTGTACGAGTACGGCGTGTCTAGGAGGAGGTACGTGGTTACTATGTATATTATTTATTACCTGTCAAACCCAGAGTGTCTTGGGTAAATCAAGCAGAAGCAGACCGATAAATGATCAGTCCCCTTCGCGCCACCCATCAGGGGCAAAAAAACTCAAATGGACCGACGAGTGGCCACCTTTTCTTTCTTTCACTCTTCTCTTTCTCTTTTTTTCTCCCTCACTTTCTTTTCCCTTCCTTTCCTCCCCTCCCCTTCTTCCTTTCTCCCTCTCTCTCTTTCTTCCTTTCTCCCTCTCTCTCTTTCTTCCTTTTGTACTCCGCAGTTTTAATGGCAATCTCCCTTTGAGTCTTTTGAAATGGTTGGACCAAGAAAGAATCTTACGATTGTCCGACCGAATAAGTGGAGCCGGAAGCTGCTGATCGCTCCGGCTGTCCTCCAGTCTCCGTTCAGCACTCCCGAGGTCCCTGGGGCACAAACTTCGATCATTATACAATCGTCAATCACAATGACGACCGTAGGCTCCGTAGCCCGTAGATCGCTTCCCTCTCCCCCTCTCTCCTTCCCTACAGAGTATGTACTGAGTACATTATTCGTGTACTCCGTATAGTGTAGGTACTCCCCTCCCCGGAGTACTCCATACAAGGCAAGTGTCCTCCCGGTGGATCGGACGCCCGCCTCCTTGCTCCATGCTCGATCTGAATGCACCCAACGACCGCCTCCTTTCGGACAACATTATGACACCGCAGATCTCCTCTCCCTTTGTTCCTGCTCGGACGTCTGCAATTGGTCACGCCTGTCTCTCGTGGTGGTCGAGTCCCTCCTATACTATTCACCGTATGTACGGTGTACTCCGTCCATACTCCGTAGGTACCTCTTATATGCATGCTATGTGTACTCGGTATATATCGTGGAAATCCGCTCCAGCCGCACGCCGTGAACTAAGGTGGCTCTGCACTCGAGACCCGGTTGCCTTCTAGCTTCAAAACGGGGACAAATCAGATAGTGAGCAGAACGCACATGTCTGCCAGAGAAACTACTGGCGCGGCTAAAAGGAACATTCACGGTTACGTAGCTGAATACTACAGTGTACGGAGTAGAGTCGGGGGACATCAATTAACATATTAACGTATATTAAGTTTCTCTTGTTCTGCCTGCGGCCAAGATCGGAAAGATGGCAGTAGCGCACAATAATAGCTTTCCTCCCCTCCTGTTTTTCTTGTCCGTTTTTCCTTTTCCTGATCGTGTTGATTTCCTTGTCGGTGACCCGGTTTCTCACCAGCTGCATGAACTTGCTCGAACACCGTCCCGTATCCGAATTGCCCTACAACCCGCCTTCGACAAGGATCGAGTCCTGTGCCTTCAATCCACCGATCAACGCGACGCCAACAGGGACTTGCACGTCTCGGATGTTAAAGCAAGCAAACGCCACCAGTTTTCGGATGGCCGGACAGCATCGGAAAAGCCGACCGACGAGGTAATCATCGAGAGTGGTGTGGAACGAGACGTCGAGTTCCCTCAAATTGAGGTATTTTTTCTCTTCCGAGAAAACCTCCTCGAAGGCGGCGCGAGACACATGGCGACAGGATGCGATGTTCAACTTTTGAATGGTGGCGCCCGAATGATTCATCAGGGCGACGAATCCCCCAGAGGCAAGGCCAGTTGCGTCTTCGGGGCCGTCGGGGTTGTTATTATCCACGTCTCGCGTCGAGGAAAGATCCACGATTTGCAATGGAGGGTTTGACCAGTCGCTAAACAGCTTGACAAAGCCCTGGTCGGTGCACACCGAGTTGTCCGAAAACCGGAGCTTGGTAAGCGATCTGCAATGATCGTGAATAGCTTCGAGAACTCGATCGTCCGCATTGGTAAACCCCTCCAGGGAGAGCGTTCGCAGACCCGAACCAGTCCTGGACACGGTCTCGAGAAGGTTTTCGAGCCTGATCTCCTTAACAAAACCCAGGGACAAGCTTTCGAGTAAAGGAAGGGTCGATATGGCTTGGAGAGAACCATCGCCCATCTTCCAGCAGTGCTTCAATTTTAGATGGCGAAGTGATTGACAATTTTCACACATCAAGGCCACGCTCTCATCATCCAGAGCAAAGTCGAGGTTGGACAACTTGAGGCTTTCTAGTTGCGGCCCAAATCGCTGGAATACTCGCTGCCAGTATGCGTCTGACACGAGGTTGGCAGCGTCCAACTGCAAAGACTTGATCTGGAGGTTCCGATCAAGCATGTATTCGAAAACTCGGTCCTTCAACTGGCCAGCAAAGCGGAGGTTGATATGGGCCAGAGAAGGCATAAATGTCAAAATTTTCTGGAAGTCGTCGGTTTCAAGCTTCGCAGAATCGTAGATATCAATAGAGTCCATGTCCGGACGGAGAAATAGATTTAGAGTCCTCGGCGTCATCGCCCTCCTTTTAGACAGAATCTGGCTTAGACGGTGTAGCAGCGGCGACGGCAAATCTCCAAACTCGTTAATATTATTGATATTATCGGCAACTTTCTAAGGAGGAGGAGAAAGTCAGCGGCGCACAGCCATGTAGTCAAGAATTTGGGGGATGATGCTCACTTTGGTACACATTTCAACCAGGCTCAAAGCTCCGTGCTGAGCAATCCCATCAAGCAAGTTGCTCTGGTTTTGACGACGACCGGTCCTCGCGGCACGCTTTTTGGCCTTTGACTTCTTTTCATCGTCGGCCACTTCTTTGGAGCACTTTGCGCAGAGAAGACCTCCATTGGGCCCAGTCTTGCTGTATGGGGTGACCGTGAACCGCTTGCTACAGATTTCGCAATTCTCTAGCTGGCCTGGCATCGGGCGAGACTTCTCCTGCAGCATCTCCCTTGCAATGAAGTCATCGTCCCCATCAGGCTCGCCAGTGCGCCGACTTTTGCGACGAGCAAATTCCTTACTTTGTTTGATCTTGGCCAGGGTAGCCGACTCCTTTCGCTTGCGCTTCTTCTTCTGCTCAGGCGACTCGCCAGCGTTCTCATCTTCGGGAGGTTCCGCGACGTCTGGAGGGGTTTGCGCAGTGTCTTGGCGCTCGGCCTCTCTCAGGCGTCTTTGATGGTCATCGTGAATTTGGGCAGCCGATATGTTATTGGACTGGAGAAGGGTCGGTCAGCGACGGAGAACGTGATTACAACGGCGAAATTGCGCATGGGGATCGTTTCATACCGCAAGGAAATCGGTAAGCGCAGAGTGACTGCAGGGGTGGTTAGTTTGTTGATCTGCGAGCCGGTCGGAGGAGGACTTACGGGCCTCGAACGTTGTTGTTCCTGGTGCGCCGTCGGTCCGCCCTGAAGAAAACCGCTGTTAGCAATTAATTTAGACGCGGGGGGATAGTAGGACAATCATCACACATACATTTTGTTTGGGTGGAGGATGAGGTGAGAATACAGTAAAGAGAGTCAAGTACAGAGAGCGGGATGGGTGATGTCAGGCCCAATGAGGTCACAAGATCCGGAGCGAATTCGCGTTCCACTTAACGCGAGCCTCGACCTGGTCGCGAGATGTTTGGAATTTGTACTTGGGAAGAACAGGTTTGAAATCATCGGCCAGTTGTGAGGCAGTGGCCAATTACGTAGCTGTTCCTTGGGTCCGGGCCCTGAAAAGCCTTTCTCTGATTTCCTCCGGTTGCCTGACAGGCAGAGACGGGGCAGAAGGCAAAGTAAGGAACCAACCCTCGCCACCTGCAGGTCCTTGTCTGTCACCCCTGCCAATCACCAACTTGGGCTTTCTTGATTTCTTCATCTCTCTTTACTTCTTCCTGTCTTGTCGGTTCGGTGCCTGCATCTCCCCCGTTCATTCTTTTCTCCCCCTTAGCACCATGGCAAGAAGGTCATCCGCAGCGAGGCCTGGACCCTCCTCCGCGGCCGGTAAGCTTTTAGTTCCGCTGGCTTCTAGTTATCGACCATACACTTCTGGTAATCTGGCTAACCAACTCAAATCCCTCACCTCGCTAGATTCTTCGTCATTGCCCCGACGCACCTCGTTGAGACTGGCCCAGTCGTCGTCCGCCCCCGCCAATGCAAGCCAATCTGATCACCACTCCACACGTGAAGACGTGGCTGCGCCTATTGGCGCTGTCGGACCCCGTCAAGATGAGAAACCTGTGGTCCTTGAAGTTGCCATTCCCTTGAAGAAGCCCTCGTCTTCCTGCTCATCTTCCACGTCTAATCGCGAGGGCGATTCGTCTGGAGATGGGACCTACGATTACACTACTCCAGCGACCAGCGTTGCCATGACTCCTGCAGAATCAGACATTTCACGCCCGAAGACAAGGGTCAGCGCGTCTGCTCGGACCCGGGAATTACGATCAAGCACCATGTCGCTCAACCCGCGCAGGGGGCACAAGAGAACCACCTCGGCCATCGCCACCGAGGATACTACTCCCGAGGCCTCGGACGTGGCTCTAGCCCGTGCCCTTCAACTTGAAGAATATCAGGCACCACTCCCGAAACGACGAAGAGTGGGGAAATCCAAATTGGAGATTCAAGATTCCGACGACAGCGCCTTAACGGAGCTCGATGACTTCGACGGTATGGATGAGGACGAGTCAGAGCAGTGGCAGCCGCCGCGCAATTCTCGGAGCTCCCTCCGATCGGCAAAGAAAGCGCCTGTTCCAGACAGCGAAGATAGCAATTTCGATACGGAAGATATGTCCGAAGAGGAGGCCGATGAAAGTCACCAAAGTGATTCCGGGCCAATCGCCCAAATGCCGTCTAACGAGAGTAGGCCTACATACTCGCAGAGAGGATCTAGAAATCGGGGCACGGCAAATACCAGGGGTCGTGGACGAAATCGAAGACAGGTACAAACACAAGCTGCAGGTCCATCTGAAGCCCCAACTGCGTCACAGACGTGGATGAGCTACCGTGTAAGTTCAGTTTGCTTTTCTAGCCAATGTGCCGGCTCACTGACGAAATAAATAGGCATTTAAAGAGCGGAAGAAGCTTGAAAAACAGCATCCCTTGATTATACAGATGTGGGAAGATTTAAGAAATGCGCCCCCAATAACACCGGTGCCCGCAGAACAACCTTCAAGCATATCGCGAACCCTGAAGCCCTTCCAACTCGAAGGTTTGAATTGGATGATGCAACAGGAAAAGTCAGAGTACAGAGGTGGTCTCTTGGGTGACGAGATGGGTATGGGCAAGACCATCCAGGCGGTTTCCCTCCTCATGTCAGATTACCCGATCGGCAAACCGTCTCTTGTTGTAGTCCCTCCGGTTGCTCTAATGCAATGGCAATCCGAGATCAAGGTAAGTTGCAACGGTGAAATTGATGGTGTCAATCTGACTTGCCCTTCAGGAATACACGAATGGCCAACTGAATGTTCTGGTTTATCACAATTCTAATACTAAGGTCAAACATCTTAGAAAGAAAGATCTACAGGCCTATGATGTTATCATGATATCTTGTAGGAATATATATCCCTAACGAGCTGGATAAAGGGCAAAGGAACATACCTGACATTTTATTGCTTTCATTTAGATTCTGGTCTGGAGTCAATCCATCGAAAGGAATGGAAAGGGTGGAACCGCGATGATGGAATTGTCAAGGAGGATAGTAAGTCGCCCGGCGTGCGCCTTTGGCGTCCGGATATTTACATGCGACAGGTGTGGTCCATTCCATCGATTACCATCGACTCATTCTCGATGAAGCACACAGCATCAAGGTAAGCTAAAGCTCTTTTCGTGGCCGGGCTTCTTGTTGCTAATGCACCCAGCAACGCACCACGAGTGTTGCCCGCGCATGTTTTGCGCTGAAAGCCACCTACAAATGGTGTCTGTCCGGCACTCCCGTGCAAAATCGAATTGGCGAGTTCTTCTCTCTCTTGCGATTTCTGGAAGTTCGCCCATTCGCCTGTTATTTCTGTAAACAGTGCAAATGCCAGCAACTTCATTGGTCCCAAGACGCCGAGAAACGATGCACCGAATGTCGACACAGGTACCGTATCCTAGAACATCCTAGATCTGCTCGCGTCTTCTCATACTGACAATCTCTGCAGCGGATTTAGTCATGTCTCAGTCTTCAACCAGGAGATCTTGAATCCAAGTGAGGACCTGCACATCAACTTGTTGTTCGCATTCTAATACAGGCCAGTCACGGAAAGGGATAATGCAGAAGCCCGCAAAGAGGCATTGGGGAAGCTGCGCCTTCTCACCGATAGAATTATGCTCAGGCGTGTCAAGCGTGACCACACAGCTTCCATGGAACTGCCACCCAAACGGTCGGTGTTGCTTTGTTCCCCTAATCCGATTGTCATTGACGAATAACAGGGTCATTCTACACAACGAGTTCTTCGGCGAGATCGAACGTGATTTCTCCCGAAGTATCATGACTAACTCCACCAGGCAGTTCGACACGTACGTGAGCCGTGGAGGTACGTTATCAGGGTTCTTGTGGTATTGACATTTGTGATGCTGATGCTTACTCACTTACGCGAACTACAGTGATGTTGAACAACTATGCCAATATCTTCGGTTTGATCATGCGAATGCGACAGGTTGCAAACCACCCCGATTTGATCTTGAAGAAACATGCCGCCAGTGGGCAAAATGTACTGGTTTGCAGCATCTGCGACGAATCGGCGGAGGAAGCCATTCGGTCGCGTTGCCATCACGAGTTCTGCCGCCGATGTGCCAAGGACTACATGCGGTCGTTTGATGCCGACACGGTTGTCGATTGTCCGCGGTGTCATATTCCTCTGTCCATCGACTTTGAGCAGCCGGACATTGAGCAAGAAGAGGAGTTCATCAAGAAAAATTCGATCATCAACCGGATCCGCATGGAGGACTGGACCTCGTCGACAAAGATCGAGATGCTTGTCTACGACCTTTACAAGCTGAGGAGCAAAAAGCAGACGCACAAATCGATCGTCTTCTCGCAGTTTACCTCGATGCTCCAACTCGTGGAGTGGCGCCTGCGCCGAGCCGGGTTCAACACCGTCATGCTCGACGGCTCGATGACGCCGGCTCAGCGACAGAAATCCATCGATTACTTTATGAACAATGTGGACGTTGAAGTGTTTCTCGTCTCCCTCAAGGCAGGCGGTGTCGCCCTAAATTTGGTCGAGGCGTCACGGGTGTTTATCGTTGATCCGTATGTGATCCCCCACTTCTCTCTGGTGGGCCAATGCTGACATAACCCGGTAGATGGTGGAACCCGGCAGCTGAATGGCAGAGCGCGGACCGGTGCCATCGTATTGGTCAACGTCGACCCTGCGTTATCACCCGACTATGCATCGAGGACTCGGTCGAATCCCGAATCGTTCTTCTGCAGGAGAAGAAGGCAAACCTCATCAACGGCACGATCAACAAGGACCAGGGAGAGGCGCTGGAAAAGCTCACTCCCCAGGATATGCAGTTTTTGTTCCGGGGATCCTGAGCGGGGGAGGTAGGAAGGAGACGAAAGACTAGGCAGTACGCCGCACCTGGAGCAGAACGGAGGAGCAGAGGTAATGTGCATTAGAAGGCCAGATAGAAGAAACTATCCTTGAGCGCGAAGATCGACCGGCGATTCTCTCGTTGAATCCACCGGGCATGAACGACGCGAGGACGTACTCCGGAGTAGAGGGGTGTTTGATAGCTACACACCGTAGGCAGTTGACGACCTGACGTAGACGAAGGACTCCGTAGGGTGTAGCAGTCCAAGTCGGACCGGCGAAGGGATGTTTAATTTCCGATGGGTTTGATGGAGATAACCACTCCGTAAGTCCTCCAAGTACCTTACACCGTACAGGCGATGAAACACCCGACGGTGGTGCACCTCAGGCGACGAGGCGACAAGGCGACGGGGAACAACCTCGGTAAGGTACGGTAAGATAAACCGAATGGCGCTAGGCCACACTGGGCGTTACCCGACGGGCGGGACCCACTGTGTGATTGGCGGACGGGCGATGATTGGCCGGGGGGGGCTTGCAGAGTTGCGGAGTTTTCAGGATCGTTTATTTACCTTCGCCTTAAGACATCCATGGCCTGTTGGGTTCCCAAGTATGAGACTCCCATAGTCCCATTAGGTCCTTAGGCTTAGTCCGTTCGGTGCGACCTGCGTCTCTTGACCTGAACATCCCATTCTGAGCACCTTCGGGGTTCCACTTCACTTCCCTCCGTCCACTTTCCACCTTCTTCCGTGGAACACCAGTTATGCCAATTCCGGGCATGCATGCTGGGCGCTGGTATGGAAAAAAAAATATGCAAAATTAAAATAATCTCCCTTAGCACAGGCTGCCCTGCCCGCATGCAGCCGATCATCATTATTTCTCCCTCGCTCGCTCGCTCTCCCCTCCCTCCCTAGCAGTAGCTGGTACCTGCTAATCGGTCTAGCTCGTTCCTGCTCCATGAAATGAATGCGGTAGTCCCCGACTTAAAAAGACTAGTTCTTGCCTCCAGCACTTTCAAGGGAAAACTGAATAGCTCTCAAGGACCGGAAACTTCGAGTAATAAATAAATAATAATAAATAAATAATTCCCCGACATTCCTTGTTTTGGTTCTGCTCTATTTTTTTCGCGCTTTCCCTTTTTTTCTCCCCTTCCCCTCTTCTTCTTCTTCCCTCCCCTGCCTCCTCCTCCTCCTTCTTCTTTAACTAATTCTCGTCACCTTCTCCTCCTGCTCCGTTTGTTTCCCTTCCATCTTCCTCCGTCCACCTTGTTGTGCATCTTTTTTAAGCAACAGTAGCTTTTTGCCTCCCTCATCTCTTCCCTTCAATCCCGTCCTCTATCACCATGTTGCCCATTCTTCTCCTCTCTACCCTGGTGGCCTCGGCAACGGCCGCCAGCAACTTCACTTTCCCCGAGGGATTTGACTTGAACAAGGTTGACTCGTCGGAACGAGGTAGGTCGTGCCAGTCTTCGTGCGCGTTCAATGGTTCGGCAATGAAACTAAGACGTTGAATCAGCTTCCTGGTGTGTTGCGGAGCGGAACGCCTGCCCTAAGATCTGCGGCGGAGTCTCCAACGCCAACTCTTGTGATCCTGTAGGTCGATCTTAACAACGCCACTTTCTCTCTTCTTCCTGTTCCTACCGACTGACTCGTCAAACCTAGTCCAATCTGGATTTCACCTGTACTTGCGGCAATGGCTCTGCCGCCAACGTTGCGCTCTACCAGCAGACCGTGCCTTACTTCGTTTGCCAGGCGAACTTCGCGCAGTGCATCGAGCGCTCCCCGAGTCTGGACGACCAAGAGAAGTGTAAGGACGCTCGCAGCCAGTGCGGCTCGCTGAATGCCTCCGAGTCGTCGTCCTCGTCCTCGAAGACGACCTCTGCTACCTCCTTGCCCACCTCGACCGGTTCATCCGACAGCTCCGACGATGACGATGAGTCCAGCACCGCGACTGCCACCAGCTCCAGCACTGCAAGCAGCGCTTCGGCCACCAATGCCGCCGTGCGCATGGCCCAGGACCATGCGACGGGCGTGCTGGCGACGGTCTTCTTCCTGGCGCTTCGCATCGCACTGTGAATGAACCCCTCCAACGCCGCGAATAACGCGAAGGGATGGGAAACTGTTAATCATATGATGGAGCACGGAGATTCTTCTATTAATCGCTGGGTCTTGGTTGTTTTTATTTCTCCCCCCCTTTTTTTTTCTTTTAGTCATCCCCCTTTTAGCTCGGTGACTTTGTTTCTTTTAATTCCTATTTTATGACGGGATCCGAACACCATGGGTAACTTGGCTTGCTGCTATTTGCGATTGTCGTCTGCGTTACCATGCATCGCACTATTCCCCTTGATCTCGCGCCACGGGTTAATGAATTGCATCCAATTATGTATTTTAATGTGTCACTCCTTGAGAAATGAGCAGTTTGAATTTCAATCGAAAAAGATACCTGAATGCATAGTACCTATGTACTTCGTAGTTCGTATAGACAGTTGAAAGAAATGCGGGCCAGGCAGGGCGGCGCCAAGACTTTTTCCCACAACTGAAATTTCTCCACCGCCAACCAAATCCAAACCAACTCGATTCGTCTCAAACTCGCTTCTTTCCTCTTCTCTTCTCTTTCCCTCCTCTTCCTTTCCCTTTACCTTTCCTTACCTACCTTGATTTCCCGTCCTTCTCTTTCCGCCTCTCCTCCCTCCCTCCACCGTCTCATCCATCATGCCCGCCCCCACCACTACCCTCCTCATCGAGGGTTCCTTCAGCGAACTCGCCGACGAGTTTGCCCAGTACATCGATGCTCTGCGCAAGACCGAGGAGGGCACCACTCTCCAGGCCGAAATCTCCCCGCTCTTAGAGCCCCTCCGCCAGCAGGAGCAGTCCGACGCTCAGCCCAATACCAAACAGCGCGATGAGGTTCTCAAGAAACTGGTTTCCGCCGCCGCCGTCTTGAACACGGCCCCCGAAAAGGGTGAGTGGGGTTTCTGCTGTCTTTCTTGAATCCCGATACTTCTCTCTCTCTCTCTCTCTCTGTCACCCTCTGTTCCTCTGCAGCATGCAAGAAAAGTATGACGGACTCCTCTAACCCACCATGAAACAGAGATCACTCCCTCTTACAACCTCCTCATCCACCTCGTCCACCAGGCGTCTGACCCGGACATGTTCCTCTCGCGCATCTGCACCTACCTCGCCAAACCCATTACTTCTTCCGCCCAGTTCGGCCCGTCGTTGTCCATCTCGATCCTCTCCACTATCTTCAACACGCTCGGCGCCAAAGACTCGAGCCGTTTCCACGTTCTGCTGGCTATCGTTGCCGTGATTCGCCAGTCCGCCTCCGCCGTTGCCTTCGAAGCTTTGAAGCCTCAATTGACCGCCCAGCTGCCCACGTGGTTGTCCGCCTGGGAACTGGACGAGGATGAGGCCCAGCGCCTGCATCTTGCCGTGGCGGATGCGGCCCAGGCTGCTGGAGACTCAGAACTGGTCCAGAGACACATTGTGCAGGCGCTTCAGACCATCCCGGCTGCCAAGGCATCGTCGAAGGAATCCCGCGAACTGGCCGTTCGCGCCCTCACCTCTGCCCTCGCTCACCCCACCGTGTTCGATTTCACTCCCTTGACGGCCTCCGATGCAGTCCAAGGCCTTCGATCCAGCGATAGCACCTTGTTCGAGCTGCTGGAGATCTTCACCGCTGATACTCTCGATGCCTATGAGGCCTTCGTCTCCGCCACGCCTTTGTCCACCATCTCGGGCGGCGCGCTCGCCGAATCCAGCGAGGCCCTGCAGACCAAGATGCGCCTCCTGACTCTGGCCTCGCTGGCCGCTTCCACCCCCTCTCGTTCGCTGCCCTACTCGACCATCACCACCTCTCTGCGGGTTCCCGCCGAGGATGTCGAGAAGTGGGTCATTGACACCATCCGTGCCGGCCTGGTCGAAGGAAAGCTGTCCCAGATGCGGTCTGAGTTCTTGGTGCACCGCGCCACCTACCGCGTCTTCGGTGAGAAGCAGTGGGCCGAGGTGCAGGGCCGTCTGATGGTCTGGCGCCGCAGCCTGGAGAACGTGCTGAGCACGGTGCGCAGCGAGCGCGAGCGATTTGTCCGGGAGGGACTGCAAGCCCAGGCCGCGGCCGAGGAGGCCGCTCAGGGTAAGAGTGACAAGAGCAAGTCCGGCGATCGACGACAGCGCCACGGAAACAACCAACAGTCCCAGCAGCAACAGTCGTCGCAGTCACAGCCTCAGCCCCAGGCCGAGCCGGTCACTGTGGAGTAAATTGGATCATTTTCAAGGGTAGAAAGCAGAGGTTAATGAAATCCAAAAGAGTTAGACCGTAACACAAAAAGATGAAGCAAAAAAAAAAAAAAGTTTTTGTGTCATGGCTTTGGAAAACGGTGTTCTATTTCCCCCCATTTTTTGATTTTCTTTTTTCTTTGGTCTCCTTTTCTCTCTTCGTTCCATATCTTTCTCTTCTTTTGTCTCTTTTCTCTGGTACGCTTTTTTTTTTTTACTTTCTACGTTTTCATCTCCCTGTTCTTCTTTCTGTTGATCTTATTGTATCCCACGGGCGACGTCATTAATCGGTTCATGGTAGCTATTTGTTTTCTAGACAGGGTCTGTCCTGTGTGTCTGGCATGGTTGTCGGAATTGGACCCAACAATGGACACGAGTCATGTTATGTTGAAACGTTTGGACCCGAGCTTTAGATGCGAGGATAACGACGAAATGACGGCTGATCCGGAAGATATATCAACTATAAGATAGTAAAAAGTATGCATGTCTAGACGTGTATGTAAAATCACGATCGCTGCAGACACCAGTTCTTAGATACAAAGTCGCTAAGGAAGCGGGTGGATGCGAGGATGATCGGCATTCCATTCCCTCTCCCTTGCGCAGGTCAATCAATCAATCAATCGATTATTGAGGGTTAAGTCCCCGAGCCTGGAAACCCTCCTGGATGCGGGCATAGACGTCATCCACGGAGCCAGTAGCCGACACCGACACAACCTTGTTCTGATCCTCGAACGCCTTGACGACGGGCATACTCGTCTCGACGAACACGCGGAAGCGCTTCCGGATGGATTCCGCATTATCGTCATCACGACCGGAGGTCTCACCACGCTTCATCAATCGCGACTCCATGACCTCCTCAGGACAGTCCAGGAAGAGGGTCATCTCGGACGGACAGACGGTATCCTCGAAGAAGACAGCCTGGTCGAGTTTACGCGGGAAGCCATCGACCAGGAAGCGAGCCTTCTGACCCGCACCGCCGGTGGTACCGGCCGCCAATTCGGCCGCCATAGCGTTCGACAGCAGCGCCACGGTGATCTCCATCGGCACGATCTTGCCCTCCCGGATATACGACTTGATCAGGTCACCGTACTGGCTGCCCTCGCGGACCTGCTCGGCCCGCAACAGGTCACCAGCGGACAGGTGCACGAAGCCATAGTCGCGGACGAGATTCGAGGATTGCGTGCCCTTGCCGCTGCCGGGACCACCGAGCAGGAAGACCACGGTGACGTCGGAGGGGGAGAAGCGGGGTTTCGATTGTTCGGCCATTTTGAGTTCGTGCTATGTTTTGTAGAAAGGGTTCTTCGAGAAGGCGATGGCAGAAGGGGTAGTTGTAGGGAATTGGGTTTTTTTTTAGGATTGCTGGTTCGAGGGTTGAGGTTTGCGAGCACCGGTGCGGGATTTCACGAGCAAGATGTAAGAACCGGATCCGATACCAAAGATGGCGAGAAAAGGGAGGATTTTAAATTGCGAGCGGTTGTACTGAGAGGAAGTGTTGGGAGAGGAAGAGGAGGAAGAAGAAGAGGAATAGGGGCGGCGGTATGGAGCAAGAGGTGATTGTTGTTGTCGGAGATGGTGGGGTCGGGGTGATGATCGGGCGGGTTCACAGAGGGAAGAGATGGCTCGGGATCGGATCGGGAACGTTGACGGGCGGAGGACAGCACGCGAGAGAGACATGGAGGCCGAAGGAGAGGGGAATTGCAATTGAGCGTGACGACCGGTTTCGAGCAAAAAGGTAGGAAGAGAAGAGGAAAAGAAGAGAAGGAAAATGCGATTCTGGCGGACATCATGGGGATGCCAGGCGCCGCATCGGGCTTAGCGTTCCACCTGACTCTATGTATTATATATATTGACCCGACTTGTTTAACCAAGAGGTACATTGTTGTTTTATAGGGCCTATATACAAGTAGGAAGGTTCAAGGAGACCCGGACCTTCCTATTGTGCTAAATGTTCCTTGCCATAATAAAGTATTCATCTCTCTGGCCCCGCCATCCTCATAAATCATTTATTGCTCTTTATGTCCTCCATCGCCTTCATTCACTTCTTCTACTTCTGCACGCTCGTCAGGAAGAGGAGAGCTCTCTACGAAGCAAGTGAGTCACTTGGTAATAGTGGAAGAACTCGTACTGGGATAGTCAGGTTCCGTCTCTCGTATCTGCCAGAGCCTCATGGGGATGCTCGCTGAAGCAGTGGAATGTGAGGGCAAGATAAGAGAGAGTTGCAAAGGAAGAAGATGGAGTCTTAGGCCATTTACCAGAACAAGTTTCCGGCTGTCCAGAACTCTTACACTCGATGTCGTAATTTGACTACATCCTGCCCTATACTTTGCACATAGGTGGAAAGAGCATCTGGTGAGTTGCTAATTTCTTCTGTGGAAAAGACTCAGAGAGAGCTGGTAGTGAAATCCTGGCCTCTTCACTACCTGAATAGAGCTCCGTTACCTCCTAGTCTCAATACACATCAAGTCTGATTGTTTTGTGAATACTTTCCCCAAGTTCTCTTCTACTGAGTACCTACCTAACCAGGACCATCTGCTAGTCCTCCTCCATCACCACCTCGCAGGCTCTTTGACTCTCCTCCTCCTGCAACACATTCATCCATCACACAACAGCTCGCTCCTGGAAAGTTTACAATGGCGCGCAAACAGAAGCAAAAGAGAGGCCCGAAGGCTCAGAAAGCCGAAACCAAGAACAATAACAACCCTCAAAAAGTGAGCTTCCAGCCACACCCTCCTGCAAATGCAGGCAACAAATATGGACCGAAGGTAAGCTCAGTCTCCTTTCCTGACTACAATCGAGTCAATAACTGAAGGGTTGCTTTCAGGCCAACAGCCATGCTCGCGTACCTGCTGCCCCTAAAGCGAAAGACATCAAAAGTACGACCGTTCCACAATTCCTGAACTCCAAGAACAGCCAGACCCCGTCCTCTCCGGACGCCAACAGGAAACAGGAGACCGACATGCGCATAGAGCGTTCTTTGACTACCAACCATACTACGGGTGCAGCCCTTCAACAGCACAGTCCGACAGTGTTGACCCCCAAGACTGGTGCTTCTTGTTCTGCCCCGACCAAGAAAGCCTCATTCTTGCTTCTCCCACCAGAGATTCGTTGGCAGATTTACCAGGAGCTATTCCATACACATCGTGTCGAGATCGTCCGCCGCAGAGACAGAAAGAAAAAGGTCGAGCCCCGGAAACCTGCCCCCTACCGTCTCGGCTATCGTCAGTTGGCACCTCGTGCTGCACAATCTCAACTCATCAACAGAGAAATGAGACCCTATCCTCGTCCTCTATTCACTCCTCCATTCTTTCCTCCATTCTCTCCTCGTACGCCACTCCCTACGGCTCTTATCTTCACCTGCAGATTGACATACTGCGAGACAATCCGTCTTTTCTACTCCAACATGCAATTTGTCTTTAGGAGCATCAAAGCTGCTACTCGATTCATGAAGACAACGAGTAAAGACGCCCAGTCCGCCATCAAGCATGTGGAGCTCGTCCACAGCATGTACAACGAGCCACGGCTGACTGAATTCCGCGAGTACAAGTTCCGCAGCGACAAGGCCTGGTTTCTTGTCTGTGACGCGATGTCCCAGAGTTTCGAGGACCTGCGTGTTCTGCATGTCCACCTGGCGGTGCACGACTGGCCCATTGAGCTGGAAGTCGGAGAGAGCTGGTCCTTCCCCCTGTTGGTCTTTGGCGAACACAAACCTCTGCTGGACTTTGCTAAGATCAACTTGCAGATGCTCAGGTTTGACAAAAACAAACTGGACTTTGTTTCGCGCAGTATCGAAGAAAGACTTATGAAGCCGGAGGCTTTCCAGATCAGAGAAGACGCAAAACTGGCCAGGCAGCTGAGGGGCCCCCTCAAAGCGAGGAGGATCTTGAGAATCGGTTTTTAGGATGTCCACTGCTTTTTTCCTTTTTCTTTTTCCCTTTTTTCTTTTTTGCTCGGATTTGTCATTTATGGGGATTTCTATGCGCTGCTTTTGCATGGCCATTGAGCCCGGTTTCAACAGTTTGTACCTTTTTTCTATTTTCGTTTGGTTTGATCAGTTTTCCCGGAAAAGGGCGCGTGCATGCATCGGTGTTATGGGGTGTCACAAAAGTTTTGCTTATTATCTGGATAGTTAGTACACGCGCATTACAAAGTTCTTTTGAGGATTTCAATACATCGTGCTTTTATCGGATCTGTTTAATCCGTCCAGGTAACAATGGGATATAGTCAATATGTGCATGTGTTGCAAACTAAGAAACACGGTCGAGCGAAACCATAAAAAAAAAAAAAAAAAACCCCAGATATGCGGATGGACCTTCTTGGAAAGCAATGGCAACTGCGCGACGTAGGCGCCTCTCGGTGGATCTGTGGGGAGATTCATTTGCTCCCACCACCTAATTATGATATCCGCGGGGTCCAGTATTACTCCTCCATTTGTGGCCGTTCATCGGACGGCACCTCAAGGTATGCAGCCTGCGTACGTCGTCGTCGGAGACTCCAAACTACCGCTGCGACGACTCCTCCAACAGAGCATGCGACCAGGATGAGAATCAGCAAGCCTCCCACTGCGTGAACAAACTCGGAGGCTTGGAAGGCGGACTCGGCGGCCTTTTCGGCATCCATGGCCGCTTGAGCGGCTGCTTCTTCGGCTTTTTCTTTTTGTGCCTCTTCTTCCTCCTTCTGCTCCTGCTCCTTTTGCTCCGTCTCTGCTTGCTCCGCGGATGCTTGCTCCATCTCTGCCTCTTCCGCTGCGCTTGGAGCTGCAGGGTCGGCAGGCGTTGGGTCTTCATCGCCCTGGAAACCAGCCAGATGCCAATTCGCTGGGGTGGTGGTGCGGTGGAGGAACGATGTACCGAGGACGTTGCCGTCGCGGTCAAGGGCGTCGGCGGAGAGCCAGTCAAAGTATCCGTCCGCTATATACATAGTCTCGAAGTCGTACTTCGTGGTGTTGCCGACCAGCTCGGGGGAGCCATCTTGGCTGGCCCGGGCGTAGAAATTCCAGGAGGCCACATCCGTGGCACCATTCCAACTCACGTGGATGATGGTCGTGAGGTCTGATTCTTCCGTGCCGTACACGGACGCCACGAGGTCCGGGGGTTGGCTGGGCCGGCCGGTGAAGGGGTACTTGTAGGATCGATAGGTTGAGAAGCGGCCCGATGCGAAGGTCGACTGCATCAGGACCTTTCCGTCCGGGGAATGCTCGCTTTGGAATCCCTGCTCACTCCAACCAACAAAAACGTTGCCGTTGTCCAATTGCTGGACGCTGCCGCGCAACCGCGTGAGTCCGTTATCGGGCCGGTTGTATCTTCCAATCACACGCGCCGTCAACGGAGAGGCGGTGAAATCTAGTTGCACAAAGAGGGCGGCGGAGACGTCCTCTTCCTGCTCGAGCTCGTCCGAGGCATTGTTGAGGAACGAGATGGTCGTGTGCGTCGAGTTGGTTTCGACGAAGCGCGCGTGATGCTGCTTGGAAAACGTGAAGTCTTGGTCGAAATCCGAGTACTGTCCGCCAAGTCGCCACATAATGTGTCCGTCTTCTCCGGAGATCAGGTAGATCGTGTTGCAGAACCGAGCAGACAGGAGATAGTTCCCTGCAGGGCTTTTGTCGATGGAGTTCACGTGGATATGGTCCCATCCCGGCCGGTCTGAGGCTGGAGTATCCTCATGTACTTTAACCGACTCATGAATGGGGATGTGCCCGGTCGAAAGCCATTCGTTAAGTACCGCCCCCGTGGCCGTGTCCATTTCAACGAAGCCACCGGCGATCACCCAGCCATATTCCTCCGGTCGTCCAAGTTCCCCTAGGTTCATCCATTCACTTTTATATGCACAGGCCAAGGCTGTCTTTCCACCGTCGAGGATGTTGAAATCGTGCATGTTGAACGCGGACAGGTCGTTGGTTACCGGGACTGCTTTCTCGGGCTCATAATGCTGATCGAGCACGTAGCCAAGCCCTTTATCCTCAGCATCCTGGTATCCGTGCTGTAGAATGAATGACAGATGGGGCTGGTCATCGATGTTGGGCACGGCCTTGAAGTCGAAGACCCCGCGGTTTTCAAACATACATGATCCAGCCCAGACGAGAACCTAGTGATTGAGGGTTCGTAAGCATGTGCGAGCGACCTTTTTGGTATCTTGTACCAGCAAAGAATGAACGTACGCCATCCGCATCGTAGATATACGGGCCGACTTGACACGGCTTCCACTGCTGCGTGGGTGGCTCGGGATCAATCGTGCCGTACGGCGCAACGAACCAATAGCCCGGGCTTACAGCTTCACGATCATAGTAAGCGATGTTGAGCTTCAACGCTCGCACGTGCGGAAGCTAGGCTTTGTCAGTCACCAGCGAAATGGGAAACGGTGCTCTTCATACATACCGTAACAAAGCTCATCAAATCATCGTCTGGTTCTGCGACGACGTTGCGAAAAACAAACAAAAGCAGGAGGCAGAAGAACATCATTTTGGACGACCGGCCCGGGGGCAAAGATCTCCAAGGGGAATATAAAAGGGGAAAATGTTATAATAGAAAAATCACCAGTTGGCCAAGGACTGTGCAATACAAGAAATTAAGCTCGTAAAGACAACCATAGCCCGCTAAGTACTCGATTAGGGTAAAATTCCAATTATACCAGGAATAAATCTATCAAATTCATGAAGGACAAAACGAAATGATTGCAGCTACTGCGTATGAAATCTGGACGCCAAGAGTTGATCAGGCCAAACGATAAAAGAGAGATGAGGCCGAGGGGGAAGGAACCGGGAAGAAAAAGACAGCTAGAAGAAAGGACAACAAGAGGGAAAAGAAAGGAAGGAGGGAAAAGATCAATAAGACCAAGCTTTCAAGACTCTAACCATCTCCGGTTGACAATAGCCACTGACAACGTAAGTGCTGAGATGGAAGCTGACGATCACAAGAAGCGGACGGTCTTGGCAGCGTTTCGGACGGTGGAGCTTGCGGGCCCCGGGGAACTTCGTCAAGGCTGGCAACACGCTGATTGCTGAATGGCGACGATGCAGGAGTCATTGAAATTCGAGAATCGTGGACAAAGACCCATTCCATGGCCCCTGGTCGGTGAATTCGGCAATCGAATCTCCCCCAGGCCATGGCTGGCCTCGTCTTCTTTTGGGGCACGCCGGAACACGAAGTGAAAAACAGGCGAATGAATTACCTAAGCCACGCCAGGACATTCATATTTGTGGTTGACCGCGCCCTCCGTTTTGAGGCTTCGTTCATACTGAGTACCTCGTATATACTCCGTATGCTTTGGTGGATCTGGTTCGCAGCCCTGCCGGGCGGGAGAGGGGATGGCTGCCAAGGCACTTCAACTTCAAACCATTCGAAGTTTCAAGTCCCCCAGACCGGAAGAATTTTATCCATTAACGAGAATCGTTCCACAGTGACCCGCAAGTCCGCCCTGTCTTCGGGCCATGATTGATGGGATGGATATAGCCATCAGTTTCCCATGGTGCTTAATATCGTGTCGTTCGTTGAATACTCCGTTGTGCACACTTCACGGCGAGCGACGGCGTGAGCAGTTCCGTGGTGTTCTTTTTCAACATTGGCGGAAGGTCGCCTTGCATATGGCGAAGACCATGCATGGAGTTGCGTTTCGAGTCTCCTGTTGCACGGAGAAGTTGGAGAAGTATCGTTGATGCAGGGCTGAGTAGACAGGTATCAAATTTATCAATCACAGTCCAGGAGGCTCTTCGGCTAAAGAGTCGACATCGACATTCCAACGACTGAAGGCGTGATTCGCACGTGACGATGCTTGAGCAGCCTGAGGCAGTCCCCGACGTGCGGAAGTAATAATAAGTATAGCCTCATCCTCGAACCCCTCGTTGGCGCAACGCCTCCTTGCACATTAATTGGAGCATGGCATGACCGACGGTGGTTCTCCTCGGCTGCCTTACCCCCAACCCGGCGTTTCCTCCCAGCCACAAGCTCTGACCTGGCAGTGTCTCAAGTCACCATAGTCGCACTCACTGCCATGTGGTTGCAATGGACCGTGGACAGGCACGGTCAATGCGACGGGACCATCCATCGACGGTCAGGCCCGGACGGATGATTAGCTAATGGCCTGCAGCGAGGCTGATGCATGATTGCATCCCCAAAGAATCCCAGCAGCTGCGAGATGGCCCATCCCCAGCCTTTGCCGCATTCGGCAATTCTGAGAGGGTTCTAGAACCCATCGCGTGCCTACAGTACACCGTATAGACTATCGAACTACGCAGTCTCTAGTCTTTACGTTTAAGATTTGACAGGTCGCCTCCAAGACGCATCGTTAGCTCAGGCCGTTCCTTGGATTCCATCTCTCCGTATCTCCGGGCCCAACTTGGCAGGATACCGGGAGAATGTAGGAGTGGTTGGTGGCTAGAGGGGAAATAAACAAGGTCAAAAACAAAACCAAAATCCCAAGCACGAACAAAATAAACAGTTAAACACACCGAGGAGTGGAGCGGAGGGATATAATATTTCATTAATGCGAGTCAGGCCGACCGAGCAGCAAGACAGACGGGCGGGACACGACGGCGGGCGCCAGCTCAGTGTAACCGTCCCGGCCATTGTGATTAGATCGATTACCACCGTTGCACCCACCGAGTGTTACGTCCCACCTCACCCTGAGGTGATCGATTTCTTCCATCGCTGGTGCGCGAGGAATGGTTGCCACCGCCGGGAATCCGCCCCCTTCTGATCGCGGTCTGAGAGATTCGTCACCCGAATCATCAACCTCCCCGGATTACGGAGTCCAGCATGATAGACGCAGGCTGGGGTTGAAGGTTATCCCATCTCGGAGTCGTGGTATGTGTTCTCCGCCAGAGGTCCGTGACCGTATTTACAGTACCAGACGGGTTCTTGGGTTGGATGTAACTCTGAACACGCTAGCTCCTTGTGGTCTAGTGACTAGGTACATACCTAGTATCACCGCTTCCTCTCACGGAGTATACCTCTGAAGACTGGGAGTGAATTCTGATTGCTGGTGAATACTGTCCCTCTAGATCTATCTATTCACTGTTCACTATATCTGCCAGAGAGGCCAATTCACTTAATCACCAGTCCAAGTTGACCTGTTACACTTAGGGAGACTGTCGATAGGTTGTATCAGAGAAGTAGATGTTGACACTTCATCAATTAGTCTGACAGTTTATATCAGTAGATTTAACACAAGAGTGACCATGACCCTGGAGGGGATATCGCTATACACATGTGTATAAATATGTAATCCGTAGATATAGATATAGAAACAATCCATTGTTGGTGCAGGGAAACTGACAAGACCGGTACGGGGTAAGATGGCATACGTGACCTGATCTGACGCGCCAAGCCCAACCCAATCTACTCCGTTGCAACTTTTGTGAATGTCCCCCAAATATTCCATTCCATCTTCTCTCTTTTCCATTCTTTCCAATGTCCATCCCGTCCTCGGGCTTATTTGCTTGCTGCTGCCCCCTTCCATGAGACCCTTCCCTCCCACTTGTTCTTTCATTTTGGGAAGCAGTCGAGGAATGGACACGCGTTGACCCAGGCTGCCGACGTCAATGGTCCCGTCGCTCTCCGGTCACTACCTTACGCTACCGACTACTACTACACTACTACTCCTACACCCACCGACCGCTACCACTCTTACTCCGAGCCACTGCTACCACTGTTGTTACCTTACCCGACCTGCCTCTGCCTTTGCCTTGCCTGTCCTTTTTTTTATCTCCGCTGGTTACCTACATTCACCGATTGACGGAGCTGCTCCGTTGACCTCTCGACTACCACCATTCCTACCGGATCTGCCACCCTCAGGGGGTTCCGATTAAGGAATTAGTCGTGAATTTCAACTTACTTCAACCTCGCCATCTCGTTCCACCCAGATCCATTCACCCTGATCTTTTTTTGGCCTTGCCTGACTCTAGTGGGAAAACTAAACCTTTCGTCTATCAATCTGTTAGTTTGTCACCCTGTTTCTTGCGGTTTGGGTCCCACAATTCCTGACTCCATTTTTCTTTTCTTTTTCTTTTTTTGGGTTTCGCACGCTCTCTCTCCCTTCCCTCATTTGACTCTCCAAACTCCATCTCCACTGCAGGCTGAGCAAGGATTAGTGGTTTTTCTGCCGGTGCTACCTTAAGTCTCCTACATACTACCACGACTTGGCACCATCTCTTGCCATAGAGCCTTCGTTGCTCTCACCACCTTTCAATCCCTCCTTTTCCCTTCACCTGCATCTCTCCCCATACGTGTCGTGATCACTTTTTTGTCTCACTATCGATTTAGCCTAATCCTTTAACCCATGGTTCCTTTCTGCAGATGCCTATCCTCATGAGCTCATAGCGGTCTTGTTTTGATTCTTATATCTAAGCCCCGCTTGTCCCTTGTCGCAACTTCTTTCTTTCCCAACCTTGTGTCGTCTTCCTTCGGAGGTTCAAAGGGATCATCACCACCCCCTCCCCCACCATACACCACCTTGACAATGACAGCCCCTCTCGTTAAAGTCCTGCACAGGATGCAGGAACTCTTTTCCAACATCGTTGCTGCCCTGGAGGCCGTGCTTTTGTTTCCCTCGCTATTCCGGGATCCGACCCGTAAACGACAGAAGCCTTTCCACAAGCCCTACTGGCGTCGCCGGACCCTGGATGATCTCGCCGATGAGATTGACCGGCTGTTCAGCGCGCCTTTGTCCATGCAGAGTATGATGGCAATGTCAGGGAAGATCCGAGAGCAATTCAAGTCTTGTTTACAGTCTAGTCCCGTGAGCATGCTACCATCCTACAACCATGCGCTTCCCTCGGGACAAGAGCAGGGAACTTATCTGGCGCTTGATGTGGGAGGATCCACATTTCGAGTCGCCTTGGTCGAACTACGCGGAAAGGGAGACATGCATATCGTCAAGGTCTCCTCGTCGTACATCGACAACGACGTGAAGCTGCTAGAGGGAACTCTTTTCTTTGATTGGATGGCGGAGAAAATCGAAGCCATGCTGAGTGAAGTTGGTGCTAACTATGGCCGTGAGGCTGTCCCGCTATCCATGGGTCTGTCGTGGTCGTTCCCCATCGAGCAGACCTCCAACAGCAGTGGATTGGTTATCCATATGGGCAAGGGTTTTATGTGCTCAAACGGCACCCTAGGACAGGAGCTGGGAGATCTCATCGTTCAGTCCTGTCAAAAGCGCCATCTCAATATCCAGGTGGATGCCATTGTGAACGACAGCTCCGCCACCCTTCTGTCCCGAGCCTACGTCGATCCCAAGACTCGCATGTCTCTCATCCTGGGTACTGGAACCAATGTTGCGATCCACTACCCCGTGCACCAGATCGGATTGTCGAAATTCGGTACGCGGCCACTGGGTTGGTTTGACTATGCCAAGCACGTCATCGTCAACAGCGAAATGAGCATGTTCGGCGGCGGCATTCTGCCCATGACGCGATGGGATGAAGTTCTTAACAGCACGCATCTCCGGCCTGACTATCAGCCTTTGGAATACATGATCACCGGACGCTACCTCGGAGAAATCGTTCGTCTGATCATGATCGAGGCGGTTGAAACAGCTCAGTTGTTCGGAGGCGAGCTTCCTCACACTATGCGGGACGCCTATTCGTTCGATACTAGCATTGTCGCCGCTCTCGAGGGCGACACGTCGCCATTGCTTACGTCTTCGGCTGCCCTACTCCAGAAGGAACATTCGTTTTCCACTGTGCCGTCAACAAAGGACTTGCAGTTTTTGCGCCGTGTCTGTCAACTTGTTTCGAAACGGTCAGCGGGGTATCTAGCCACGGCCATCCACAGTATGTGGTGCTTGCGTAATGAGGCCGAGTCCCCCAACACCACGACTTCCACGGCATCGTCAATCAAGCAGAGCCAAGATGTGACTGTAATCGAGACCGAGGATACTCCTCGGAGTCTATCCATCGCATGCGATGGCAGTGTTATCAACAAGTACCCCGGCTTCAAAGACCGCTGCCAAGGCTATATCAACCAGCTCACTCAGGAGACCAATGCATCTAACGGGTCTCAAGACGATGCTTCTGTCAGTCTAGAACTTGCACCCGAGTGTGCGATTCTCGGAGCAGCCGTCGCAGTCGCAGTCGCAGTGGCCGAGAAAAAGGAATGAGCTCATTCATGACCACCCCTTGTTTCCTTATTTTTTTTCTAATCCCGAAGGGACTTTTCTTTTAATCCAAGGCGTTACGTCTGTTGCATTTGAAATGGAGTTAATTTTTTCTGGTCTCCGTTGCCTTTCGTCTCTTGCACCACAAGTGACCTGTTTCTGAATTGAATCGCTTTGCTCGCGTTTGGGAGGTTGGAAGGTCGCAGGAACCTTATCTTGCTTTGTATGTTTAATCCCATCTGCGCGATTGATGCATTTTTGTTCTTGTTGGATGCGTTGTGATGAACCCAAGGCAACGCGTGACCCTTAGGCGAACGGATAGACGATTCGGCGAGGTGGCCTGGGATAGAGATGCTCGGTGTACATAATAGTAATCACATCAAATGCCTGGAACTACTTTCAATCGAGACCCGTAACAGTATGGACTGCGATTTGTCGAGAGCCAAGGTGGACGAGAAAGTATGTTCATCCTAGACCCGACGGAGTGCGGCGGGAATACCGCGCACCTTGCCTAAATGTTGTAATGCTTGAAGTCCCACGGTTAAAGGTGACGGCGCCAAAGCAACTCCTTCAGTCCGAGGGTTTTACTCCTTGCAAAGATCCTGAAGCAGCTCTAGCATACGACGCTGCAGCGAAGATAATTCCTCTCGCGGGAGAAGGCCGCCCGATGATGGAGTAGGGTTAGTGTTCGAAGAGGAGTCGATCAGAGCTGATTTGATACTGAAGAAAGGGATTTGCAGGCCACGCAGTTCACCAGTCATTGCTTCGGCCATTTGCTTCGATGCTCGGTAGACTTTGACGTCGTATCTTTTCAACTCCGCCTCGTCTTCCTCGACGGTCTGATTTGCGACTAAGTTAGTTGGCTGCGCTGACTTCTCCGCATGGAATGCGGTTCTATCAAATATCGGTCGGGAACATACAGAGATTTGCTTAGTGTTATCTACGGGTGCTCCGACTGAGCGTCTAGAAGGGAGGGGAGAGCGAAGTCAGAAGGAGAGAAACTGAAGAGCTGGAAGGGACAGGAACTCACAAGACGTCATCCAATTGCTTCTTCTTGTCGACGCGGGCCCTCTGTTTCTTTAGCAGGGCCTCTCGTCCCTGCCACCATTGCTTCTCGTGGTCGTGTTGCCGTTGGATCAGCCAGCGGATTCGGTGAAGGAGGTCTTCGCTCTGCGACACCGCGCGCATCACATGTCGCAATGCAGGCGGCCAGGTAGTGATGGACGATGTGTCCCCAAGCGTAGCGGCCGGGTTACCAGTGGCTCGAGGCCGTGGTGGTTGAGATGTGGGATCTGGGCCGGAGCGATTCGCAGAGGACTCCGACGGTGTTGGTGCTTGTACGGGAGTTGGGGGTAGCGCGTCGGTCGGTTCGTATGCATCATGGTCGGGATGGGCTGGTTGAGGCGGGTCTTGCGGGGGAAGAGCAGGGGTTGATAGCGCGGATAGCGTTCGGAGGACGGAGGTCAAGTCCGCAGCGTTGTAATCGGAGGAAGAAGCCATGGCTGAAGGAGTTGAGGGAGAGAGAATCGCATGATGTTCGTAAAGGCAGCGACCGGAGGACCCGATTGGCCGGCGGCGGGTCTTGGCTTTTGGCCTCTTCGGCCTCTCTGAAAATTTGCCTGGATTGGCTTTGCTTTTGCTTTGCTCTGCTTCGCCTCCGTCACAGCACATCCCCCCCACTCATTTCTCCTTCAACTCCGAGTCTTCAATTCCCCCAATTGTCGACCGTCGGTGCGTTTTTCTACATGAACCTGCTTCGATAGGTCCTGCCCTCCCCGCCTCGTGCAGACGCCCACTCTCTCCTCTCTCTCTCCCTTCTATCCTATCCTATCGGTGTCACCAACTTAACCACCCGACCACCATCAACCAACATGTCCCGATCCGCCGCCGATGCTACGCGGTTCACGGCCACCGGGCCCTACGCCAGTTCCAAGCCCGGGAACGCGCCCTACAAACTGCCCAGCCACATGTCGAACACCTCGTCAACCTCGGAACCGCAGGGGCCGGGGGGCAAGCCGGAGACCCCGAAGGAAAAGGTCGAGCGATTGCGAGCACAGGCCCGGGCGGCTCGGACAGCCCAGTCGACCTCCCGCGTAGATCAGATGGTCGATGTGGGACGGCGGTTTGCGAATAGAGCGCACAAGGTGATGGTGTACTCGCTGATCACCGCGTCCGGTAAGCTATATGATTAAATCATGACGACCTCCTCCCATGCCTTCCGAGGAAGAGAGGGTGTTCCTGGCCTTCTCTGCCCTTTCCCATCATCACCACCCCATTCCGGAAAGAAGAAACCAAACGCAGCCGATAACTGACCGACTAACTCGATTCCTCTCTCATAGGCGTCTGCGGAGCTCTTACGGTCTACTCCCTAGTCTCCCTAACATTATACAACCGCCGACAGCGCGCTCTATGGATCGAAAAAGAGCTCCAGAAGCTGCAAGACGCCAAGACAGCCCGCGCCAACGGATCCGCCACGACGGAGCAGCTGGAACTGCTGAAGAACGAAGAAATCGGCGAGATCTTCAAGCAGAAGAAGGAGGAGGCGAAGGCTGAGCGCCCCTGGAACAAAGTGACGCAGTACCTGCTCGGCGGACTGAAGTCGGAGGAGGCCGGACAACCCGCCTCTGAGGACAAGCCCCGGGTGTTGGAGGCGCTCAACGCAAAGGTCCTGGAAGGTGCTCCCCAGTCCCAGCAGTCGAAAGAGCCGTCGGCATCGGGTCAACTGGATGCGATGGCGGAGAATGCGGAAGGTGCGGCGAAGCAGTCGGCGCGAAGCTGGAAGAGCTGGTTCACGGGACGGTAAGAAAGGAACCAGAGAACCTCAACAAAAAACAAAATGCAATGCTGATGATGCGGGGTCGATTGTTTTCCATGGTGTGTGCATGAGCATGTTGGTCTTCCTTTTTTCCATTTTCTTTCATTCCTATTGTGTTATCATTAGTTTCTCACCCTCTGATCCCTCCTCTGTACTCCACCAATCCGGGGGTTACGGCGTCTTATTCGGGTGTTCTCGCGTCTTTGGAACCGAATGTAATACTGGGTCACTATCATATTGTGTACATATAGACTTTCCCAACCCTTGGTTACAGCTTTCCATACAAGAACTGAATATTAGAAGCAACAAGCAACATACGGCACGAGCATGGTTATCATCGAGAACCAAGAGGAGGTCATGTCCAGATCAGATCCTTGAGTTTCAAAACTGTCGACTATTCTTTTATTGAAGTTACCGCTATCGGGCCTCGAGAAAATGTCATCTAAATGCCGATTGCTGAAACCAAAGCCCAAAAACAAACAAACAAAGAGACACTATTAATGGTATCTAAAGCATCATTTTGGAACAAAGGAAAATTCGCTTTCTTTCTTTCTTTTTTTTGTTGGAGTTCAGCCACTTACTGGGAGGCACCGTTGCCGTTGGCCTTGCCGGACGCTTTGACGGCCCGTCTAGCACGAACGGCATCGGCCAGGTCCTCCAGTACGCTAACGGTCGTCTCCCAGTCAATGCAAGCATCCGTGATGCTGACGCCCTTGCGCAGGCCCGACTTGCCCTCGGCCGGCATCTTCTGGTTACCCTCGTTGATATTGGACTCGATCATCACGCCGACCAGCGCATCCTGACCTTCACGAAGCTGGTCACCGACCTCCTTGGCGACCAGGGGCTGGTTGCGGTGGTTCTTGTTGGAGTTGCCGTGCGAGCAGTCTACCATGAGCACCTCTCGCTGCTTCTTGGCGCGCAAGGCCTCCCGGGCATTGCGAATGTTGTCGCGGTCGTAGTTAGTGCCCTTGCTACCGCCACGCAGGATCACAAAGCCGTGCTCGTTACCCGAAGTCTTGGTGATGGAGGCGAGACCCTGCTTGGTCACGCCGAGGAAGCGATGGGGGTGAGCTGCGGCGCCGATGGCGTCGATCGAAACGGTCAGGTTTCCGTCGGTACCGTTCTTGTAGCCGATGGGGAAACTCAGACCGGAGGCCAGCTCACGATGGAGTTGCGACTCGGTCGTACGGGCACCAATGGCACCGAGCGAAATGAGATCGGCAAGGTACTGGGGGGAGATAGTATCCAGCATCTCACTGGCGATGGGCATCTCCATGCTGGTGAGGTCGGCGTAGAGCTGACGGGAGACACGAAGTCCCTTGTTGATATTGTAGGACTCGTCAAGGTCCGGGTCGTTGATCAGACCCTTCCATCCCACCGTGGTGCGGGGCTTCTCCAGGTAGGCGCGCATGATGACACAGAGGTCGGAGGAGAGTTTCGTGGAGAGTTCCTTCAGGCGAGCTGCGTACTCCAAGGCCGTGGCAGGGTCGTGAATAGAGCAGGGACCGACGACCACCAGGAGACGGTCATCCCGTTGCTCAATGATCTCGATCGCCTGGTTGCGGCCGGACCGGACGGCGGCAATGGCATGGTCGGGCTAGGATTCAATTTGATTAGTACACAGGAAGGATGGGACGGGGAAAAGAAATGAAAATAGGATAAGAAGGCTACTCTAATCGATGGTAGAGGAAGCAAAGGGTTGACGCGACTTGTATACATCGGTCGTCGGAGGGAGGGGAGTGACTCACAGCGGGGATTTCGGTCTGAAGGAACTGGGGGGACAGCAAGGGATCGTATCCGAGGACTATGCAGAAAGAATCTCAATTAGTACAATGCTTCCAAAGCATTCAGGACTGGAGAAAGAGATGGTGACTCACCGCGAGTGTCCTCGTTAATCTCTGTCGTCTTGATGAGGGGCATGATGCAAGAACAGGATAGGTAAAAATATAGTCAGGTTGGTGAAGTAGAAGATATTGGTACGAACTCGAGGAAGGAAGAACCAAGAGAGACGTCGAGGACAAGAAGGGAGAAGAGACGCAGAAGTAGTGTTCTTATACGAGCCAGCTGACAAGTAGACGAAGAATGTTTCAATCCCTGGCAGAGCGAGCGAGGAGGGAAAGAGACGAGAGAGCTGGACCATTTTCGGTACGGGCCAAACGGTGATCGACTTGGTAAAATTGCCATGTCAGGTGGGGCGACGGCCAATGACTAGTCGGCGCACACAAAAAAATTTAGGTTGGCCACTAACAGTGGAGGATTACTACTGAGAGTAGGCAGGCGAGGGAATCTGGAATGTGCCCGAGCACCAGGGTCCATGCTGGTAGTACTCTGGATAGCATGTATGTACGGTGTACGGTGTATGTACCTGGGAGGATGACCTTCCGTCGGTGTGAACAACCCACTACGTACAGGTTGATGCATACATACTTCCCTTTCTGGCTGGCCACCGGGCAGATACGGTATTGATACGTCACCGCAACCACTCCATGGAATGGAACAATAATAATGAAGCAATGCAGCCCGCAGAAAGGCTGGCTGGCTGTGACTCTCACCGCTCAGCCCTCGCAGTGGCCGAGGAAGGTTAACAAGTCCCTGTCTACCTGGTAAGAAGCATGTCCATGCATACATACATACCTACTTACATACTTCGTAGAATACTCCGTAGCACCCATCTATATGTACATCAATATATGAATATGGAAACAGATCTATATTTATATCGATTCAAACAATCGACCGACGGACGAGATCTCCCGGAAGACCTGGCATGACCCAAGTGTCCATGCTATAGACCATGCATGGAGAATATACTGATCAGTGTGATCAGACTGATCATCCTCGCCCACATGGTGTCCGCCCAGCACGCTAACCTCTTTATCTCTAGCACCGTCGACCCTGACAAACCTCGGCTTGGCGGTCGGTCGCGTCTGCCGACAATCAACCTCAAAGTACTACTGTGTACTCCGTAAGTTACTCCCTCCTTCCTCTCATCCCTAGTGAGTGAGGTGAGCCCAAACTCAACCCGTCTGTCTCCCTGTTACACGTCTCGTCTGCGAGGGATCCTCGTCTACTGGCATTAGCGGTATTCGTACCCACCAATCTCCATTGTACCCTTTCCTTTCTCCTAGCTACTCCGTCGCTGGTCCATTCCCCCCTCGCATTCGTCCACTGAATCGGTCTGGAAGCACATTGCATTGAACTAAATTGGAGTGCAACCTCATGCATTATTGATAGCTCAGATCCTCTATCAATCTGCTCCTCGTATCCCGGTGCTACCTCGTCAACCTGCCCCTTAGGGTCATGTTCGGGTTTTCTTCCAAACGCCAGAGGGAACACGGGGAGCTGGCTGATGTCGACAGCAGTGCATGTCATGAGAGAAAGGTCCGCCTCACCGACGTGTAATTTTTTACCTTTCCCGTCTGTCGTTGACCCTCGAAATCTAGAAACTTTGCCCCCTGCCTTTACGTGCCTCTCCCAATACATCCCAGAAGCCTTCCTTCATCGAAGCCCACCACGTTGACTCAAGAACCGGGTTATCCACGATAACCCTCGTCGAATCTTCCGACGACGACGACGATAATGATGCCGGAGCCAAGAAATATAATATCACGGACCAACTTCCACGGTCAACCTCGCAGTCGCATACGCTAAGAATGGGGATGGAGATCGATAGCGGAGGGAATACGTTCCCTTCGCTATGGACAGCCTCCACAAACAACGACGGCGCCATTCAACCCTCGCCGATACCCAACAGTCTGGTGAACCAGTCGCTCATCATCAGCGAGCGACATGACGTGAGTATGGGCTCGCAGGACTCTCTATCCCCCGTATACCATCATGAACCAAACCCCGAGAAGGCACAGGACCCTGCATCATGGCAGGACCAGCGTCTCCCAAGCCCGGTCAGTGAATCAGAAGATGGCCTTCCGAGCAGCATGAATTCAGTTAGCGATGTCGACATGGCCTATGGTATATCTCACACCGCGTGTTCGTCTCCCGCCGATAGGGCTAGTTTATGGCAGTCATCTGTCCATTTGCACCCGCGGCCCAACCCTGTTGCAAAACCCCGTAACAAGAAAGCAACGCTTTCCATGGGATTCCGTGCGGATTGCGAGAAATGCCATCAAAAAGTTCCGGGGCATTACAGCCATATAATCCGCTCATGATTCGGTCCTATTCCAGTTCTTTAACGACATTAATCACGCATCACTCAACCGACTACAGACACTTGATACCCTATACCTCACCCCTCCTCTTTTTCTCCGATTTATGAGTAGCTACGGAACAAGGAGTCATATATACCCATACTACCATACCAACCTTATGCTCGTGGTAGTGGTTTTAGGCGTTTGGGATGGGTTTACCTGTTTGATTTTTCTCCCTCATATCATCCGCGATATCTTCCAATATGGAGCTACCACTAGCTAGTGGAGCCTGTATATATAGCTACTAGTACCCGGACCAGCTAATTATGTATGATTCCCACGTGTTTGTCGTTAGTGGCAACCAAAGCCTTCTCTGCTGTCCACCTGGAAATCCAATCTTCCGAGCGCCCTTCCGACGGCGCTGACATAATCACTCGCATCCGACCGGCGGAATTGGAGATCTTTCAGTTTCCACTTCCTATTGACCCCAAAGCAATTACATCCGAAGCTCGAATGTGAACGGATGGTATCAGAGAACTCGATTGAAGATGTCTTCACAGTGTTGCAAGCCTTACAAGCATAATAGTAGCCCCCGCGTGGACTACAAGCACAGCCGCGGTCCGTCGCGGTTCCTGGCGATAAGATTGCCCATTATTCTCCACACTTCGGATTGCTTTCCCCAACCCTTTCCTTCGGCGGCAGAGCCCTTAGCCGATCTTCATTGCCGGCAGTTTGGATGGCAGCTTCAATGGCTCCGTCCACCCTCGATGGATCCCGAGCCCCGGAATTCTGTTCGGAGGCGCTTTTTCCCCTAAAAATTGGTGACGGATATTTAATGTGACC